TTTTTTTTAAAAAAAAGCACCTAATTGCCTTTTTCTATAGTCATTGCAATGTCTCCCTCGTTCCTCTGTTGAAACTTCACCAATCAACTCTTTACGAGATTTTTGGATTTTAACCCTTAAAAATGTGTGTTCTTGGCTAATCTGGTTGATCTTCTCTTGCTAATAAGAGGGGTACTATAGTAAACTAAATATAAACGATAAATCCTATACAAATAAATAAATACCTTGCACTTTAGCCCAAAAGCCTCCTGCAAAGGAAGAGCCTACATCTGGCTCTGGCTCCCCCTCCAATTTCCCCTCATCTCCCTCCAGAGTGTACCATTCTAGGAATGAGCCCAACGCCACTGAGGGAGTTGTGAATGAATAGGATATTTTTAGGGCTGTTATATGTCCGGATTTTCCCAGACATTACCGGAATTTCCAAAAGGCGGTGTTTTGTTCTGGATCTTAGACAAGTCAAAATCATGACTTTTTTTATATTAAAAAAGGGGCATAAATTTGGGGGGATTCCTTTAAAACAAAAGCTCTACAATTTCGGTGGTTTCCTAAAGGCTGTCCTGGTTTTTTACTTTTTGAAATATGGCAACCCTGGAATATTTATGTACTTATTGTAATGCGGGTTTCTGCTGCAGACCCGATCCAAACCGGCATGCTAGCGGTAGGGGGCAAAGGGTTAACCCTCCCTCCTAACCCCTGCGCTAGGGTCCCAATCCAGTTCAGAAGCCCTGTCACTTTACGACACCATTACAGAGTGAATGGATCGGCAGGTTTGCATCCCCTCCAAGTGACCCGATTTTCCAGGGACGGTCCTGGAATGATGAAAGCCATCCCAGCTTCTGATGTGACCCCGGAGTGTCCCTAGTTCCCCTGCCACATCTGCCACAGCCGAGATAATAATAATAATAATAATAATAATAATAATAATAATAATAATAATATATTATTTATATCCCATCCATCTGGCTGGGTTTCCCCAGGCACTCTGGGCGGCTCCCAACAAGAGATTAAAAATACATTAAAACATCAGTCATTAAAAACTTCCCTAAACAGGGCTGCCTTCAGATGTCTTCTAAACGTCAGATAGTTGTTTTTTCCTTTGACATCTGGTGGGAGGGCGTTCCACAGGGCCGGTGCCACTACCGAGAAGGCCCTCTGGCTGGTTCCCTGTAGCTTTGTTTCTCACAGTGAGGGAACTACCAGAAGGCCCTCTGTGCTGGACCTCAGTATCCGGGCTGAACGCTGGGGGTGGAGACGCTCCTTCAGGTCTACTGGGCTGAGGCCGTTTAGGGATTTAAAGGTCTGCACCAACACTTTGAATTGTGTTCAGAAATGTATTGGGAGCCAATATAGGTCTTTCAAGGCCAATGTTACGTGGTCTCAGCGGCTCAGGGAGGAGGAGAGCAGGCACTTATCCCAGACAACGGCGGTGGCGGTAGTGATGGCTGTGAGGGAGCATCTCATTGCCTTCTCCATGCTTTGTGTGTCCACGTCTAATCTTCCCCCTTTCTAAAAGGATAAAGAAAATGGAGGATGATAAGACATACAGTGAAAATGGTTATTAGTGGACTCCACGAAAGGGAGGATGGAAGTCTGAGAATTCGGAGAATTCTATATTTTTCTATGTTATCTTTTTGTGTGTGTTTGTGTGAATGTAAAACTAAATCGTGAAAACAATAAAAATTATTATGAAATAAATAAATAAAGGGATAAAGAAATGGGAGGGAAGAGGAAAAAAGAAAACTCAATACACCAGTTCTCTGTGGTTTTCTTATTATTTAGTTCCATCTATGCAAATTCTTGCTGTCTCAGAGAGCTCTCCCACCCTAGATCAGATCTAGGGGCAGAGCTGCTCCTGTCGCAGGATTGTACCCTCTGACATCCAAGGGTGACACTTGGCATCGGCAAAGGAGGGAGCTTGCTGGAGTTGCCCTCCTCCCTCACCAATCTCTGTGGGTTGATTCTGGCCATCCTTGCCTCAGCCAATATAACCCCTTTCCCTGGAAATGCCTTCTGCTGCCCCAGACTGGATTTTGAAACAGTGCGGTTGATAATGTCCAGGTCAGGGGTGGGTGGGTGGGGCGAGGCTGCTTCCCCAAATATACAGGCGAGCTCCAAAATCCAGTCTCCCAAATTGCTTCTGTTTAAGTCCATGGTGTTATGCTGTTGAGACATGACTTGCGGAGGTTCGGTTGCAGGAATTCATGCCTCGTCTTGTCACACCTGAGCATGCGCTATATTTAATTAAGTTTCTTTGCAGTCCACAAAAAGAACCGAGGCTGTTAAAAGAGCCAAGGGTGGCGGGGATTACAATGTCCCGCAGCCGCTTCGTTAATTGACGCAGATGTTCATTTGCACCTAAAAATAAGCGCCAACATAAAAGGGTGTTAGATATTTGCTTTATATTATCGTTTATTATTATTTATGTATAGAGAGGAAGTGAAGAGGAGCTGCCACCTCCCTTCCTGGATGGAGGCTTGAGAGCTCAGCAAGGTATCAGTCAGGAATACTTGGGCACTAACTGCAGAGCATAAGTTTCAGACCCTCCAAATGTCCCTATTTTCCAGGGACAGTATACAAATTGGCATAGGGATAGGTAGGTAGGGATGGGTGTAGTTGTCATATTGCTTGCTGTAAAAAAATCTGACATCTGATGTCTTCCTTAAGCCACGGAATGCAGGGGCCTAGGCAACTGCTAGAAGGAAATAACATTTGTGGACTCTGTTACCAGTCTGTTACCTTCCAATTCCTCTCAGCATTCAGATAGCATCTCTCTTGCTAGTATAGTGGTACCTGAGGTTAAGTACTTAATTCGTTCCGGAGGTCCATACTTAACCTGAAACTGTTCTTAACCTGAAGCACCACTTTAGCTAATGGGGCCTCCTGCTGCCGTCGCGCCGCCAGAGCACGATCTCTGTTCTCATCCTGAAGCAAAGTTCTTAACCTGAAGCACTATTTCTGGGTTAGCGGAGTCTGTAACCTGAAGTGTCTGTAACCCGAGATACCACTGTACAGTGGTACCTTGGGTTGCATACACTTCAGGTTACATACACTTCAGGTTACAGATTCCACTAACCCAGAAATAGTACCTCGGGTTAAGAACTTTGCTTCAGGATAAGAAGAGAAATCGCACGGCAACAGCGTGGCAGCAGCAGGAGGCCCCGTTAGCTAAAGTGGTGCTTCAGGTTAAGAACAGTTTCAGGTTAAGAACGGACCTCCGGAACGAATTAAGTACTTAACCCGAGGTACCACTGTACTAGCAAAGCAGTCCAGGAGGGAAAAGTGCATAGATGGACTTACAAAGGTGTGAAATATTATTATATAAGATACCTAGCTATTGTTGCAGCAGCAAACTAGATGTGGCCTTCCACTCATTATACATCTACAAGTTGCCAATCCTCTAGCCTTTACTCTTGAACCCACAAGGGATTTCTGAGCAGGGATTTGAATCCAGCTCTCGTCAAAGTTTCAACACTCCATGTACTAAAAGGAAGGAAATGTTTGATATTGTGACAGGTATGTTAAATAAAGGATTTTGAAATGAAGGTGCCTAAGAGACATTTCCTTTCCGGTTTATTTATGTGCGCAGGGAATTATACCAAACACTTTATACCAAATGTTCTGATCCGAGAGACGTTGTTTGCCGATGATGCAGCCTTGACAGCGCACGCCGGGACTCAGAGACTCATTGACTGTTTTGCCCAAGCCTGCAGGGAGTTCAGCCTCACAATCAACCTGATGAAGGCCAACATCCTGGGTCAGGATGTCGCCAGCCCACAGAGCACCAGCACTGGCGATTACACACTTGAGCTGGCGGACAATTTTGCCTACCTGGGCTCCACCATGGCCAGCCCCCTTTCCATCAACACTGAGCTGGACAACAGCATTGGTAGGGCAGGCACAGTGATGGCTACCATCTTGTTGTCTTGGTTGAATTAGTCACTTGCATTTTATTCTGCGAACTGCCCAGGGGGGGTCTTTGGATGGAGGGTGGCACATAAATGTAATAAGTAAAATAGAGGGGAAACTCCCTTACTCTTGAGACCAAGCAGGCGCCTTCACTTGCGCTCTTTCCAGCAAGGGGTCAAAACATCCCTATTTTACCAATAGTCCATCTGCCCCGGGGCCATTTGCCTACTTAAGTTGACAGAATATGCGCAGCTTGCAGACTTAACATACAGAATAAGAGAACAAGAACATACATTTAGAGAAGTTTGGAAAATGTTTATTGAATATATGGGAAATAATTGTGTGCAGCTGAAAACGCTGGCAGCATTAATATAAATTCAACAGTGTAAACAAGTTTTGATGTATGCAGTAATGGAATACTGAATGGTATAGTTTTTGTAAAATATGTAGGTATTTATTATATGTAAAAGGAACCATGGAAAGAGAAGAAAGGAAGTCATCGATATCTTAAGGATGTAAAAATGAATATTTTAAATTGTAAAACAGAAATCTTAATAAAAATTATATACAAAAAACAATAAAATCCCCATTTTGACAAGGCTGCACAAATGCTTCAGAAAGCTGAGGTAACTTTAACCTGTTTAACTTTTGTATCCTTTAAATTATTAATAATAATCCTTTAAATTATAATAATAACAAATTTAATAACATTATTATTATTATTATTATTATTACTACTTCCAACAAATAGGAAAGCATAACAGAGGCGGGCTGTGGATTCCCCTCTTCCCCCTGATTTTTTGCCTTTTTTTGTAAACCGCTTTGACTTTGTTTATTTTTAACCAAGCGGCGTACAAATGCAAATAAACAAATGAACGCAGATGCTTCGGGAGCATCCTAGCAACGCTTCCGGAAGCACCTGGGTACTGGCAGCTTACTAGCCAGGCCACGGCCATCCCCGTTCCCCCTCAGCCCCGCCCCCGTCGGCCCTCCAATCCGAGGCGACGGCGCTAGGCCCTTATTGGCCAGCGCCGAGGCGCCTCCTCCCTCCCTCTCCCTCCAGCCTCCCCTTCCGCGCACGCGCAGCAATTGCCTCTTTCTCTTTCGCCGCTTTCCCCCTCCCCGCCGACGGAGAGCGCGAGCCGCGGTTGGTCGCGGTGACGTCGCGGGAACGCGGCGGAGGTCCGTTGGGTGTGTGTGTGTGTGCGCGAGCGCGCGCTCGGGAGCGAGCCTCCCTCACAGGACGAGAGCGGCGCGAGCTGCAGGAGGAGGAGAAGACCGTTTCCGTCCGCTCGCTCGCTCGCTCAGGCGGAGGCCGCTCGCCTGGACCCTTCGGCGCGTGAGGTACCTTCGCTGAGGAGAAGCCGAAGAAGAAGCCGCTGCCGCCGTCCATGCGGCGCTGGGGAAGGGAGCCGAGGGCCGGCGGCCGGCGCCGACGCCCGGGAGTAAGTTGCTGAGGGGCGCCGAGGTATGAGGCGCTGGGGCCGCGCCGCTCTCCTCAGGAGAAGGAATGGACGCAGAAGGCCCAGCCCCGCGGTTTTGGGTCCCCGCGGAGCCCCGTCCGCCCTCCGTGTCTCCGTCTCCATCGCATCCGCGCGCGCCCTCCGTGCGACAGGTTGGGGGAAGGGGCGTGAGTGCGCGTGCGCGAAAGATGGAGCGCTGCGTGTGCGTGTTTCGTGTGCACGTCTGAACGGCGAGCGGAGAAAGAGAGAGAGTGGCGGGATGGAGTATCAGGTACGCTGGAGGGAGGCGGCGGCGGCGAGGCTTGGCAATGCTACGCATCCGGCATTTCCACCTCCTTGCCAAGCCGCTTCTGGAAAGGAGGCTGGAGCTGAGTTCAAAACACCCCCCTCCCTCCTTTCTTGGACGTCGCCAGCGCTCTTCTTTTTCCCTCCCTTCCCCTCCAAATCCCCTGCAGTATTGAGGAGAGCGAGCAGATCCCTGGATCCCTCCTCACGGCTATATATTCCTCAGGCTTACGGGGTGGCTGAGAAGTTCTTGCACCCGAGCTGCAGATCTGTTTGGTGGTGGGTGGTTGGGGGGTGGATGACGGTGCATCTTATTTCTGCAAGCCGGAGACGGAGCCAACAGGTTTGTCCGGAGCGTTTAATGTGGCCGCCTTCCCCCCCCCCCCACCCCTCCGATGCTGCAGAGTGTATCTGCCACAAAGGAAAGAGCTTGGCATCCCTCCCTCCCCCCCCCCGCGGAAGGGCTTTTTTGCATCGGGTTGTCATGCCGAAAACACATTATGGCATTGATGATCTCTTTGGCAAACAGCCATTTTTCTAAGCTGTATCAACTTCTGCTTTATACGCCAACACAGGCACCAAAGCTGTGGGGGTTTTGTTGTTTAAAATACGTTTCTCCCCTGTTGGGCTGTTAGCAGTAACGGAGCAGGTAGGTAGAAAGACATGGTATTTGTCTCACTGAGAGTGATTATAGCACTGAATGCTTGAAAGGAAAACCACTGTATTGACCAGAACGATGGAAATTTACCATGATTAATTTCAGTAAGGTCCTTTATCAGTATGTGCACTATTATGAATTGTTTTGTTATTAATGCCTTGTTTCTTGAGTAGACCCTGGAAGTACAGTATGGAAGCCACTTTGGGAAGGGAGTACCATTAGAAGGCAGCATTCAAATCTTTTAAATAAATAAATTGAAGGAGAAGCTTCATGTGGCTTGTATTTTGAAGCTTGCTGTTATATATTTAGGGACTGGAAATAATCTATTTGACTACTAAGGTAGTTAGAGCTTTGAATATGGCTTTGCTACAGTCTGCTAGTATAGATATGAATTCTTTTTAAAGAATGTGAGTCCAGATCTGTTTAAAGCCTGCCCTCTAGTGCAGCCACTCTTACTCATTTAGGCTGCTGTGTTTATATAGCAGTTTTTGGGAATTCATAATAATAGATACTTGGTGTAGAAAATGAGAAAAGGCAAGAGTTTTGAAGTATGCATTTTCAGTTCCTTTCCCAAGCTATAGAAAACACTTAGAAAGTCTCCACTAAGGAAACACACTGATGAATATTAAAATTGGATAAGTTTTGCATCATTTGCTGCTAATATTGTTGCCCCATGGAGTAAGATGAATAGTGATGATGCATTGCCATTGACAATTTTTTCCAGAAATGTACATTTTTGCTTTTTGTGTGATGGTTATCATACAGTATCTAAAGAGAAGAAATGTAACCATGCATTTTGTACACTGCTTGTTTTTGTAGAGTACCTGATGAAGGTATTGAACTGGAAGAACGGGAACAGCTATTAGTTGAAATAACACCTGAATGGTTGAACAAATTCCTTTTAGTTCCCCAGACAAATATATGCCAATATAGCTTTAATGATGTAGAATTTTGTTTAATAGAAGATTTAGAGCCATAGTTAATTTTACTGAAATGTTTAGGCAACCAGGTCATACTTCCTCATTAAATCTACTGACTAGAAAAAAAGGCACCCATCACTGATATTTTAAAGGGATAAGTAGACATTGCAGTAATGTCTTTTCTTTGAGTCTGTCTGGAATGCTCAGAAATCACTTTTTGACAAGGGGCTTTGTATTCTGATAATTCCACTAGCTCTTCTGCACTGGAATTTAATTTTATCAGCTTGCACCTCTGGCCTTCCAGTGCTCTAGAAACAATTTACGTATGTCTGTTTGCACCACTATTTCATACCATGCTCTCTGTTGTGCCTGATGTCACCTTTATATCTTTCGTTGCTTATTTCACATAAGCGCAAGAAAGAGGTACCTTCATGGTATTCTTTCTCCCCATTTCCAAATTCATTTCACAATTCCGTTTCCCATTGTATTGTCTCTATCCTGGATACTTGAGTTATTAGAGAGACTTTATGGGGCAGGTCATTTTCTTCTGCCTTTCTGTGAAATGATGGTGAGTAAGATGTACAAGGTCATATTTTGCACAATAAATGAATGCCTTAACAAGCACTTAAGGTGCCTAATAATGTTTGACACACACATGCCTTTGTGTATTTTTTATTAACATTGAAATTGCATAAAACCTGTAGAGCAGGCTTCTAATTAAGCAGTTGCCTGTGGTAAACTTCCAAGTGACGGGGTAAGATGTGCTTCTTCCGAAACCTTTGTGCTACTGCTTGTCCCCTATGCACACTGTTGTAATACAGTGCTTTGTTACCCTACTTGTTGAAACTTAGGACTTCACCAAGTGACTTTCTTGTCCCCCTTGTTCTTTCTCACAATTAAGGAAGAGGGCAATTCTTTTAACCCACCTTTTAAAGACCTGATTTTGTTGGTGTACCTGTACTGCACACTTGTTTTGTGGAAATAGGTTGCAGAGCCATCTCTGTGTATAAAAGTAATGCAAAAATTCATTCAATACAGTATATTGGATTTTCTGTATGAAGTGCTTTGAAGAATGGGTCAATGCTTGGGAGCAGGACAATAGAAGATGACAATAGTTTTGAGATTTTCTTTCTTTAATAGTTCAATTCACGCAGTTCATCTAGATAATGTCACAACAAAATGTGGGGTGGATCCAGCTGGTGAATTCATGGTTTGAAACAACAGTCTAAAACAGATGTGATGCAGGAATTCTGTGGTTGGAATCTTTGGCTTTATTTAAAAAGACTCAGTGGGGGATTTGGATCAGGGTTGTGACACTTGAGTTGTGTGTTTAACCCTTTCCTCTGTATCATTTGAACCCTATCTGAATTGACCCCTTGGTTCTTTATCTCTGTGGGGTGAATTGGCAGGTACTTTAGGAGGGGAAGCCAGATGAAGAAAAAGTGTAGATGGAAAACAGTTTAGTCTATCCCGCATCACTGCAAGTCATGATCAAAGTCCCTTCTCCCCGCCCCCCTCATGACTGTTGTTAATACTTTGTAAAACTATGAGAGATCCTAACCATATATTTCCCATGCCACATCTGTTTGGTGCTGACATCTTACTAAGAATTTTGAGTAATGGCAGGAATAAGTTGTACATGGTAGATATACAGAACTTGCCACACATCATGAAGTTATCCATTGTGTGTTTGCAGCTGATTATTTAGCCTGATTCTGCAGTGAGAGAATACTCAAACTTTATTGTCATTCACAACATATTAGAAAAAGAAAAGAAAAGAAATGTGATTAATAAAGGCAAAAATAACATTATAAGAGAAATTTTGTGCCAGTTGTACAAATACAAGTTATTGGATCACAATTTTTTACTAGTCCACCTGCCCATGTATACAAGTGTAAGCAGCTTGTAGCTCTTGTAAATGACTCATTTTCTACCAACTTGCAAAAAAACTCTCCTTTCTGTTCATCTAGAGGCAGTTATTATGCACCATAGGTGGGTGTAGTAGTGGTATATCTTAAGATTAGAAAATGTGCCAGAACTAAGGACTGTTAACCTTGCAAATTTTCTATCTTTGGTTGATTACTGCTCCTTTTTGGAACCGCCACACAAAGCAACTGTAATATTTAAACCTAAAATTGCATCAACTGAAGTCAGGCACCATGTCCCGTGCTTCTTCAAAGCATTAAAACTACTTGGAAGACAGCAATATAGAAACTACTGTAGGTGTATTAAACTTGAAGGTTTGTACAGGCTGAGTGTTGGGATAAGCTCCTGAATTCATCCATTATATCTATTACTCAGGATGTCAACATTTGACCCACTCTTTTTATTGGTCCATTTGATCTTTGGGGTGGTAGTCTATGCGCATAATACATACCTCTGATTTCTGTGAGATTTATGCACACATTTGATTGTATGTTAGCTTTATAATTCCTGAAGAGAACTTAAATATTTTTCCCCCCTTAGGGAATAAGGGAAGAAGAATGCGAATCTTTCCTCAGAACTGGATATGGAAGTATCAGCAGATGAATCTATGGAAAACATGAGGAAAAATTGAAACTACATGAGCAAAGCATAGATAAGATGATACCTTTGGAGAGGGCAGTACCATGGTTGGTAGATTTCATTTCTGATTTATTCAAATTTAGGTTGTTTTTTTTTTAATTACTTCACTACAGTGCTTGTGAAATTCCTCTGGAGGTATTGCAGTTATATCATGATTTCCAAGCAGTTTTGCTAGTGTAACAATTAGTGATTGTGCTTTACATTGATTTTACATAATGTGCACAATGGATTGATTTGGATTTTTTGCTAAGGCATTATATTTAGGCATTCAGGCTTATATGAGAACAAACTGAAATATACCTTCAGTTTCATTACACCAGTATGGATGCATTCACTTCTATTTTAGATTAGCTGCAACTTGTTGTTGTGTCTGAACCTGAATAAACTGTACCTTGACTACGGTTTGTTGAAACAAACCAACCTCAAACCAGTTTATGAAACTGGCTTGTTTCAACTAACTATAGTTTAGATTAACCAAAGGTTAGAGTTCAGATGGCCTGCTAAACTGTTATATAAAACAGTAACTCCTGATCTCTTCATGGCTGTGCTAAAGGGGGAAGTATGCAGATTTGAGGCTAACTGCAATTTATTCTCTTAATGGTAAACCATGGTTTCACATTGTGTCCAAATGCAGTCCATATGCCATGAAATATGTATGCATGTTTTTTGACTGCTCCCTTGATACATGCAACTGAGATCCTTTCTTGGTTGCTGAGCTCTTGTATTGTAATGAGGAATTAGTAAAGAAAGCATGCATATATACTTTTAAATAAAAATGTACTATGAATGGATTTTATATTCTGGTATCAAGAATACAAAAAAGAGAGATTTTTTCCAAATGATATCCCTGTATTTGCAGGTTAAGGGTGCTTACAGTGATTGGGAACAAGCATTTTCTGTGGAGAGAATCTGCACTTCCATGGAGTTCTGAAAGTTGTACACTAGCATATTAGAAACATAGAATTATAGAATTCGAAGAAACACTGGGAATGATTTGGAAAAGTGAGGTTAGAGTTTTAAATGCAATGCCATTAATTGCTACTGACAGTGATGTTGAGGACATTCATTGAAAAAAAAAGTGTTTTTAAATAAGCCTGGAAAATTGAAAGACTGCCAGCAGAACTAGCCAATACTACTTGTGATGGTTATATACTCTAGACATGAATGTGGCCCACACACTCTGTACATTGGAAAGTCACATTGTGGTGTTTCATTACCAAGGGGGCCTTGTACAGCATTGTAAAATGATTACCATAGACAGACAGATGCTGGCTCTTGCACAAATATTTTAGTTATAGTTAGCCATGCAACATCAAGAGTCATAATTTTTTTTCGTGAAATCACTTTTGATGTAGCTGCTGTGCTTGGAAAAACTAGAGTTAGTTTCTTCCAAGGTTTTCTCAGATGTTGAAGTATACTTGAATTTTTGAAGTATAAGTGCCTATTGTTTTGTTGGAAGATATCCAAAGTTTCATACATCTTAATTCATGGATGAACTATATTTTCTCATTTCCAATCAAATGGCACTAGCCCTATAGAGCGACCATTATTTTCCTCCAACTCTCAGCATTAGAGCTTTCCTAAAACTTCATTTGCACATTGCCTGTAGCATCACCTCCATGGTTGCTGCGACACCACTCCAGTACATGTTGCATCCAAGAGGATGCGATGAATTATATGGTTGCATATCATGCTGATGACATTTACCTTGTGGATGCTTCACTAGCATAGTACATAACCACATGGGTCAAGCACATGGGTCAAGCATGTAGATGTTGCTTGAAGCAACTATTGAGGTGGTGGTAACTACATGGTATTTTTTATTTTGAATGGTCTAATTGTATGTTAGGTACCACAGATCTTAATGTTACGCTGCCCCCATTAAATAATGAATGGCAATACTGTATGTGAATAATATCTTTGCTTAGATTAGCTTACAACAGTTTCCTCATTCTTCCCATTTAATGCATATTTTAGGCACAGGCAGTCCCAGGAAGAATTACTTTTTTTTTTGTATTCTTTTTTTCTTCATTCCTGAAATAAATTTGTACTTGTGTACTGAACTACTCTGAAGTGCTTTGCAAAACTCTATAGCATATCTTATACATTTTTAGAGTTTAGACACATTTCAATTAGCTATTCCAATTCTCCTTCAAGAAAGTATTTTTAAACCTGTTTTCTGGACCCAAAGGCTAGCTTTTAGAGTAGGTGAAGTCTTATTCTTCTTATCTTAAGTAAATATATATTCTAAAAAAAAAATTTCTTTTTGACTTCTAGGTACGTTTGGCAGTGAAAATGGGTTGTGCATCTGTTTCAAATACTTTCATATGAGAAGACACAATTTTTAAAAAGTTTCAGCATTACTACTTCAAGCAGTATGGCTGGTTTCAAGCGAGGGTATGATGGAAAAATTGCTGGACTGTATGATTTGGATAAAACCTTGGGGAGAGGGCATTTTGCTGTGGTCAAACTTGCCAGACACGTTTTTACAGGTGAAAAAGTAGCGGTGAAAGTTATTGACAAGACCAAGCTAGATACTCTAGCAACAGGACATCTATTCCAAGAAGTTAGATGCATGAAACTAGTGCAGCATCCTAATATTGTTCGCCTGTATGAAGTTATTGACACCCAGACCAAACTTTACCTAATCTTGGAACTTGGTGATGGAGGAGATATGTTTGATTACATCATGAAACACGAAGAAGGGCTTAACGAAGATCTGGCAAAGAAGTACTTTGCTCAGATTGTTCATGCTATATCCTACTGCCATAAACTGCATGTAGTTCACAGAGACTTAAAACCGGAGAATGTTGTCTTCTTTGAAAAACAAGGACTTGTGAAATTGACTGATTTTGGCTTCAGCAACAAATTCCAGCCTGGGAAAAAACTCACAACAAGTTGTGGTTCTCTTGCATATTCTGCTCCAGAAATTCTACTTGGTGATGAGTATGATGCACCTGCAGTAGGTAAGTCAATGAATTAAGAGCAAACTAAAGTCACTTTTATTGCATAAATTATTTTGTTTCAGAGCAAGCTGCCATTGGAAGTAAATATTTAGAAATACAGTAGGAAGATGAAAGTCCGCAAAGGTCCCTGTGTAGCTCTTCATTATGCTATTTATGTTTTAACATACTAACTAGTCCAGCGTCTTCTACTTTGGAGTTGATGCAGTTAGGCTTGTTGGTAATTTCTTGGATAGGAGTATTTGTGCATCCTTGATAATGAACATGGTTTGTTTGGAGGAATTTACACTAGAAATACAAAGTGTCTGAAGGTTTCCAGCTGGAACTAAGAGATCTAAATGATGACAAGCTATACTAAAGGAAGGGCTGTGGTTTAGTGGTAGAGCCCATGCATGAAAATCTCCCAGGTTCAATCCTTGGCATCTCCAGATAGGGCTGGGGAAAATGCCCATGTCAGTGTAAACCATATTGAGCCTGATGGATCAATTGTTCTGTGTTCTTATTAATGGCTGCACTATGTTCTTATTAATGGATGCACTCCGATGTACAAGGAGTTCCTAAAAAAGCAGGGTATTTCTCATGTATTTATCAGTGAAGTCAGCTCTGTTTGCATTAGAACCCCAGAATACTATGGAATGTGCTGACAGCATGTGAATACTGACAGCAATTTATCAAGTGGTGTACATACAGCCACATTTGCTCTCATGATGCAGAGAATTGCCACATATCTGCATTTCCTATCAGTATTAGGAAGATAGTAAGGCTTTCTTGTTCATAGCAGTAGCACAGAGTGTTTGGTAAATGGTCTCCTGTATTCATCCAGTGTCTTCTCAAATAAATGTTTGTTTCCCCCTCAAACTGCAGTATTTCCTTTTATGAACAGGATAACATCAAATACACAAGGATGATATTGGACAGCTGTAATCATTTCAGTGGATGCAAGAATTGGCAGTTAATGCCTGCAGGGAGTGTATTCTCAAGTTATCACAATCTGTTGGCACCCTATAGTTGTAACGTAGGAGCGTATTTATAAGTCTTGTGTTATATGAAGAAAATACATTAAGCAGGGTGCCCAAGGCAGGGTTGTTTCTGACAAGTAAATGTCCATTTGATGTCACTAAATGTGTTTGCCCTAAGATACACAAGAGGTGCTTCAGATCTCTGCTAGTGACTTTAGAAAACAGAATTAGATGTTGATCAGGCCTGAAAACACACCAGAATACCACGGGGGGGGGGGGGAGAGATTGTACATCTGACATTCAGTGTTCTTCACGTGGCTATGCAATAGGCTAATTTCATATAGTAACTGAATTATATTAGATAATTGTTTTTTTTTCTAATTGATGTTTTCCTAGTATTTCTCAGCTAACTTCTGAAGATGCAGGAAATGGATAGACTTCCTGAAATTCTGTTTGTTTGTTTTTTGTTCCTATTACTGTCAGTGTGTGGGTTGGCAGGAGCCAACTAGAGAAATGTAAATGAAATTAAGCACAGTGATGAAACAAAGCCTAGTTCAATATAGATGCCCATAACTTCCATTGACTTCTTGCTGGACCTGTATTGGGAGATTCATGAGAAACTAATTTGTACATTTCCAAGTTAATTGTGTGTTTCTTTGCACATGCATGCAGAAAATGTAGATGAGCATCATAGCAATATTTCTTCATAAAAACATTTATGATAAATGCTGGATTTGTGAATATTTAACTTGCCTGTATAAATCCCAAACAGGACTTACTTTAAGTCTTGCTAGAAAGGGAAATAACTGTTGAGTCATGACGTGTTACAGCTTGATTGAATAAGGATTAAGATACATTTAAGGCTTTTCCTTTTAGATATTTCTGCTGGTGCATGTCTGTGTCAGCATTTAGTGTTACATTGTTTAAAACAATGTAGCCCCTATGTACATGTGAGAATTCGTTCTGAAGGTCCGTTCTTAACCTGAAACTGTTCTTAACCTGAGGTACCACTTTAGCTAATGGGGCCTCCTGCTGCTGTCGTGCGATTTCTGTTCTCATCCTGAAGCAAAGTTCTTAACCCAAGGTAGTATTTCTGGGTTAGCGGAGTCCGTAACCTGAAGTGTCTGTAACCTGAAGCATCTGTAACCCAAGGTACCACTGTGTGTGGGGAAAGTACAGTACAACCGATGGCTCTTTCCGGTTTTATCCTTGTGGAGGCGGTGGTGTGAACAGAGTACATTTTACAGCAAACAGTGTTGGGACATATTTATCAGAGCTTCTGGTTAGATGAATGTGGGATGCCTCCAAATAGAAATATATTTACTTTTCTCTAGAACCAAAGAGGAAAAACATACAAGGGATGTATGTAGGCGTGTTGATCTATTAGAAGAAAATATAAAAATCACAGTAACATAATAGGACCAATTAAAATGTCTCAAAACAGTAAATAAACTTTTGCGTTTTCCTGGGGGAAGGGGAGACACAGCTGGACATGTTGGAGCCCAAAAGACTGCAGTTTGTAAGAGTCTTTAAATGAAACACCAATGGCATTGAAGCAGATTAATACCTTCTAGATGTAAAATGATTTCTGGATGCAGAGGCTGCTGGCACAAACACCAGTGGCTGTTCCCCCAGATTTTGGAGATATAAAATTTGACAGTTACTCAAATCTTTCTCCCACAAAGATGGAAACAGAGGTCCCTTGTGAGGGAGAGAGCTGACATACATTTTACATTGGCAAAGATTGATAGAAGCCAATTTGGGTAATATACATAGTGATTAGAAAACATTACCTTTTATCTGAAGAGGAGACTTGGGTTTGGGAGTTATGTGCTTCTGCTTCCAATTTTGGATGCTATTGAATCATTTGCTTAACATCAGCCTCAAGAGCCAAGCCATTTGCTTAATTTTCAGCCTGGAGAACTCAAAAGTTTCTCACTATTTTTTTCTATTCTAGTTGCTCCTTATTAAGGCTGTAAATTTTGAACTTAGGAAGGGTGAGGCACCTGCATGAACTGTTTATAATTGGGTGTGTAAATTATGCAGGAAGAATTTAGGTGTTTTAATTATATCTTAGTGTAATTTACTACGTTGACTAGTTAGCTAGATGTCTAACACTCTAAACTTCCATATGGAAATGGTTATTCTGCTCTTGTCTCAGGCTCTTTCTTCAGTAGTAAAGGAATAAAAGTTACCGGTTACTCCAGTTTGACTCCATCCCCGTTTCCTCTTGCTGTGTTGTAGCATTATTTTCATTCTAGTTTTAGTCTCTTAAGGGCATTGGTCTTCAACTGATAGATCATTGTATGGTTGAAGACCAAGGCCCTTAAAGACTAAAACTAAAATGAAAATAATGCTACAACACAGCAAGAGGAAACAGGGATGGAGCTAAGAGTGCATTGTAAGGGTGCAGCTTCATTTGTTTGTTTTTAAGAAAAATAGAAGAGGAAAAAGAATAGAGATGCTTATATGGTAGCAAATTAGAAGTTGATTTTTAAAAAAAATAGATGTGGCTTCAAATTTTGAAAATTTGATGATTACTTTTTACCAGGTAGTAAAAAAAAGGTAGTTTTCTCTTTTGGAAGGATTGACTTGTGGGTTGTTTAAAAAGACATTGCATTGCCTTTCAGCCTTACCTCATACAGCTATGTTACTTCGTATATCTTCTATATCAGCACAGGTCATTGGAACACTTATGGAATGGGGGTAGATGTAGAATGATTTGGGGGGGGGGTAGCTTGGTCATTTCCTTGAGAGGAGGTAGGACATATCAGTACCTAGAGCTAAATGTTTGTACCCTTCTGCAAATAAATACTTTTTATTAGTACATTGGCTCTACATCAAGTAGTCAATCACTGTACTAATCAACAAACCATAAATGGAAGTTTAAGAGTTCAAACATAGTTTATTGAAAGCCAGAGAGATAACAGCAAGAGTCTCTCTCTCTCTCTCTCTCTCTCTCTCTCACACACACACACACACACACACACACACACACACACACAGAGAGAACATTTTAAGTGAGCTCCAAATATGAGCCTTTACAATTGTGTGATGGTCTTCTGTAATAAGATTCCTTGAGAAAAACAAAACCTTTAGGAATATGTACCATATTTTTCCATCTATAAGATGCTCCCTAATTTTTGACATTATTTTTTAGGGGAAAAACCTAGTCTTATACATGGAAAAATACGGTATTTATTGGGATTTTTTTACCCTGCTTTTAAGCCCAAAAGGCTTCAATAAAAACAAGACGGTTCCTGCCTTCAGAGTTACAATCTAAAAAACACCACATAAAGAAGGAGATGAGGAGAGAAGAACAAGGACACTCAGGAGCTGTTTCTTAAAAGTTAACAAAGTGGTTTTTATACTGATCAGCCACAATGGAAGCTGGGAGGCAAACTGGTCTCAGCAAAACTGATCAGAGTGTGCTTTCCTATATCTCACTCTTGCTGCAGTCTGATGGTGTAAATGCTGCTAGCAGCATTCGAAACTGGGAAAGAAAAGCAAGGCTTCACACAGTCCCTGGAACCTAGGTTGTAGGGTGCCAAAACACAGTTTCTAGGTGCATTTGAAGCTCTTGCAGACAATCGGAAGTCGTGGAAGCCACGTCAGACGTTCGGGTTCCAAAGAACATTCGCAAACCGGAACAATCACTTCCAGGTTTGCAGTGTTTGGGAGCTGAAACGTTCAACTTGCAAGGCATTGGACTTCCGAGGTACGACTGTACAGATAATTCATTCAGATTTTCTGTAGTTTCCTTATGTTCCTTTCAGTATACCTTATCTCCTCTTCATCCATTGTTCAAGTGCCTACCTAGTTGGTGTCTTGTTTTTTGAAAGACAGTAGCTAAAGACATTATGATTGTCGATCTTAATGTTTTTAGTGATGTGTGCCTCAAATTCTTTTTAGGCACCCTTTATTGTCTGCTTGTGTTCAAATTTGTGTTCCATATTATCATTTGGGCAAAACCTCAGTTTTCTGAGTGAAGCATTCTTGCTTCTAATAGCTTCCTTGACGCTTGTTTCTTTAACAACATTGGCATCCTTGGATTTGGTGGTATCTTTTCTGATAAACTGAATACATTCTAGCTGAGCAATTGTTGTGGCTTTGTGGGAAGATTTTCCCTTTCAATTTTGTTTAATTAGCCAATCTATGACCTTTTAAACTGTGTGCGCACACAGGGTGGAGGGGTATTGTTTGCTACTGTGGTATGTATTTCTTGGATAGGGGCAGTATAGAAATTTAATAAATAATAATAATAGTAATCTTTAAAATAAGGGGACTTGTAAAAGATTACTATTCTGAAGTCAAATGTGATTATGTTGGATTTTTTGACAATTGAATACTTATGCGTGTTGGATTTCATAGCATTGTGGTCACTAGTTCCAGTTGGTTTCAACAGTGTTTGAACTTCTACCAGGTCCTGAGCAGCATCCATAGTTTTTCCTCCTTTGGTGGATTCCATGACCAACTGTTCCAGGGCACTATATTGAGGCTAATGAAAAATGCATATTTTTGTGTGACCAGAATATTCATCTAACAGTCTCTGTGATTACAATTGAAGGCATCCATTACTACATTTCCTGATTTTCACCCTCCATCTCAAGATCACTATGAGCATTTTGGTCAGGGAAGTATCAGTATGTCCTTAGTACAGTCAAACCTCTGTTCCCGAATGGCTCCGTTTTGGAACGTTTTGGCTCCCAAACGCCGAAAACCCGATAGTAAATCCTCCTGTTTTCGAACATTTTTCAGAAGCTGAACATCTGATGCAGCTTCCACTTGAATGCAGGAAGCTCTTGCAACCAGTCGGAAGCCAAACCTCAGTTGTCGAACATTTTGGAAGTCAAACGGGCTTCCAGAATGGATTATGTTTGACAACTGAGGTTTGACTGTACTAAATTACTTCTGGAGCCTGGTATTGCCACCCACAGCAATTTTTGGAGGGGTGTGTCTACTCCGTTTAAGATTTATAGTTTGTATGCCAAAGAGACATAATCAGTGGTCCTGTCAGAATTATTTTCACCCTCATCCTCTAGGTATGATACATTCCAAATAGGATGCTATCCAGCTTCTTTCAGCTTTCCTCCAGGATTAAGTTCAAAAATTGGTGTGCAACTTCTGACATCAAGCATTGGATCCTAGCCAATTGCTGCATTAAATTACATTAACTTCATTTAGAGATTCCAGAGTGTTTGTCGATATTCCATGCATCCAGAAGCCTAATTTGAGTACAGAACTTTCAATTACGAAAATAAATGAGACAGCAGGCCTCAAGCTTTGTACGTGTATCGGAGCCCCATAAAATTTTTGATCTGAAGCGATTGTTCAAGTCACATAGTATATATCTTGTTGGGACAATTATAAACTCAGTTGCATTGCTTTGGCAGCAGAGAAAGGAATGAAAAATAAGAGATACAGTGGTACCTTGGTTGTTGAATGGCTTGGCTTCCAAACAAATCGGCTCCAGGACACCACAAACCCAGAAGTGTATGTTCCAGTTTGTGAACGTTTTTCAGAAGCCGAACGTCTTCCGCAGCTTCCGCTTGAGTGCAGGAATCTCCTGCAGCCAATTGGAAGCCGCGCCTTGGTTTTCAAACCATTTCGAGAGTTGAAATAACTCCAGGACGGATTAAGTTTGACAACCAAGGTACCTCTGTATTTGGTTCTACGTTCAGTCCAAAATTGGTGCTACCACACTAAATTGCTTAACTTCTCTGAATTCATGAGACAGTTGTGCCTTATTTCCTGTCAACACGACCTTTTAATGATGACATCTTGAATTTCTTGTCATCCCGTCATTGTGTGTGACTTTTTTTAGTGCAACTCATTTCCTGAACTGTACCTGCACTGTCATCAGTGGCATAACAGTAAACCGAACTCTGATCACTTTGCGGGCCAAGCACTCTGTAGCAACAGCAGAGACAGGAAATCCTCTCCAAACCAGAAAGGAAGGGGGCAAGAAAGAGTGAGAACATCATCACAGTGGATTGCTGGGGTGGGGTAGACCGTGGGAAAGACATTGTGTAAAAGTCTAGTTGAAACTGTTGAGCCTGATCTGTAGTTGTCTGTCTCCACTGCTTTAATACTGATTTTATGTGAAAATGACATTTTGAATTATTTAAGTGATTATTGCAGTTAAAAATTTGGATAACCTCACTTCCCAAAATGTAAGACTCAAACCTTTCCACTGTTCAGTTCAGCACAACATTGTAATATGCTATCAAAATGAAATGGTGTAACAGGTGTTTATTATACCAGTTCAGATTAAAATCAGCAATTATTTTGGGTTTACATAAAGCCCACAACCCCCTTGCTCAGGCTTTGTGAACTACTTGTGGGTCATGACCCACAGGTTGCAAAACACTGTTTTAGAGACTTAGAAATTGAGAAGGCAAGCATCAGCTGTGATGCTGGAATTGCTTCAAAACGCCTTAGAAATACGATGTGATTATTAGCTTCTGTAAACCATGAAGATCTGGTCTCACAAGGAGCAATTTCTGAATGTTTTAGGCCTTCACTATGGGATTTGTGGCCTAATATTTTTGTTTGGAGTTTTTGTGTGTGAGAAAACTGTCCTTTTTTTGTCTGTATATGTAAATACAAGCCAAGTCTTGGTGCTGTCTCCTCACTAGATTTGAGATGAGCATGGCAGGGGCAGTCAGTGACGTGGCTTGGTTTCCATGGCAGTGACTTGATGTTATGTAAGGAAGTTGCATATACACTGGCTGGTTGTCATGGTTCTAAGAATCGTACTCAAACAGCTCTTTCTCAATCGGATTTTTTCAGTAACATTGAAGGTACACAGGTGCTGACCAACAACACTTAACACATTCTTATTTGTGTGTCTGTCACAATTCATATAGCCCACTAGTCCTTAAGAACAGCGTCCTATTTTGAGAGAAGGAATTTATTTTTAAAACCACAGAATGTCCCTGTACAGTTCTCATTCAGATCCTCTTCCTGAACATATTTTGTGCAATTCTAAATCCACTTTTTAGGGAAACAAACAATGATTCTTGCTAACAGTGCTTTTTCACTTGACGTCGTTCCAGATTTTTTGTGAAGATATTCTGCCAGGCTATTTACATAGGCTAGCAACAAATAGAAAAGCTTAAAAAAACAAAACAAACACCAACTGCTTCTAATGTTGGGAGTTCTTAAAATGACCGTTAAGTTCCCAAGGGAAATGGGAAGGTACCTGGAAACAAAATCTTGCTTACTTTAGACTTGATGGCTAGCAACAGGGGTATAAACAATGTTGTTTGCATTTCCTCCTATTGTATTCTTTCCTGTACAAACTTAGCTCTTAAATTAGTATGGTAAAATTGTGATAATTTTCAAGCTGTTAGGTATTGTTTTAAATGCTTTAGCAGTTTTCCATGATACCCATTTTCAACCAATAGTTGATTAAAAAAAAAATTAGGTTAGTGTGTTGCATGCAGGGCACAATAAAGACGTGTTTATATATATAAACAAAGGTGAATAATTTGTCCGGGGAGAGGGGGAAATAGTATCTAAAAAATTAAAATCTGCACCCACCAAGGTAATAACTGTGGCAGCATTGCTGAATATAATCTTCACATTTCCACTATTTATTTCAGTGAGCATATGAAGCTGCATTTCATCTTTCTGTGTATAAGGCATTTGTGGTATTACGCTGCTCAGTTCTGAACAATTAAAATGTTGGTTCAAATTAACTATGGTAGGAAACTAATTTTTCTCCCTGTGTCGATTACAATAGGTTGTTGTTTTTCAAGTACAATATTTTTAAAATCTTGTTACAGATATATGGAGCCTGGGAGTTATCCTTTATATGTTGGTATGCGGGCAGCCACCATTCCAAGAAGCAAATGACAGCGAAACTTTGACAATGATCATGGACTGTAAATACACGGTGCCATCACGTGTGTCCAAAGAATGTAAAGAGTAAGTGAAATGTCGAAGATAATGTATTGAAATTAAAATCATAACACTAATCATTCAGTATAGAACCAGTGTGGTGGTTAGCTAGGACTAGCACAGGGCTAGGTCCCAGGTAATCCCAGCTCACCCATTATTTAGGACTGTAGGCCAGGAACTATTCTTTCAACCCTCACAGGGTTGTCATGATAATGAAATAGAAGAACCATATATACTACCTTGAGCTCCCTAGATAAATATGAAGTTTTTCTTCATTCTTGAAATGGTTTGCTTCTTTAAACATCACCCTTTATCACGTTCATTAAATGTTTGCATGTTGATGCGCTACAGGAGAGGGGTAACTTCTTCGCAGCTGAGGTCCAAACGGGAAATATTAACTTGATGGTTCCTTTGAAGCTGTGCATATCTACTTTCATCAGTGTGATGGATGCAAAGTCTATGTACAGATAAGAAACGTTTTCAAAGCTAAAGGAATACCTTCTCTCCCTTTACCATTTTTATTGCCGAAGCCCACAATGAGATGGCTCAGCCTGCTTCCTGGCAGCAGTACTTGGCTGCTGTTGTCAGTTGAAGAATACATTGATAACTGGAAACGTGAAACCCTGTAAACTATTTTTTATTGAGTGATTTTCTGTATTCACATGGCCCATTGTAGAATAGCAATTTGTTAATAAAACAGAAGACAGTTTAAGAACTCAAGTCTATTCAATAAACATTGTGAAGTCTGTTGGAGCTGGAAAAAAATAATTTGTTTTTTAATTGCAATTCTGGTTTTAGTAATTTTGATTGCTTTTTATATGACTTGACACTTGCTTAACACAGGTCCATAGCCATTCTGTGACTTCTATAGACAGGTTAAAAAAACTAATAAGTGGAAAGTAATCCCAAGAATAATTCTACCTTGTCATAATTCTGTGGCTGCTTCAGATACCCCTAGTTGCAGGTTTTAATTTTGTCTTGTCCCTCAACTGTATGCATTGTTTTGTTTTTATTTTTTCTGTACTTCTGTTTGTATTATATATGTGTAAGGAGCATCAAGAGAGATATGAAAACAGTCATGGTAGATAAGCTAGTTTGCCATCTAAACAAGCAAGCAGACATCCATACTTTCAAATTTGTTTGTAGATGTGTGTAGAAACTAACTTTTAAACTTGGGGAATGATGACACCCCTTGGATGCTTGGGAAACGTTTTCCTACTGTGATGGTGCTAACATACTTATAGAGCTGTATCTTTGTTTCCAGCTTAATCACACGAATGTTACAAAGAGACCCAAAACGAAGGGCATCTTTGGAAGAAATTGAAAACCATCCCTGGCTTCAAGGAGTTGATCCATCGCCTGCAACAAAATATAATATTCCTTTGGTTTCATACAAAAATCTGTCCGAGGAAGAGCACAACAGCATCATACAGCGAATGGTTCTGGGAGACATTGCAGACAGAGATACCATAGTAGAGTAAGCCACCGTTTTCTATTGTGTTTACATTCCAGGATTGCAATTCCAATTTCGTTGTTACAGAACAATTTTCTGTATAGAGCACAAGAAAATCCTTTTCTGGATCAGGTGCATGTCAGCTTAGCCAAGTTTCCAGCCATTACCAGCCTTAAAAGTAAAGCTGAAGGCAACCAACTTGCCCTGATTTATGCCCACTGGTATTCAGAGGAATAACTGCAGATGCAAGATGCACCAAGCGTTTGTATGTATCTTTGTAAGCTAAAGTGGCCCATGACAAATTAAATCATTTACAGAACATGTCAAAATATCAGTAACTTTTTGGAAATAAGTTACCAAGTCTGGTCAAAGAGGAGCCCTGTGTAAAGCCCAATAATCAAATTGTCATTCATATTCTATTCAGTAGCTTGAGTTTTCTTTCTTCTTGGGTCTCTGGGCAATGGCCTTATCAGCAGTTTCCTTTTCTCCCATGTGTAGTTGATTGGGGCAGCAGGCCAAAGAGTGGGGCACCCTGGTTTTGGCATGCATCTTGTTCAGTCGTGTCCTGTTTTTTATGCACTATTATCTGGCTCCCAACATCCTTGGCCATGTTAAGGAAACACTGGGTTATTGGGGGTGTAGGGCGTTGCTTGAAGGAGTAGGTATTTCCACTATGTGGCTTCTTCCTAGTGTAAACCGCTTTTAAATTGTATGTTTTGTTGTAACCCAAACATTAACTTTATATGTTCAGCTGCTGAATAGTGAAAGTGGCAATGTTGGAGACAGGCCCAATATAGAAGCCACTGAGTTAACAAGTGGATGCTTTAAAACAGTTGAAACAGGAATTTGTATCTGCCAAGAAGCCTGCTGTTGATGCCTAATGACTAACGAGATGAACACATTGTCCGTTTGGCTATGGAAGATCAGTGGCAGATTTAAAAGTAACACATCACCTGTTTGCAAATTGATTTTATTTTGGTCCTTTGCCTCTCCCCTTTGTGTAGTGCTAGGCAGTGGCTAGTTGGCAACAATGCTCCCGTGAGCTGAGTTGGGGGAGAATGTGAGGAAAGTCCATGCTAATAAATGCTCTCCTGCTTTCAGGGCAAGCACTTGATAAAGTCTCAGTCAACATTGACAAAGTTTGTTTCCCTGGGGTTGCCTCTCCCTGCAGTGAGAGGTCATCGCAGGGAGGCAGTGGAGACACTCCCAGTCTCCTAATCTCAGTAATCGTAGTCACAAATGTATGTATCAGGAGCTCAGCCTGGAAGAGAATTCCTTTGTTTGAGCAGACTATCTGTAAAAGTAAAGTATAGTTATATCTGACAGCTGCAAAAGGTTACTGAAGCATAGACTGGCATTCAGTAAATTACTGTGATTGGGGAAAATCTATTCAGCTTTTGGTTGCTTTCCTTAATATAGCCTAGTTTGATTATTGAACTTGCCACATTAGGTTGTCCAGTTCTTAATAAACTAAAAGCTATTTGTCAATATGTCAAAAGACTAATTTCTACTTACAGGCACTGTTCAGTATTTGCTTTGAGGTGCATTGTAAGCAGTGCTGGCTGCATGTCCAGTTTCAGAAAACTGTTGATGTATGATGTGTTCCATTTTAATTTTATTTCCCCCAGGGCTCTGGAAACCAACAAATACAATCACATCACTGCTACCTACTTCTTACTAGCAGAGCGGATTTTGAGAGAGAAGCAGGCGAAAGAAATACAAACCAGATCAGCAAGCCCAAGCAATATCAAAGCTCAGTTTAGGTAATAATTTAAAGTACTCAAGTTGTACTAAATTTAAGAGTTTTTAATCATCCATTCTTTAAAAGGGCCCACCTTTTTGATAATTTTAAATAGATTGTCATGCTACTGTGGTGTATCATTGCCAAAACACTGTGTGCTCTACAGCTTCTGCACAGCTAAGTTGGTAGTTTTGAAGGCATTTTGCTGCTGAAGGTTTTTAACTGTTCTGCAGGTTGGGATCTGGAAGCTTATTCACCAGCAGCACAGCCACAGAATTAGTTCAGTGGAGAAATGTTCGTTTTCTTTTCTCCTGTCATGCTGAAGTCGCCATTCTTAGCCTTTCTATCATTGAATTCACAACCTAGGATAATGTTAGGTAAGGAATATCTGAGTTCATGCTTGCCCCAGCGCAGGCCACAACTGTAACACAGAACGAATCAGCCACTTTGTGGTGGTGTTGTTGCAGAGTCTGCACCCTATTCCAACAGGCAGAATTTCCCATGAAGAATGAGAGCTCAGAGAGAGATGGAAATCGGTGCATCCCATTCCTGTTAGATCAGATATGGAGGCTTCTGCCCCTGCAGATGGTGAGGGACTACAATGTCCATCACCCCACCCACTAGCCATGCCAGCTGGGGCTGATGGAAGTTGGGAGAGTGGAGGACAGCCTGTTACCACCTATAGGTGGTAATAAGAAAATGCGCAAATAAAGCTGCCTACATGTGTCTAGTTCAGCTTTGTCTAACCTGACTTGGCAGGAGCTCTCCACCATCTTGGACAGAGATCCTTCAAGCTTTCCCTGTTAAAGATCATCAGACCAGGAATGCCATGGATTGAGCATAGCACATGCATGAGAAAGTGTGTGCTCTACCACTGAGTTATAGAACATAGCAATATCGTGGCTCTGTCAGGAACTGTAACTGGGAAGTAACTGCTGAAGCCCATACCAAAGTTCCATTGGTGAGCTTGAGGGTACTTTGTGGGAAAGGAGTAGGCAGTTAAAAAAATAAATTGCCTAGAAAGTTGTATTTTCAGAAACGGAATAGTTAAAGAAGCTGAAAGGTATAATTAGGAAGATCCCTTCAGGAAGGCAGGACTATTTAAAACCACTGCAATAGAGACTAAAATAAAATGTACACTGCAAATGAGAAGAAACACAAACAAGTCCAGAAATATGTCATTGTGTTTAAAAAGTTCCATCAGAGAGTATATGAAAGGCGGAGGCCTTATTTTAAGAAATTGAAGTCTTTTCAAAATGAAGACAATAACCAGCAAAAGTTCATGTGCCTTTCCTTCTGTGTGCTTTTAAATGCCATGTTAGGACTGGCCACACTTCTGCCTTTGTGATGATAGCATCCTTTCTGCCCATATTTGCTCTGTTAATTTTTAAAAAAACAACAACATTGGAGCAAATTACTACAATTGTGTGTGGGGGGGTGATTTTTGGAAGGAAAACCATAAACGAAGGATAACCCTTGTCCTGCGGTCCCAAACTAGTTTTAGTTGTGTTCGGGATGAGGGCAGGAGAGAGATTATGTTGCCAATTGTAAGCATGGAAATACTTAAGTGTATTTAAAATTGCATCTAGTTTGACTCCAATAGTGCAGCTGCCAACCTTTGCACACTTGGGAGTAAGGCATGTTTTGCTAAAGTGGGAGTTATTCATTCTGAATGAATATGCTTTAACGAGGCTGCATGGATACAAATTCTGGAAAACCACACTTGAAATTGACAGGCAAGAAAAGTAATTGGACAGATAGTTTTTTTAGCTTAGTTGTTAAATGCATCAGTCAGAAGTGATGTAGGATATAAAAAGTTCAAATAAATTGCTAGTTGAAAAATTTCAGCAAAGCTGATTATGTGTAATATAAATGTATGATTACCACAACCATGGAAGCTTGGACTGGAAATGTACTATTCCACAAACATATGTATTTTCAAGGATTATTTGATACCTGGGTCTCACTCTGTGTGCAAGGGGACACTGGGATATCTGCTGTGCACTTTGTTAAGTGACTTTGTGCATTTGGCTCTTATTGGCCTGATTTCTAGCTATTTTTTTGATCTGCCAGCCTGCAACTGAATACTCTGAATGAACAATTTCTTTGAAAGTCTCTGGCATTCATGGCAATGGCTTTGGAACCTGCTCTGGGTAATCTTGGGCGTGGGCATGCTTATTAGAATTTTCTGCTTTTCCCCTTTACATAGCAGACTGCCATACCAGATCACAAATTACTTTTTGAAAATATTTCAATAAAATATTATTATTATTAATTATTCTACCCCCGCCCATCTGGCTGGGTTTTCCCAGCCACTCTGGGCAGCTTTCAACAGAACATTAAAAATAGAATAAAACTTCAAACATTTAAAACTTCCCTAAACAGGGCTGCCTTCACATGCCTTCTAAAAGTCAGATAGTTGCTTATTTCCCTGGCATCTGAGGAGAGGGCATTCCACAGGGTGGTGCCACTACCAAGAAGGCCCTATGCCTGGTTTCCTGTAACCTCACTTCTCGCAGGGAGGGAACCGCCAGAGAGGCTTGCCACTGGCTGCTGCTGCTGGTGCTATTGCTAGAGAAACCTCAACCCAAAGCTACATCAGTTGTGCAGAACTAACTGGTAAGATCTCTGGATCTTGGCCAATATGTACAAATTTAATTCTTTGCCTGCTTGGTAAATTTTAAAGTCACCTTACATTTTTCCAAGTTATAGTGAGAGGAGCTTTGCTTTTAAAACTTTTACTAAAATCTTCTGTTTCCTCTTTGTTGCACCTCCCTTAGGCAGTCATGGCCAACCAAAATCGATGTCCCTCAAGACTTGGAAGATGACCTTACAGCTTCTCCTCTCTCCCATGGAGGCGTTCCTCAGTCTCCAGCTCGCAGTGCTGAAAATGTTCTTAATGGTCACCGGAGCAAGGCACTTAATGATGCATCAAAGAAGGAGGACATTCCTGAATTAGCAGGACCAGCACTTTCCGTCGTTCCTTCGGTGAGCTTAAAACCTACAACTAGCGGTCGGAAGTGCTTGTTTAGGGTGGAAGAAGACGAGGAGGAGGACGAAGAAGATAAAAAACCAGTCTCCCTTTCGACCCAAGTGGTCCTGCGCCGCAAGCCTTCCGTTACAAACCGTCTTACTTCCCGGAAAAGCGCCCCGGTCCTGAACCAGATCTTTGAGGAAGGGGAGTCAGACGACGAGTTTGACATGGATGAGAACTTGCCCCCCAAACTTAGCCGTCTAAAAATGAACATTGCTTCGCCAAGCACCGTGCACAAGCGCTACCACCGAAGGAAAAGCCAGGGTCGGGGATCGAGCTGCAGCAGCTCAGAAACAAGCGACGACGACTCCGAAAGCAGGCGGCGTCTCGATAAAGACAGCGGGTTTACTTACTCCTGGCACAGACGGGATAGTAGCGAGGGACCTCCCGGCAATCAGGGAGACGGCAGCGGACAAGGAAAACCAAGCAATGGAAACGGAGGAGTAGACAAAACGAGCCCTGGCGACAACAACAAAGGGGGCGGAAGTCCTTCCAGTAGTTCTAGCGGAAGCACAAATAACAATTCGGGTTCCACTCGCAGGTGCGCCGGATCTGGAAATTCAATGCAGTTGTCTTCAAGAAGCGCGGGCGACCTGGTGGAAAGCCTCAAATTAATGAGCCTCTGCTTAGGTTCACAGATTCACAGTAGCACTAAATACATTATTGATCCGCAAAACACCATCTCCTTTTCCAGCGTCAAGGTACAGGAGAAATCCACGTGGAAGATGTGCATAAGTTCCTCTGGGAATGTAAATCCAGCTTCGTCCTTGGGCAGTATAAAATTCTTTTCTGATCAGATGTCAGACACTGCAAACAAATTAGAACGGATAAAGAGCAAGAACTTGAAAAATAACGTGCTCCAACTACCTCTGTGTGAAAAGACTATATCTGTGAATATTCAGCGAAACCCGAAGGAGGGATTGCTGTGTACCGCTGGCCAAGCTACTTGCTGTCACGTTGTTTGACAGTAATCAGACTTAACTCATTCTACTTGACATCACCAATCTTCCTTTTCTGCGCTGTGAATACTTTATTTCACTGAAACCCTTCATTGTCATTGTCTTAATATTTTTAAATGAGCTTTGAGCAGTAATTTATTACATTTTAATTTAGTTTGCTTGAAATGACAATGCATGATTTTGTGCATGCTGCTAGCCAATAATTATTTTTTTTGTTCCCAACGAAAACAGGATTTGTGTACTTTTTTACATTTATAATTTTACTATAGAAAATCTGGATTACAGTAAGGCTTGTGTCCGAATCCAGTGTAAATGAAGCACTTAGTAGTTTCACATTCTGCACTTAAATTAGAGAGAGAGAGCGCTTTTGTTTCTTTGTGAAATGTCCAATCTTGTTCTGATCTTCTGTGTTTCCTAAACTATGTGAGATGCGGCATAATTCTGTGTGTTTGCAACAGAACCAAAGCAATAATGTTTTGATGCTGAAAACTTCTGTGAGCTTTCAGATTTCCAAGGCTTGTACAAAGCAAGGATGCACTGAGAATTTAAGAGATCTTGAACTATAATTTTTATCCCCACATCTCTTTTGTCTTAAACTATAATATGCATGAGGTGGTGGCTGAAGATCTTGGTTTGTTACAGACAAGATGGGGGGGGGGGAAATAGTTAAGGCAGCTTCCCCCGAGAAAAATTGTACATGCAGACAATCTTTTAAAAACTCTATTACAAAGGAAAATTATAAAGTCATCTGCTTGGAGTATTTTTTAAAAAAACAATCTAAGGGAGAACACATCTGTTACTAGAGTCTATTATCATGGCAGTTGTTGGGTACAGTGCAAGACTATATAAATTGGACCAATCTGTGTGACTTTTGAGAGGTCTTTTCCAGTAAGCTAGTTCCTGTAAATTAACTAGCCATAAGCATAGTAAAAGGCTTAACAAAGTTTCCTCCTCCTGTCTTTCACCCTACCCCACAGCATTTTGAAGCCTGCTCTCAATATTATTGATTACCTGAAGGATGTAACTGAGCATCTTAATTCCACATTTCCATTATTTCCATGTAAACAAATGAACAGGCCAATCAAGATGGGTGTCTGCGTGTTGTGAGATATATCAAAAGTGCTCCAAAATGCAGCACTGTATCCAGTCACCTAAACCAATTGTTTAAGTGAATTTAGGGAGAGCAGAAAACAGTTGCTAGAATTTGAATAGGTGGTCTGTTCAGATCAGAAAGGATCTTAATGGGAGTGCATTAACATTGTGCATCCTAAATACACTCCACAGATCAACGTGCCATGTACTGCAAATTTCTAGAATTTTTTTCAATATAAAATTTAGTTTGGGGTATAACAGTCTTGTTTATTTCCCTTCCATAACTCTCTCTCCAAATCGAGTCAGACAACACAAGTTGCATGGATCAATTTCTTTTTACATTCTGCACAGCTCTTAGTTTTTCTCTTTTTTTAACCCCTTGCTACTGAGATGTCAGCAGATAAATAGGCTGGCATTTTTAATGTACAAAAGGAAACTTTTGACCAGGTGAACTTCTTTGAACTTTTATCTAGAATAAAATATATTGCAGATTCCCAATTTTGGGAAGGACAAGAATGTTATTTTTTCAAGCTCTGTGCGCTGGGTCTTCAAAGCAATGCTGGTAAGTATTGATGGTATTATGTAGCAACAACCCAGGCAGGCACTGATTAAGAGACTTTACACAGTTTAGTATCTAAATGCTAGCAAAATGGTCAAGTAGAATGCATTTCATTTACCTTGTAGACTGTAGAGCACCAAAGAACTGTTTTTGGTTATGATACATTCATGTTTGCTTCTTTTAGTGTGGCAAAGGATGCAACCCAAAGCATATTTACAAGGAAGTAAATCCCAGTGTGTTCAGCATGGCTTACTTCCAAGTAAACATGTTCAGAATTAGGCTGCAAATCTCAATCATGCAGCCTATTTTATTATCAAGCTTAAGAGGGGAATATATTTTCCCAGCAAAACAAGTTACAAATGAAACACTTTGCTTTAGTTTTGTTTTTTAAGCTTATGTTGCAGTGTAGTTTTAAAACAGCCTATCATACATGTATGATATCTACACAGTTGAAAGCTACAAGAACAGGCATGCCGGCGAAGCCATAGCGCATATTTCTTTGAAATTTACTTAAGCAGGGATCTTACAAAGGGCCAGAAATATGGACAGTTCACAGATGACGGTGAACAGAGCATCTATATAAAAAGTAGGAGAAAGTTTATAAAGGGCATTGGCAATAAACTGTTGCAGCTTTTTATTTTCAAGTCTTGTAAATATTCTTTCCACACGTTATGTACAGCCTTGGAATGGCACCTTTTGACTAATCCCAGACGTTTTTTCATTCCCTCTGTTTTTTATATACAAATGTGTATATACGGTGCTCACTTTAGAACAGCAGTGTTGACCATTTATGCTGCATAGCTGTAACATAGCCTTATTTAGTTGTGTATGGTTGGTTGAACCTCTGGGTGTACAGATGTTAGCTTGAGTGTTGTCTTTTTAATCCATTTATTCACCGGTGAATGATTGTGCATGTGTTGTATGTTGTATTACGTCATGTTAAAAGGAGGGAGAGAATAACCACTACATTGAAATATATTGGACCAAACTATTATAGAACAAGTAACAGTTTCTTGTACCCCTTAAATCTGTCTTTACAAGTTGCATATAGTCAACGTAGCATATAAATTAAATATTGTGGAAAGCAACTAGTCTTGTATTTTTCTGTATGTGTATATAATGTACCTCTAGCAACTTTATCTGTATTTAAGATGTGACAATCTTGACACAGAATTTTACAATTAGTAAAATAAAGCAGAATAAAAATGGAGAAAAGCTACGTGTATTAGGGGGAGGGTACAGAAATACCAGTTGATCCTTGTCAATTGCTTCCAGCGATGTTTGGCTTTCTTCATTGTATAAACATTCATGGTGTGTGACAAATGGAAAAAAAAATCCAGTTAATAAAAATGACCTCTTGATTGGTGCATAAATGATGTCCATGTCAACTTTATACGCTCTCTGGCCCTGAGGACACCAGAAGCTGATGTACTGTGACTTTTTGTCAGAAGTAAAAAACAGGATTACATTTAGAGTGGCTCTCTATGCAGTCATGCATTGGAAACTACACATGCAGGAAAAATTATGGCAACTTCTGAAGTTTTCTAATGAGCATGAGAGACTCTTGCTAGCTCTTTATCTACCACTCATGTGAACAGGAAGTGTCTTGTTCTTTGGGTGTTAGTCGTTGTGTTTTGTAACTTGAAATCTTTTTTTTTTGATGAGACTACTGGAAGGAGAAAATCTGTACGGGTGTGTTTGTGGACTCTCGCTCCCCTTAAAAAAAAGGCTCCAAAGCCCATATTTTAAAAAATTGAAAAATTTGGGGGAAGTGCTAATTGGATGACTATACTCTGTATACTACCTTCCTTGGAAACGGGTATGACAGCATTGAATTTACTAGCAATTCATTCAAGGCTCCAAACGTTAGGACTTCACATTTGTTTAGGATGAATGCCACAAAAAATGAAATAAAAACGTAAGTTTTATTCATCATTTAAGGAATAGCTGGAATTTAAAATTTAACTTTTTAAACTAAATCATTCATAAGACAAGCCTAAAGAAAACTGAGCTAATGGACAATATAAAATACTCGACTTTATCTGACTTGGTCAGGTTGTGGTGGCACTTGGACAGACATGGTCAGAAGAGCAACAAATTTGACATCCTGAGATGTCTGCAAGTCCCATCTCTTCCACACACACACCCGTCCTTACAGGAATAGCATGGTGTGCACATCAGTGGCAGAGAGAGAGATTATATTTGAAAATAAAAGGGCTGGGTATCATGGATTAATCAAAGTTTCTTTGATCACAACCTTTTTGAAACCACCTGCCAGTCCAGAGTTAACAGAAACAAATTTACTTTATTAGGAGAGAGCTTGGAAGGATGCTAAGTATTCTGTTAGCTGCCTCAAACCATACTGCAATCTTCCGCCTTTGGGCTTGCAATCCAGATTTGACTACAGTCCAAAACTACTCTCTGCATATGGGTGAGAACTGCACACGGAGTTTGAGTCTCTCTCTCTCTGCTTCCCTGCCCCTGGGTCAAGTCATCTGAAATGGCTTAGAATAAAATATTCAGCGCAGCTTCACCAGCTGAAAAGATGCTGCTTTAAAATGCTTTTTCATAAAATGGCCTCTGGTAAAGGGCGCTTTCCAGGAAAAACTCCCATGAAAGCTCTAGATTCATGTAATTTCTGTCAGTCCCCTTGTGCAGGTGAGACGTTGGGGCAAAATAGTTGATATGAATCAGTTCATTAATCCAGTCAACAGACCTCACACACACAAAAAATTGCATTCTACAAAACACAATACAATTTAATCAAATAATCTATTAGTAATTTGGTATCCTGGCTACTATAACTCTGAATGTTATTTTTCACCACCTTTGAATATAAAGTTTATGACACAAACTAGCTAAATTCGTGTTGAGAGTAATGAAGCTACCAGTGAAAATCAATAACATGTTTTCCTGGCTGCTAACAGAGATATTTAATGAATTTGTATTCTGTTTCTAAAGGTAAAGGTACCCCTGCCCGTACGGGCCAGTCTTGCCAGACTCTAGGGTTGTGCGCTCATCTCACTCTATAGGCCAGGAGCCAGCGCTGTCCACAGACACTTCCGGGTCACGTGGCCAGCGTGACAAGCTGCATCTGGCGAGCCAGCGCAGCACACGGAACGCCGTTTACCTTCCCGCTGGTAAGCGGTCCCTATTTATCTACTTGCACCTGGGGGGTGCTTTCGAACTGCTAGGTGGGCAGGCGCTGGGACTGAACGACGGGAGCGCACCCCACCGCGGGGATTCGAACCGCCGACCATGCGATCGGCAAGTCCTAGGCGCTGAGGTTTTACCCACAGTGCCACCCGCGTCTGTTTCTGTATGATGTATAATATTTTAATGTGAAGTCTGTGGGCTTAATCAATAAATTGACAGCTAATATGAATATATCTTACATTCTGCAAGCATGGATGTGCTTCTGGCTGCTGCTAAAGATACCCTCTCTCCCAATCCTGAGGCTGTTTAAAATGCATGAATGAACACCCCCCCCCCAAAAAAAAACCCCACCCCTCAATATTCACTGTTTTGCCTTCTAGCAGTGCTAGCTACAATCATGGAGAAGGGTAAAAATGCAATTTTTTCATATATCTCTAGGTCATTGGCTTTTTTACTCTGGTCTCCACTTCCTCTTTTCAATGTAACCCCCCCCACACACACACACACTGTTTTAATGAATCCAAGTGGCCGATATACATAAATTTGTATGTATATACAGTGGCATCTCGGTTTTCAAACGTCTCTGTTGATGGACATCTGGGTTTTGGAACGCCATAAACCCGTAAGTAAATGCTTTGGTTTTCGAACGCGCCTCGTAAGTCGAACATGAAACGTGGCTTTCGTTTTGAGGCTTCCGTATTGAGTTTTTGAATGATTCGGAACTCAAATGGTCTTCCAGAACACATTACGTTCAAAAACCGAGGTACCACTGTATATAAAGGACTGTAACCATTGCTGCTATGGCATTACGATCGCTAGTTCTACCTTGTAACCTGATTACACCAGTGTTATGAGAGAGAGTGCTCATATACAGTTAGGATTCACTGGGAACTTTAAGCTTAAATATCAACAGTTAACTTGTTTTTATACTGCCATCCCAACCATCTCACCTGCCTTGGTTAAAATAACTAAAGCTCTTCGGAAAACTCTCTTCAGCCAAATCCTATCATTGTAGAACATAACAATACAAAGTTTTGCATTAAGTTGGGTTTTAGATGCAAAAGTGAAATATTGCAGATTAGGCAGGTGGCCTCAGGGAAAGGAAAAGTCAAAAGGGTTTTCCACTGAAGATGGAATGGGGGTGGTGCCTCAAAATTAGGGGCTGCTTCTCTTCTGCACCCTGAAAATAAAACCAACAACTGAAAGTGATGAGCGTGTGGGGAGGTATGTGTGTGATATGATAGCCATGTTCAAATATATAAAAGGATGTCACATAGAGGAGGGAGAAAGGTTGTTTTCTGCTGCTCCAGAGAAGCGGACACGGAGCAATGGATCCAAACTACAAGAAAGAAGATTCCACCTAAACATTAGGAAGAACTTCCTGACAGTAAGAGCTGTTCGACAGTGGAATTTGCTGCCAAGGAGTGTGGTGGAGTCTCCTTCTTTGGAGGTCTTTAAGCAGAGGCTTGACAACCATATGTCAGGAGTGCTCTGATGGTGTTTCCTGCTTGGCAGGGGGTTGGACTCGATGGCCCTTGTGGTCTCTTCCAACTCCATGATTCTATGATTCTATATAGCATTTATCTCAAAATGCAACTGCTGAAGAAAGGCCAAAATGTACTGGGATTGCAGAGCTCAGAGGAGCTGGAGGCCAGCCAACCAGAAGAGTCTCTGAGGTGTTCTTGCCTGGAAGCAGAGTCAGCATCCAAAGTCAGGTCCAGTCCTAGGGGCGGGCGAACAGCAATCCATGTGGTCTAATGGTCCAGGGGTCAGGGAATCCGATGATCTTGGGGTCAAGACGAGCAGGAAGCAGCAAGATCAGGCCAGAAACTCCAAGCATTGTTGCCAGCATCTGACTGCTGCTGGAAGCTCTGCTTAAGAAGACTGAAGTCAGTTGGTTCTCATCAGTGCCTTCTCCTCTGAGTCCTTGAAGGTGGAGTCACTCTGTCCTCTCCCCCTTCAGGCTGCTGTTCAGCAGGCAAAGCTGACTCCTGGTCCTTGACACAGGGAAAGGGAGTTTAATCCTTTCCTCTCCTGCTCCTCCTCTGTTGCAGTCCTCCTGAATCTGTCACGGATAGCCAACAAGGTTTTGGTGATCTAAAGCTGCCTTCATTCCTGATCCTTGGGTATGCTTACTGAAGCTGATGGGATCAACAACTTCTGCAAGGCACCATGTTGACATTCCTTGTGGTAGGTCCATTATGGTTTCGGGAGGAAATCCCATGCTAGCACCCACTAGGAGTTTCTTTTGAATGCAAATAGCTTCAAACTTGTGTTTTCCATCAGGGCTACACAGCCGGCAAGGAAAAGGTTAAATCTTCTTCCCCCTGCCACCCCGATAATTATCACATTGTTAATTATCACAATAATTATCACTGCTGTGGCTATCTACATTTTCAAAAACATGCAAGCCACAGAACTAATTGTGCCTGTGTTCAGATGGTAGAAAATGCAACAAATTGTATTTCTGATGATGCATAACGCTCCACTGAAATGGACCAAGTTGAATTTATGTCTAGGTGATTGATCAGGTTCCCGATTTCCTGTCCATGTGCATTTCTGATAATTTCAGCTTGCGTAATATTATCCTAATGTATTTGCTCCTTTGACCTCTGCTTAAGCTTTAAAGTGGGCATATATGGATTTGCGCTGCCCTTACGTATTAACTTCTGCTAAATTTGACCTTGGTTTTATCCAGCCCCCTCCAGATGTGCAACTCTGAATCGTGCATTGATTGCAAGAAGAAAATACAGTTTATATTACGTTTTCGTTTGAAAGCACAAATGTAGAGGACATTGAAAAGGAGGTTTCTCTTTTCCGCACAGTGTTTCATGTCTAAATGTAGTATTATTTGCTTGCTACGCACAATTTTACCAGGGAGATAATGCTTGCTGACCAGTGATATAGTGGAGGAGGAATGTGAAGGAACCACAGAATGTGCCTTTTTTTCCATCTGCTCTGGCAAGCGAATGAGGTAGAAATGGGGCTTCCAAGTTTTACTGTTTTTTGTGATGGCAGAGGAAAACAGAATGAGCAAAATAATGACATGGCAGGTAGGCAGTACTTTTCATTGACGGGTTCCTACTTCAAACTAATAGTCTAACGCTCTGTGCTTGCATAGCTTGCTGCTTTCACTGGGGGACACTTTTTTCATTTATGTACCAATTACATGGCTGCCAAAGTATCCCATCATCACCGGGGCTGATGTATTAACTACCAGTCTCGGCAGTTTCTGTTAGTGGATGGGGAAGGGAAGATGCCCTCTCGCCCTTTGCCTTGGGCGGCAAAAGTCTTCAGTGCTACTTTGCAAGTTGGACTTTTGTCTTTTTACCTAATTAAAGCTAGGAACTGTATTTCAGTTGCCTGTAGATACGTATCTAAAGCTTAATGGGTTCCCAAGTTGGAGTCCTGCAGCCAGAAGATTTCAGGGAAGTGAGCCCAAGTCTTCCAAGCTAAAACCCTACTTGCTAACCATTCCACTGCCCCATGTCGGTTTGCTTTTCCGCAGCCTGCCAGCTGATCCTAATAAATTGGGCAGAACGCTGCATACATATGGCTGATTTTCTCTCTATAATGATGCAACATAACTCTCTTGCTGCTTTAAGGAGTGGGGGTGGAGACACACTACGGCAGAACAGCCAGGGGGCATGTTCTGCTGAGCTCTTGCCCTTCAAAGTTTACCACAGAACCATGGTTGAGAAAAGTTGCCTGGCTGTAAGGAAGTGCAATTCTCAAATACCATGAAAGGCCACTTTCTGTTCTCTCACAGTTGAATCAAAGAGTTGCAGAGTTGGAAGGGACCCTGAGGATCATCTAGTCCAACCCCCTGCAATGCAGGAATACACAGCTGTCCCATATGGGGATCGAACCTGCAACCTTGCCGTTATCAGCACCGTGCTCTAACCAACTGAGCTATCCAGGATGACGTTGGACTACAATACACTGAATGCCAGAATATTATTATTATTATTAATATTAGTGCAACTGCACAGCATGTTAAACACCCTCTTCAACCGGCTTTATTAGGCTCATTTTAACTAGCAGTACAAGTGAGGCAAAGCCTAGAGGCCAACAGAAGTGCTGGAATGGTGGAAGTGTGACCATTTAGTTTGGCTCAGCTGGCAGATAGAAAGTTTCATTTAAGTACTCTAAAAGTGCCTCAGGCTTGCTGGTCATCATCCTATGTTTGGTCAGAACACCAGATGGCAAAAGCAGGTTTTCCTGCTGGAAATACTGGGTTGTGTATTTTTGTAAAATACTTTTTTATTGTTTATGGCTGCTTTTGTTATGTTGCAGCTATACATTGAGCATGGTAAAAAGGAGGCATACAAATAAAATTATGTATGTCTGTGGAAATACTGGTTGCATCTGTCTGTTTAATTAAAGCTGAACATCTGATGAAGGCGCCTAGGCTATTATGGAGGGGCAGACCCCACCGTGCTCCTGGCTGGAAGTAACAAAAGGTATGACTATAAGACCTTGTGGTTCAATGCATCTGCAAAACAAAAGAGGTTGAGCTATCATAATGATTTCCTAACTGCTGTTTAGTTAGTCTCAGTAAACAAGCCTTGTGACTACTCCATTGTAAAACAATAAACAAGCCCTGAACCCAGACAATTTACTTCTGTCTGGGTTGTGACCGCAGTGCTAGGAGAAAGTTGATGTGCATGTTGGACTTTGATCTGCACCATTATTAATACCAGATGTTACTATATAATAAGTCCAACAGTCTTAGTAGCTACAGTATTGAACTAGAGTCTTATCTAGACTTCAAAAGGTTTTCCATAGAAGGAAGTTTTGCCTCTAGGGCAGGCCACACCTACGCACTAGAAAACAATCACTGGCCTCATGCCATGTCAATGAGAGGATAATGGGTTAAAAGTTCTCCAAATTGTGAAAGCCTGAAAGCCACAAAGAAAGATCTTGGTACACACAGGAAAAATTAGATGCACAATGATTAGATATTTTTAATGGCTCTCTTGCTGGTCAGATAAAACCATCGTATAATACAGCCTATATCTCATGACCTGGCAAAATGGAAGTGAATGATGAGCAGAAAGAATATACAAGCAGGGTTAAATTTGTACATCTTAGTGTGGATGCATCACGTTGAGTGAGCTTCGCTGCGTGCTGAATTCTTCCCTGCCCAGCTCCTTAAAATTAATAACTTGACAAGGCACAGGTTTTAAGCTTAAAATATTGTAATACTCAGTCTCATACATTTTACAGTACACATTTTTTTCTTATTTTTTTCTTTAAAAAGATCCAAAACCTTGGGCTGGATTGGTCCTATAGGACAGATTTATACATCACATTTTACAGTAAACAAGACTTGAATTAATTCCTTCATAAATGCAGGGAACCATCTAATAAGCCGCTTACAGAAAATAATGATGACTAGATATTCTAGCAGAAGGATGCAATTGCTCAACTGCTTTGGGGGATATGAAGCTGTGCATTAAGTATTGCTGCCTCACATTGGTGCTATTTAGATGGTAAACCAGAGCTGGCACAGGCAGTGTATGCGGAGGGGGGAAATAAATAATCATATTCTTTCAATGAGACTTTTAGTGGTGAATAAGAATAGGTAATGCTAATTACGGAGTGCTAGAACGTAGTACAAATACCATGCATGTCTTGCTGTTAATTCTCGTGTAGTCTGTATCCTTCTGCAGCTGCTCACTTTGGCATCCTAGTTTGCCTGTTCTTTCAGGGACTCTGCCACCAACTTCATTTGCTGAAAGAAAAGAAGAAGGCAGAGAAATGAGGGAAGTTAAGCAAACACAGTGGGCCTGAAGGTTTGAATGAACGCCATCCAGTTGATCAATTCAAAGTGTTGGTGATGACCTTTAAAGCCCTAAACAGCCTCAGTCCTGTATACCTGAAGGAGCGTCTCCACCCCCATCATTCAGCCCGGACACTAAGGTCCAGCTCTGAGGGCCTTCTGGCAGTTCCCTTACTGCAAGAAGTGAGGTTACAGGGAGGTTATCTGCAATGGAGTTAGGAAATGTATGTAACATTGAGCAGCAAGTAAGGAAGGGATCATCAGTGTAGCGGGATGGGAAATCAACTTTTAAATTTGTATTAAATTTGAAATAATTTGATGTTAATTTGTTAATTTTTTTGAAAAGCAATACAAATTAACTGGCAAAGAAAGAAAGAAAGAAAGAAAGAAAGAGAAAGTAAGTGCACCGAGTCTGATCTGGGATTTTATATATTCAAAACCAGCACCAAATTATGGGACCACAGAACTGTTTTGTCATGCTTGTTGCTGAAAAGGACAGTTCTGTGCTGTGCTTCTGAAATAGCAAGGAAAGTCATTCGGGCAGAAGGAAGGGCCATGGTTCCAGCAAACCACTGGACGCATTCCGTATATATTTCAAATGTAAAATATATTCAAAACGACAACACGATGAAGCTACACTTCCAGATCAACTATTAGCAAGTTTAATTCTGTTCCTGTTGCACAATGTTGTGTGGTCCCTGTAACAGAAATCTCCAGAGCTGAATGATGGCATTCAAATTCTCCTTTAGGCAGCTTTGCTGCTCCATTTAGTTAGCCTTTAAAAAAGAAGCAGCACCAGCCAAGGCTACATTAATTAATAGTAAAACTATCAGAAGAAGGCAGAATACAAAGTACTATTGAATTCATGACCCATCAGACTTGGACTAAATTGTTGATCCTTTGCTCAAGTTATTGTGCTGCAATTTATGGCAAATGTAGAATCAGAAGAGGTGTTCTGTTCTGCTGTGCTCACTATACGCAGAACAAATCTTGGAAACTGTGTAAAGTGTTTTATAATTCTTCATTTATTAAAGAAATGATTGTGAATTTTGTAAATAATTGACTATAAAAATCCTCAAAGCAGATAACAAAAGATAAAGCAGCAAAATCAAGAAAAATTCACATCTATACTTTAAAACGTACAAAAGTTAAAATACCAAAACAGATTAACATCGCCTCAAACTCCTAAGTGTCTAAATAAGAATGTTTTCAGCGGGCGCCAAAGAGAATACAGTGAAGGTGCTAGCTTGATCTCAAAAGGCGGGGAGTTCCAAAGTTTAGACGCTGCCACACTAAACAGAGTTCTTACAAATGCGGAAAAGGTATTTTAAGTGGTCTCTGTTGTAGTACCAATTCTGCTAATTGAAGTGGCCGAATGGGCACACATGTGGTAAAGGTGATATCGTAGGCTATATTGTTATTTTTTGATGGATGAGCAGTCCTTTTGTATGGTTTGTTTGTTTGTTTGTTTGTTTGTCCATTCATTCTTTTCAAATTTATACATTTCATTTGTTTTACAATCAATTTCAAAATCTGACTTCTTTCCCCCTCTTTCTGCGATTCCTTACATTTATTATTTAATATCTTCTGCATATCCAAAGTCATTTCACTTGCTCATTTAATTATCTACTGTAAATATATACTCTTACGAAACTGCAGGTTATTACAATAATGCTGCTAATGTTTTTATCTGTCTGCAATTTATCTGTAAATATTCAATAAACCATGTCCATTCTTTTATAAAAAGTTTGTTATCTTGATTTCTTATTCTTCCAGTAAGCTGGAAAATGATGTTTATTTTTGTATACTTCCACTTTATTTATATTTGAATTTCTTTCTCCTATTCTTTTTCTAACTACAAAGTCTTTGATCGGATCCTCAAAACTAATCTTACATAATGCATCTGCTTATATACAATCCTTAGTAGAGATAAGGCATCCTGCCTGCCCTGTTGCAGAGTTGCTCCGTTGGGATTTTTAATATACTTCAGCTGAGAAAATGAATACACGGCCGAGCCCTTTGTGACCATTAATGTTAAAAATCCGGCAACGGGAATTTTCTGTGGTGTTCCCCTCCCCTCGATGCCCTAAGCATACTGTATGCTCCTTTTGCATATTTTCCCAGCCCTGGTGGTGGCCATCATCCCCTTCTGCCGCGAAGCATTACCCACCCCCTAGACCAGCGGTTCTCAACCTGTGGGTCCCCAGATGTTGTTGGACTACAACTCCCATCATCCCTAGCTAGCAAGGCCAGAGCTCAGGGATGATGGGAGTTGTAGTCCAATAATATCTGGGGACCCACAGGTTGAGAACCGCTGCCCTAGACCAACCCAGTGAATCCTCTTTGACTAGTTTCTACAAGGCAGGATGGACCAAGATCAAAAAGGCACGTGAGCCTCACCCTGAAAGTACACTGGCCACATCCTCAGGCCACAACTGAAACTGATCCCTGGAGCGCTGAACACTCGGTGCTCCAAGGACCCCTCTCTGACCTGCTTTGCATATGGTGTCAAATTTGATGTGGGCGACTTTGGCCCCAAAGAGCTTTGCAAACATTTCACGGCATGCCACTGAGTGGTCAGATGGGAACACTCTGGCAATGAACGCAGCCAGACCTTTGACTGCTCAAAGAGAGCTCCACTTTGAGCTTTGCCAAGAGGATGCAATGGCAGTAAACAAGATAGATCCTTGAGAAAAGCAAAAAAAGCCAAAGCTGTACTCCCTTTCCCCAGCAATCCAAGTAAAACTCGTAAGCATCACACTCTCAAAAGAAGCACTTTCTATGGTAATGAGAAGTGACCTTAAAAATGCTACAATAGAGATGCTAACTAAAAAGGGGGGATGTTCCTTGCAAAAGATTTTAAAAGCCTGAGATAAATCACACAAAGGTAATAGCACTTGATAAAAACTGTATTCAAAGAATGAATGGGGAAGAAATCTGGTTTACATATCAAAACTAGGAGCGGTTTCGGATATCTAGGGGTGGTGTAGCAGTTAGAGAGTATTGAATTAGGACCAGGAGATGCAGGTTCAGCTATGCAGCTCCAGATATGAGCTTGGGACCACCATACAGGGGAGTTATGAGGATAAAATGAGGGAGGGGAGACACCGCCTGCATTGCCTTGAGTTCTTTGGCAGATCTAAGTTAGGATCTAAGAGTAAATCCTATATACAAATTGGTTGGCATTCATTGGTCTTGAGACACAATGGCGTGCACCTCCAGGAGTGAAATCAAACCGCTGGAGAATCACGGCGCCTGCTGTGGCTGCAAAAATCGGTAACTCGTAAGTGCTGCCTCCCGTGGGCAGTGTGTCTGAAGTCCTGGGCTGCCCAGACGACAAGACCACCTCTCAGCCTTGCTGATGTAGTCCAAAGGAAAGCAGAGCAATACACTTGGCACCAGCCGGGCTGCAGGAGTTGCCGGAAGGAGGCATACAAGGCGATGGCCAACCATCTTAGGGACTCCACAGATTTATGATGGGTTTACTTAGCTTTTTCTTCTCCCAAAGAATAGAATATATACTAATAGTGAAGCTCATTCTCCTGAATGTGGTTCCTTAACTGGCCAAAATGAAACCACCCACAAGGGAGAAGTGGCTTGGTAGAACCACAGGATTTGCAGAAGCAGGGTGGGGGATGTTTAGAAAGAAGTGGATTATCCTCAATAGTTGGCAGGTTGTGTTTTTCTTTTGTTGGGTGGCGAATGGAACACTAGATGGAAGGGGGACGTGTAGAAAGTATCCTGACCAGGAGCGCTCTACCCTGCCACTTTTTGTTATAGGTCCTACTTGGTGGTATTTAGCTCTTCAAAATACCACTCATGCAAAATCTACTAGATCAGTGGTATGCAAAGTGGGTGGTACCATCCCCTGTGGGGGGGGGGGATTACCTAGAGGGGCGCTAAAAAGCAAGGAGGTGGCTGGGGAGAGGGGGGCTGGAGGTGTAAATGACTATCAGACTTTGAAAAGCTGGTATTACTGCATCAAGTTTATCAATTTTGTGGAACTAAACTAGTTTTCATTGGATTCAGAATAAATGCGCAATTAATGGTTATTGTTATCTTCCTTAGTGGGTTGTGCAAACAGCTATTCTGAACAATCCATTTTGTAGGGCAGGGGGCACCAGGAATGAGTTTACGAAACCAAGGTACAGTGACCCCCCCCCCAAAAAAGTTTGGGTACTACTGTAACAACAACAACAATTTATACTCTGCCCATCTGGCTGGGATTCCCCAGCCACTCTGGGCAGCTCCCAACAGAATAATAATAATAATAGTAATAATAGCGTTAAAAGATCAAACATTAAAAACTTCCCTAAACAGGGCTGCCTTCATATGTCTTCTAAAAGTCAGATAGCTGTTTATTTCCTTGACATCTGATGGGAGGGCATTCCACAGGGCAAGTGCCACCACCAAGAAGGCCCTCTGCCTGGTTCCCTGTAACCTCACTTCTCGTGATAAGGGAACTACCAGAAGGCCCTCAGTGCTGGACCTCAGTGTCTGGGCTTAAGTAACCATAAGTTATGTATGGTGCTGTCTTACATTCCATTTGTCTATCTTGGGACAATCTATTGCAACTGGTAGCTGCTCTCCTCCAGGCTCTCAGCTCTTCCCCACTTTACTGCAACACAATAACGCTTAAATTGGTGGTACCTGGAGTCTTCTGTGCATGTGCCCTAGTCTTACCCCCTTCCTACAAAGATCAGGAAGATGTCTATTACCACTCACATGCGAAGCAAACAGTCTTCCTTGTTGCTTTCAACAGTGGGAAGCTTCGCCATGACATCCCCTCTCCCCGCCCCAAGACAATCTAGCATTAGCGCAAAGTGGGCCGCTGCGGAAGGCAAGGCTGCTTGCTGTGAATATGACACATCCCAATTGACAGACGACCCCACAGCAAAAGGTGCTGGAAGGCAGATGGCATTTCCTGAGCAATGGCTCCTCGCACAACGGCACGCCGCTCAAGAGCTGATAGAAATCACAGGCCTCGGTCTATGCCTGAATGTAATTAAATCTCATTTAATGGTGGGGTTTCATCTGTGAATAGGACAATCGGAGAAAATTAATTCCGGAAGACTAGCTGTGTCAGGCTGCAAGGTGCCAGGCTTTTTCATCCTTCTTTTTGGCTGTTACTGAATAACTGACTTATGATGGGAAAGGGAAAAACAAGTTACTTAGGATGTTCCAAGCTCTAAGGAGTTTGTCTGCTGTGCCTTTTCATGCAGCACCTCAAGGAGGATTTGTCTGTGATAATAAAATCTTTTTTAAAACCGAGAGCTTAGTTTATCCTCCAGACTTCTGACGTTACTACCTGCATATTGACAAAGCCCATTATACAAAAAGGTCTTGACTTAGTCTACTACAGCTGTAAGTGTGGAATGGAAAGAAGAAAGGCATTCAATTCCCTTCACTAAAGCAATTCCCTTTCGACTAAAATTCTGGCTACCGTGGCTTAGGATGGAGCAGCCATTCACAGCTCGACAGTGAAGATATCTCAGCCAAAAATATTTTTAAAATTATATTTACTCATAGCATAATGGAATCAAGTTAAGTGCTTCCAAGGGCATTGAGTTCAATGTGCTGAAATCTCTTTCACTGAAGTCAATAGGACTTCCAAGTGCTTAATGCTGGATATTTTCTTTAAATATGTTTTTCCCTTGCCTCTCAGCCTCTAGCAGATTAAAAAAACATTAAGACAAACATAATACAGGGCCAAACTAGATGAGATGCCATTCACTCAGGTCCATGAATGAGTTTTTAAAATAGCAAACAGAAGGTCAGGAGGCCCAATGAAAGCCTTGGCATAGGGTCCCCACTATGAACGCAAGACGGATTTGTCCCCATGCTTGCTATTTGCATCGGGGAGATATTTACTTTAACACATTCATGAAACTGCTAATTACATGAATGCTGTCGAACCTCAGTACAGCAGAACATTAGCAAAAGACAATCCAATTCCACAGCAATAACCTCACTCCTTAAAAAGCATACTAGTTCAACTAATTATTATTTTACTTTTTCAGATGCATGGACAACTTTCCCTTGCACGCGTTACTTCCGGGTTTTGCCGCTCGCGCAGACGCTCAAAATGACGTCACGCACATGCGCGGAAGCGGCGAATTGTGACCCGCGCAGACTCGCAAACGCAGGTTGTGTTAGCTTCAGGATGCGAACGGGGCTCTGGAACGGATCCCGTTCGCATCCAGAGGTACCACTTTATGCTCAAATGGGAAACTTCCAGTATGTGCAAGCTGTTACTTCTGAAAACGTGCTACATACTTAACTGTTGTTACCTACCCTGGGATCTTTGGGTGAAGGGTGGGTATAAAATCCCAATAAATAAATGAAAGGAGAAAGTGAATAAGGGCTGAAATTGCCAAACTTTCTACCAACAAATATTCTGCACTGAGTTTACTGGACCATACTAAGGGAAGCATATGCAACACTGTGTCTAAAACGCTTTAATATAATATTTAAGAGCTGTACAAATAATTATCAGGCAGTACAGGAAAAAACCGTGTGTGTGTGTGTGTGTGTGTGTGTGTGTGTGAAAGAGAGAGAGAGAGAGGGATGAAATCATACAGACTCCACTATTATGCAAACCAATTTAATCCCCTCCCCCCAAAAAATATTCTGAACCCCATAATGACGGAACACATCTTAGAAACAGAAGTTAGAAAATATGGAAAGCTTGGTTCTTTGGTTCGTCGTATTCCTTCAATGTGGTTTGTTTGTTCCTCAGAAATCCCAGCTCTGTCTTTTTAATATGGTTTGTTATGGTTCACCCTAAGTGACCAGGAGATTTTGTTGTTGAAGTGCTAAAAGAATGTTCTGTTAGGAATCACTGTAAGACAACTGCACTCTGGAACATGTCATTTTAGCTTACTCCTTCTATATATGCTTTAAACATTTGGCTACAGCCCAAGAGAGGCAACTGCATGCATTCAAGCAAAAGTCATGTACACAATGAGGTGGCAGGACAATGGCTTTTGGCTTCTTCCTGGCAGCAACTTGCAGCACTTAACACTCAACGCACACCCTCACCAACGGAAAGTACTTTGGCAAGCTGGCCTGGGAGCAAGTTCCTGCAGCCAGAAAAGCAAAGCAAAAACCCTTTTATACCTGCCCACTAAAATCTGGTGCATGTGGGCTTTTGTGTGTGACAAAAAACATTTTGTAAAACAGGACAGCAACATATAGGCCAATGTAATATTGCATTTGGTGACATGCCTTTAAGTGATTAAGATTAATTAAACATTATCAGTTCATTCAATCCTCTAGCCATGTGGGGGATTAATGTTTTTCTCTTTGTTAAAGACAAATGTCTGCCGTCTGAAAAAATCTTTGAACATTTTTTGCTCTCTGCTCGGACATATCTGCTTATCAGGAGATTCCAACTTGTTCTTTTGCAGGCATGTCTAGCAATTCTGGTTAGACATTGCTGTGCATAGCAATATTTCCATTCGTTTTTGTGATGGGAGAGTTTTCTCCTTATAATGAAAAATAGATTTCCATAAAAAGAAGAGTGGTTTAAAAAAAAACCCTCTCAAAATATTTTGATGGGAACATAATGAAACAGAGAGGAAAGCAAGAATCAGACGGGGGAGTGGGTCCGTCAGTGGAGAAAACACACACTAACCACAGCCCGCTCCTGTGATAAACTTGAGAAAAAAGATTCACAGTTCATAAAAATATACCTCTCAGAGGAGCATGAAGAATAATATCTGCCATGGCAACCAACCAGGACCATCTTCTGGCACTCTCTGAATGAGCATTTATGAGCAGATTAATTCGATACATGCACTGATGAAAGGACTCCTGAGATCTATAACTGTCTGCCACATATTACACTTACTGTGCAACTGGCTGTTTAGAACAGATTGCACAATATCCATATTGACCCAGCACTTTCACAGCACATTTATATGAAACAGATTAAGGACACATGCCATGCCATTCTGAACCACCCTTTTTAATAGGTGTTTCGCAAACAGCATGGTACTGCTCTGTGGTCTTTATTTTAAAACAAATCAAGAGCTAGAATCCAACAGAGATTGGCTGGCAATGGCTTGGGAATTTCAAAGAATTGTCTATAAAAAGTCATGAATGATCATCTGTCAGGCAATAATATTAACCCACCCACCCCACACACAGAAAATAACTATCTGTATCTATGGCACTGATATAATGTGATTGATGGTTGGCAGTGTGGTCATATTTCAAAGGCATAATCAGACCAAAACACTTTGTCAATAATTATGTCTCCCAGAATACAACAGTATTCCTTTTTAAAGAAAGACTGCATCTTATGAGCATCCAGCACACGGGAATAGGTAGAAATATAAACATTCTGGAAATTTTGAAGCCATAAACATTTGTCGTTATTATTGTTCTCTGCAATCCAACAGTGTGCCCGTTATTCAATTCATTTCAACAGATTTAAGTGCACCTTAACTTAGTATTGGATCGGGGCCTATGTGTGCATAAAAGATTTTGGAGAACTCATCACAGGTAATATATAAATGGAGGCATTATTTAACTACTGTAAAAATATTAAATGGCCTACATATAGCCAAGGCTAGTGCCATATACAGTTGTATGCTTAGAGAACAAAATATGGTCTTTCTTTTTCATTCTAACAATACAATGCAAGAATCTGTGCTCAAGCAGGCTGGCATCTAAGCAGAGATTTTTGCTTGTTGACAAATACAAAAGAAATATACAGTGGACCCTTGGGTTACGTTACCTTCGGGTAACGGGACTTTCGGGTTGCGAACGTAGCAACCCGGAAGTGTATACTAGCAGCCCACAATCATTTTGAAGGTAAAAGACAAAAAGGTAAAGGACCCCTGGCAGCTATGGGGTTGCGGTGCTCATCTCACTTTCAGGCCGAGGGAGCCAGAATTTGTCCACAGACAGCTTTCCGGGTCATGTGGCTGGTATGACTAAACCGCTTCTGGCACAACGGGACAACCGTGACGGAAACCAGAGTGCACGGAAACGCTGTTTACTTTCCCGCCATGGCGGTACCTATTTATCTACTTGCACTGGTGTGCTTCTGAACTGCTAGGTTGGCAAGAGCTGGGACCGAGCAACCGGAGCTCACCCCATCGTGGGAATTTAAACCGCTGACCTTCCAATTGGCAAGCATTGTAACTTGAAGCCATTGGTTTGAGTCTTACCCTCCAGAGCAGGAGAAATCAAGATATACGTAACACTAAAGAGTGGGCTAAGTAAAAGTTGGCATGTCTGCAACGTCCCCATTCTTACTTGGTCCCCATCCTTGCTGACTAGAGGAGTCAAGGAAGCCCAAGTGATCCATGACAGAAGTGTATGTCACAGGGCTACAGCATTCTTTATGGCAGCCTTGGATCCAAATTTAACTTCACCTCGGAAATATTCATGGCCATGTACAAGTTTATAGGGAAAGCAAATAAAAATGCAACTATGCAGCTTCTGAGACAAACCCTGGAAAGTGATGAACAGATAAGGCACATCAAGTTGATGAATTATACCGAAATGGCTAAAATGACCGGAAGAATCAGAAATCATGACAACCAAAATTTTAAGAAGGAATGGGGAAAATTTATAACTTATCTTAAAGACCATAGTAAACAATTAACATTGTAAGTAGGATTGCAATATCACTTGTAGTTTAATGGTGAATTTTGGATACAATGGAGAGGTAAAATATTTGGATTACAAAAGATGCAGGAGAAAATGATTAACAAAAGGACCCACCAAAGAGAGGAGGGAAGTCCAAGAGATTCCTTGGAATCTTATTTTTATGTTATATGTTGAATATGTGACTGTCAAATTTTAATCTGAAAAACCATATATATACTGTATATATGGAGTAAGCAGCAGGCAGCAAGGAGTCACATTGTAAAGCAACACCGACAGCAAAACCATGTGGATGGAGACTAAATATAATCGGAAAATAATCTTCCTCGCAGCCCTGCCAAATCTGAAATGTGTCATTTTAAATATCTACTTTATGGCACATACTGCCTATCCTGATCCTTGCTAATCCAAATCACAGGTTGGGCACTTGCAAGATTAGTGGGAGTGACTGGTCAGCATCCGTCTGTCTAGGGAGTAAGCACAGGCCAAAAGCTCAAGGGAAATTTTCTGCCCGGCCAAACCCTAATATTATATATACTCATAAGAACCCCTGACACATGCAACGTGTGCTGATTGAATAACAACAGTGCCTAAAACCCAAATACATGTGTTTTGCTTAAAAGCCCTGCACTTAAGCCACACAAAAGAAGAACTAGGCCACAGAAGCCTTGCTTAACTATTATGCAACACAGCGGGAACATAGTGAGCACATTATAACACACGAGGGAATATTGAATTGGTTGAAGGAACTACCATGTGACAAAGATTCAAAAATCACAACACTCCAATAGAAATCAAGCAGCACTGACCACTTTACTCTGAATAAATTCTGGACTCTATTTTCACACCAGAGATTTCAGCTTTGACTGAAGGTTCACATTGCAGCAGCCCACTGCCTGCTCAAAGCCTTTTGTAGTTAAGATAATTTTCTGAATGGCCCTAAAATGTTAAATATAGTAACGCACTCTCAGAAGGCAATCTTACCGTTTAAGCACCCTCCAACATCTCAAGACGACAGCAGATTGTTGCCTTGGCAACCCAGAGCCTGTTCAACACTAACCTGGAGAGTCAACATGGACCACTTGAAGAACCACATACAAAGGTATAAATTTCTTATTCTGAGCAATGACAGGCATCCCGATGTCACGGTCAAAGAAATTAGAAGGGAAGTGGTGATCCTTTTATATGTATTGAATTTGACAGTGGTAAGTATTGTTAATTGTATTACTCTGCCCCAGAGAGCATTCATACAGAAGCTTTCCGTTCATAATAGAGTCAACTCCATTTTTTAAAGAATCACTCCTGCAAAGATCTCATTACACGTTCACCATCACCTAGCAAAGTATTGGGGAGGGGGGATGAATAGAGCAAATGGCATGGGCAATTTGGCTTTTTCTGTACTACAGCCACCCAGGTCTCTAGGTTAGGCCTGATACTACACAGTTTTGTAATTATCCACAAACTATTAAAGGAGGTAGTCTGCTTATATGCAACACTTGCACAAAGAGGAATCATGATCTTTGATCTTCTCAGGTCACTTTCACTCCCTCTCAGATGTAACATGACTATTTGTATATTCATTGACAAATTACTGTACTGCTAGAGAAATCCTCCTGGGAGTTAACCCATGCCTAATAATAATAAGAATTTTATTATTTATACCCCGCCCATCTGGCTGGGTTTCCCCAGCCGTTCTGGGCTGCTTCCAACAGAATACTAAAAACACGATAAAACATCAAACATTAAAAACTTCCCTAAACAGGGCTGCCTTTAGTTGTCTTCTAAAAGTCAGATAGTTGTTTATTTCCTTGACATCTGACAGGCGGGTATTCCACAGGGTGGGTGCCACCACCGAAAAGGCCCTCTGCCTGGTTCCCTGTAACCTCACTTCTCACAGGGAGGGAACTGCCAGAAGGTCCTCAGAGCTGGACCTCAGTGTCCGGGCTGAACAATGGCAGTGGAGACGCTCCTTCAGGTATACTGGGCCGAGGCTATTTAGGGCTTTAAAGGTCAGCACCAACACTTTGAATTGTGCTTGGAAATGTACTGGGAGCCAATGTAGGTCTTTCAGGACCAGTGTTATATAGAGTGGGAAAAGGGGACTCCTCATGTAAGAGGGGCAAGGCTGAAGTTAAAAAGGGGGAGTATGGTCTTCTGGCTCCTAGCACCATTACAATTCACTGGTCAACAACAAATTTGTTGTCTGCGTTTTTTCAGTTGATTTAGGACGAATCTGATGCACTGAATCCAAAAATCACATTGGTTTTGCTGAATCAGTTCAAGTTTTTGAGCTATGGCCACATGTCTTTTTTATGTTTTTGTTCACATGTACCCTTGTGTGGAGCATTTTAGAAGAAGTTGGTGGGGGTAAAATGCCATGTCGAATAATTGTTTTGATTGGAAATGATTATTTTAATGACAAGAAGTATTCAGGTCCGATAGTTCTGGGTGATTATGTCGAAAAGGTATCAGTTTGAAGTCATAAAACCTTGAAATCTTCCATAAATTGGTGCGGCAAAGCATAAAGTTGCTTACCATGCTTATTTTGGTATTAAATTTGGTGACCAGGATAAAGCTTGGGTGCCACACATGGTGTGCAAGGCATGCACCGAGACTCTACATGGGTGGACCAATGGCAAGAGGAGTCTGAACTTTGGAATTCCCATGGTTAGGAGGGAGCCGACAAACCATGTCACTGACTGCTACTTCTGCGCTGTTGATGTGACTGGGATCAACAGAAAGACCCAGAGCAGCCTCAAGTATCCTGATCTTCAATCAGCACGTCGTCCTGTAGTTCATTGTGATGAAATTCCAGTGCCTATCTTCAGAGAACTTCCTGACATTAGTGAGGAAGATGCCTGCAGTGTTGAAGGACATGAAGAAGAAGAAGTGGTTCTTGAAGATGATGCTCCACATCCATTTTCCCAAAAGGAGTTGAATGATCTAGTTCGCGACCTCAGCTTGTCAAAGGACTCTGCCGAACTGTTGGCATCCAGATTGAAGGAAAAAAAACCTCCTTTCTGACAGTGCTTGCATCAGCTTCTTCCGCAACAGGCATCAAGAGTACCTCCGTTTTTTCTCGGAAGAGAAGGACTTGGTGTACTGTGCAGATATTGCGCAGCTTCTGGTCAAGCTTGGAGTGCCACAGTACGAACCCAAAGATTGGAGACTGTTCATTGACAGCAGCAAGCGATCACTGAAATGTGTTCTGCTACACAACGGCAACCAGTTTGCCTCTATACCCCTGGCTCACTCAACTACACTGAAGGAGAACTATGAAGCGGTGAAGTATGTGCTGGAGAAAATTGGTTATGATCAGCATAAGTGGTTTATTTGTGTTGACCTGAAGATGGTGAACTTTTTGTTGGGACAACAGTCTGGCTTCACCAAGTACCCATGTTTTCTGTGCATGTGGGATAGTAGGGACCGTGCTCAGCATTACACGAAGAAGGACTGGCCTGTGCGGGAGGAATTGGTGCCTTGCAGAAAAAGGAACGTCAGCAACGACCCTCTGGTGGACAGAGACAGAATACTCTTCCCACAGCTGCACATCAAGCTCGGCTTAATCAAGCAGTTCACCAAGGCTCTGGACAAGGATGGTGACTGCTTCACTTACTTGTGCCAGGCTTTTCCAGGATTGACCATGGAGAAGTTGAAAGCTGGCATCTTTGACGGTCCTCAGATCCGTCAGCTCATCAGAGATCCAGAGTTCGGAAACTCAATGAACGAAGTGGAACTGGAAGCGTGGAAGGCATTTGTTCTGGTAGTGAAGAACTTTCTTGGCAACAATAAGGCCAGAAACTACGCAGAACTTGTCAACAACATGCTGACTGCTTTCAGAAACCTGGGCTGCAACATGAGCGTCAAGATGCACTACTTATTTTCACATATGGACCGGTTTCCTGAGAACCTGGGTTCAATGAGTGACGAGCAGGGGGAGAGATTCCATCAGGACATGAAAGAGATGGAGACCAGGTATCAGGGTCGCTGGGACGCAGTCATGATGGCTGACTACTGTTGGACTCTGAAGAGAGACCTCCCTGCTGCTGAGCATTCCAGGAGTTCCGAGAAACGGAAGTTCAAGCCCTGAAGTTTGAAAAATGGTGAAGCAACATGCAATTTACGTGTACTTACCTTTATCAACGCCCACCATTCAGTTTACCGTAATCGATGTTTCTATCAGGTAATCAATATATGTTGTTGGAAAAACATTTTTTTCTCTTAAAAACATATTTAGGATGATATGTGTTGACAAAAATCAGCTGATAATGCCACAAAAATGTAATTGATTTTGTCACAAGATCTGATTTTTTCAAATCAACATAGCACAAAAACCTGACCTGATGGAGAGAAACGGATGCCATTTCCTGATTCAGCAATGCAAAAATACCCTAAATCAATTGTAGAAATCTAGACAACATTCAAAAAGTAAAAAATTGTTGCCCAGTGAATCATACCAGCAGTTAAAAAATTCAAAGCAAGTTTTCAAGATTTTAAAGAGGCAAAAAGAAAACGTGCAACATACAGATTCTAGGTAGGAATGATTTCCTTAATGATTTAAGTTTATAGTTTATTTATAGTTCAGTGAATAAGTTAGTGTCTCTTTCCCTCTAAAATAGGCTCCCAAGGAGATTTACGCAGAAGACCAAGTTAGACAACTGAGTTCCCAAATCTTTTCTGTTGCAAAGTGGTATTGGCGTTGTGCAATTTTTAAGCAAAGTGGTGCTATGCTGGAAGATTGTACTTAACCCTTCTCACTTTTTTGCAAATACAACACCAGACCATCCAGACCATTTTAGGCCTACCAAGCACCCCAGGTTTCAAAGCAACTTCATCCTTCTGGTGGAAAGTTCATTGTGGTACGGAATGAATAATGGGTGGACCTTATTGTTGCTACTTGCCTTAACTATAGGAGTATTCCAACGCCCCTGAAATAAACTCTTATTCAGAAAACAAAGAGATGCTTGGGAAATTTAGCCACACAAATATATGAATAGCTGACATATGCAGAAAGATGCATGTATCCCTAAATATAATTTTTCACCTTTTAGAACACCAATATCAATTTGAGAGAGAATTTAGTTATTGCAGGTATTGTCTTCAACATGACAGGCCTAAGTACAGTGTGAACTTGACATCAACCCAAGATCAGTGAAAGCAAATACTAGGTACAAGTTAGAAAGGTGCCCTAAATTCACAGCTTTCCTTTGACTAGCCCCCTCCATTTTCATTGAGAGAAGGTTTCACCATTTGCTTTTGTTTGCCTTAAGGCTTTCCTACAAAAAGCGGTACATTCTCTTCCCAGTCCAAGAAAGTCCTTGAGAACCAAGCTTTTGTGAATGTTGTAGATGAAATGTGGGGTATAATGAGGGCAAATTAAATGCAGTTTAAAGCAGTTGGCGGGCCTAAGATTGTGTCCAAATAAAGAATATTGTTGATGAAAGCAGGACACAGTTCATTCTTTATGTGCCTGTAACCTAATTCAATCAATTTAAATGAATTGCTTGGTGTGAAGGGGTATTTCTAAGACAGATTCTGTGATTTACTTCAATAATTCCGGTATTTACCTAAAGTAGCATGCTACAGTAGCATAATAAACGAGGGTTTTCAAGGCACTGCTCCTCACTTTAACAGATCTGAGCATGTAGCAGTTGCTAAGGTAGTCCTCGGCCCTGATTTTAGGGTTGGGAGACAATTTTGATGCAATTTGCATTTCAATCTGAACTGACCAAACTTGTACCTTCTGAAACACTCAACAAATCAAAACACAGCCATCATTCAAAATTCACACTGCTCCAAATTTTGCAAAGTAGTTCTCCAGTCAAATAATGTGTACAAATAATGCATATACTAGTGAATAATGCATATACTGCATTAGTGAAAATAGCATACAAGAACATATTAGATTAAGAAAGATCATTTTGCAATTTTTTTGTATTAGGAACAAATACATATAAACATGTGTTTATTATGGGACGCGGGTGGCGCTGTGGGTAAAACCTCAGTGCCTAGGTCTTGCCGATCGTATGGTCGGCGGTTCGAATCCCCGCAGCGGGGTGAGCTCCCGTCGTTCGGTCCCAGCTCCTGCCCACCTAGCAGTTCGAAAGCACCCCTAAGTGCAAGTAGATAAATAGGGACTGCTTTATAGCAGGAAGGTAAACGGCGTTTCCGTGTGCTGCGCTGGTGCTGGCTCGCCAGCTGCAGCTTCATCACGCTGGCCACGTGACCCAGAAGTGTCTTCGGACGGCGCCGGCTCACGGCCTCTAGAGCGAGATGAGCACGCAACCCTAGAGTCGGACACGACTGGCCCGTACGGGCAGGGGTACCTTTACCTTTACCTTTATGTGTTTATTAGGAGAAATCTGCACAAAAATGCGGCAGATTTTTTAATTTTTTTAAAATTGTTGCAGAGATCTGGGGAACTAAATTTAAGACTAGAAAAAATCAAAACCTGGGACAATTGAAATGGACTCATCTGTCCATCCCTACCTGCTTTACAGAGGAAAATCCTCTATTTGAACGGCTGGCTACTCCAAGCCTAGTTAAAATCACAGAACTGCAAGTTGGGAGAGGGGCCATCAGCCCATCAGCAGTTAGCATCTGGAAAGCTGACTGAGCAGGCACAGACAGGTTACCTGGTCATAGTGTCCCCCACTAGTGAAATACATGTATTCCTATTTAAATTATAGTGATAATTTCTAAATTTGATTGTACAGTGGTACCTTGGTTCCCGAATGGCTTGGTTCTCGAACAACTTGGCTCCTGAACGCCGCAAATTGTTCCGGTTTGCGAACATTTTTTGGAAGCTGAACGTCTGATGTGGCTTCCGCAGCTTATGCTTGAATGCAGGAAGCTCCCGCAGGCAATCGGAAGCTGCGTCTTGGTTTTCAAACCGTTCTGGGAGTCAAACAGACTCCCGGAATGGATTAAGTTCGAGAACCAAAGTACCACTGTATATGCAAAAACCAGGACATGCCCATTTCATTCAGATTTGAGCTCTCTTTTGGTCCTCTCTTTTGTCCATACATTAATGGGTATGAGTGTGATATTTGCACATGGAACTTCCTAATAATCAATTAAGAGGCAGGAAGGCCTGGAACGGGCATTATTCTCTCACAAGGTGTGAAGCAAAAGTGGTCCAACGAGTGGCCTGAGGGTCACATGCAGCGCTCACAGCCCTTTTTGGCAACCCTCAGCAACATTTGATGCCCCCGCTCAGCCCTCACATTGCCTTCCCAAACCCAGGTAAGCGAGGCACTAGGCGTTGGGAAGGAGGCATGAAGGCCCCACTCCTTCCCAAAGCCTAGTTAGCACTTTCCCAGCTTTGGGAAGGAAGCGAGAGGGCTCTAGGACCCTGCCAGAACCTTGTGCCTCCTTTCCAAAGCTTGGCATCTCACTTCTTCTTCTTATTATTATTATTATTAATTGAATTTGTATACCACCCTATACCCAGGGGTCTCAGGGCAGTTCACAGAATAAAATCAATATATAAAATCACAAAATACACAAGAATAAAAACAACAACCCGATAGCCCCCCCAAAAAAACACATTTTAAAAGGGCATAGGAACTTAGCCAGCTTTGAGAAGGTAGCACAGGGGCTGCGGTGGGGGGAGCAGTATCTAATTGTGTCCATGCTCCCCTCCCCACAAAACAAAGCAGTCTGCAACCCGCAGTTTCCGCCTCAAAGTACTCTCACGGTCCACTTCGTATGAAAAGTTGGGCCTCCCTGTTCGTTAGGAGATGTGTTCTGGACCTGATCCTGTGGATTATTCATAAATTTAAAGGGGGAAAAATCTATTCATATATGATAATTCAATCAATACGCATTTGCTATGATGACAATACAGATCTCTATTGGGCAATACCATTCTATCAAAAAATAAATAAATAAACAAGTGTGGGTTTGCTCTAGAAGATTAGGATTTATAAAGCTCCAAGCTTTTGCTCTTAATTAAAATGAATACAAAGTGCTCAGGTTGCTTTTATATTACAGCTGATCCTGCTGCATTTAATAGATTCAGGAAAATATGACTAGCTCAAAATTGCTGATATTAAGTGCTGTCACTGGAATTCTGTGTTTTTTCTCAGTTGAATTTGTGAAATGTTCTTTAATACTCCAATTATAATCAGTTTCCAAAATAGGACTGATTGACTGCATTACAGGGCAGCACTTACGTAACCTGCTTTATATATGTTATATAACCTTCATATATTGTGACAGCGAAAGGATCTCTAGGATTTTTGACTGTCAGGCAGCTTTCTTGCTCTCAAGCTACAACTGGAGGGAGAGAGAGAGAAACAGAAAAACAGACAGACAGACAGACAGAGATTGCATGACCATTTTCTAAACTTTTGGCCTTTTCAATATATAAATGGCACAGATAATCGCATGTGGGCAACATGACAGACTCTTTCAACATTTCAGACTCCCCACCAGGGAGTATTTAAGTTCTATATATGGCTTCCTGGAGGACTCTTGCACCTTCACTCTGAGCCCATTTTGGCAAACATCTCACACCTTAAACTTCCACAGGCTAAGAACTGCACTGCAATATGCAGATTATAGTCCAAATCAGAATACTTTCTACCTAGAGTTAGGCTTCTGCACTATACAGCATCATAATAATTTGCAGACTATTGACAAGTACTGTATTCCATTGTCTTAAAAAAAAAAAAAGAACTTGCAAGTTTAGAACTGAAGTCAGCCTTCCTTGGATGCATGGAATCAGAAAGGCAGCAGTAATAATGAACTTGCAGAGAGAAACAGTTTTTGAGCTTGTGGACTTTGGCATTAGGGTTAAAGCGTATCACAGCTTTATTTGATTACAAGGAAAGCAAAACCATCTATATCTTTTTCCTTAAATTAATCCTGCCCAGGTAGAAGAGAGACATTGTTAGCCATTCAGCCTGTGGGCCTCCAAATAAAAACGTAAAGGGACCCCTGACCATTAGGTCCAGTCGTGACCGACTCTGGGGTTGCGGCGCTCATCTCACTTTATTGGCCGAGGGAGCCGGCATACAGCTTCCGGGTCATGTGGCCAGCAGGACTAAGCCGCTTCTGGCGAACCAGAGCAGTGCACGGAAACGCTGTTTACCTTCCTGCCGGAGCGGTACCTATTTATCTACTTGCACTTTGACGTGCTTTCGAACTAAATGCTTAACTACAAATCCCATTATCCCTGGCCTAATGAAGGTTATTAAGTAGTTGAGCCTAACAGCACCTAGAGCGTCACAGATTCTCTACCGCCAGTGAACAACATTTATTTATTGCCTATCTGCAGCCAGAGATTTTGTGGGATATTATAAAAACCTGCAAGACTTGTAAAGAGAGATAAACCAAGAAAACACACCATAAGCAACTATGGTTGCATCCTACCACCTTCTAATCTCTAAATATATATATAATCTGTCTCAATCCATGTCCCTTACTGCTTTGATAACAATATTTTAGGGATGGGTGCTAAATTATAGACATTACTAGGCCCTTTTAATTAATAGCCAATCATACAATCTGAGTGAAAGGGATGACCTTTATTTTGAAAGTAGCAGACTACAAGGCTTCAACATTAAAACAAGGTCTCAGAAATATTTCTTTTTAACCCCACCGCTGTCCCAATACATTTAGGGTTTGCTTCAAAATATTACGCATACCCAAGGAGACAAACACTTTAGGTTTGGCTGCCCGGGGGAGAAGTGGCTGTTTATAGTCAGATGAGTTTGCTGTGAATAAAAGATGCCTGCATAGAAAAGAACAGTTGCAGCACAGACAAAGGAATAGCACTATGCTACCCTTATTCAGACTGCGTAGGATGCACTGGTGTGACCACAACAGTGAATATATTATTGCATTATATAAGGCTGAAGTCATAAAGTGTATCAACTGAACAGACACATGATTAAAGCCTCAAGCATATCCTGTTGTTGTAGCTCTGATGAGCTACTGGGTCATGCAGGAAGTCAAAACAGGTGATCATCTGACTGAAGTTTAAATACAGTAATATGCTCCATAACATGACCAACAGGTTAAAATGACAAGATTTGTTGATTTTTGACAGATGCAACTACCAGAATCAAAGAGAAATAATTATGAAAGTACCAGCTTTCAGGCTTTGAACACATCAATGCATTGTGGAAGGCTCTTGGCCCGAAAGCTGCAGCAAAGGTACATCTGGCACAACAGACCAGCAATGCTATTTCTCTGCTCCAAATTCCTCCCTTCTGAGGCTTTTTATTAACAGCAAAAACTAAACTGAACATTATTATTATTATTATTATTTATATACCGCCCTATACCCAGAGGTCTCAGGGCAGTTCACAGAAAAGATTACAATATATAAAATAAAAACAACAGCAATAACCCTATAGCCCCCTCCCAAAAAAACACATTTTAAAAGCGTATAGGATATCCATCAGGTCAACCAAAGGCCTGATTTAAAAGGAACGTTTTTGCCTGGCGCCTAAAAGGTGTATATCGAAGGTGCCAGGCGAACTTCCCTGGCGAAAGCATGCCACAAACGGGGAGCCACTGCAGATAAAGCCCATTTTCGTGTTGCCACCCTCTGCACCTCTCGAGGAGGGGGCACACAAAGGAGGGCCTCAGAAGATGATCTCAGGGTCCGGGTAGGTTCATATGGAAAGAGGCGGTCCTTGAGGTATTGCAGTCCTGAGCCGTTTAAGCCTTTCTAGGTTAAAACCAGCACTTTGAATTGGGCCCGGAAACTAACTGGTAGCCAGTGCAATCAGACCAGAATTGGTGTAATATGCTCAAACCGTCTTGCTCCAGTGAGCAACCTGGCCGCTGAATTCTGCACTAGCTGAAGTTTCTGAACCATCTTCAGAGGCAGTCCTACCTATAACACATTGCAGTAATCTAACCTTGAAGTTACCAGAGCTTAGACAACAGTAGTTAGGCTATCCCTGTCCAGATAGGGGCGTAGCTGGGCCACCAGCTGAAGCTGGTGGAAGGCACTCTAGGCCACTGCTGTGATAAGGAAGTTTACATGCAGTTAGCCCTTTGGTTGCTCATTGGAAATCCTGAAGCTGAGGCTCCAATACTTTGGCCACCTCATAGGAAGAGAAGACTCCCTGGAAAAGACCCTGATGTTGGGAAAGATTGAGGGCACAAGGAGAAGGGAACAATAGAGGACGAGATGGTTGGACAGTGTTATTGAAGCTACCAACATGAGTTTGACCAAACTGCGGGAGCCAGTGGAAGTCAGGGGTGCCTGGCGTGCTCTGGTCCATGGGGTCATGAAGAGTCAGACATGACTAACCAACAACAACAAGCCCTTCGGTGGACAGTGGCACTTAGAAGTGATGTATTATCTACTCTGGGAAGGTATCATCCAAGTCCTCAGTCAGGCTTTGAAGTCTATAGCAGATTATTTGGGCCTAAGTCACGTCAGGCTTTAAACACCAAAGTCAGCACCTTGAATTGGGCCCCAAAACACAGCTGTTTTAAAACAGGGGTTGTGTGAGATCTAAATTGAACTCCATCCAGTAATCTGGCTGCTGCATTTTGGACCAACTGAAGTTCCCAAGTCATCTCCAATGGTAGGCCCATGTAGAGCATGTTGCAACAATCAAATCTGGAAGTTTTGTAGCATGGAGTTACAGCACATTAAGTCCTCGTGAGACCAAGCTGACTCCTTTGCCTAGCTTTAAGAAAGCTGCAACGAACATTTTGTTTATCCTGGTTTTTTATGGGTTTTTAATGCTACTGTGTGGTTTTGTTTTTGTTCTCTTTTAATGGTCATTTTGTCTGTATTGTTGAATTACTGTACAGTATAGCACCTTTTAAGAAATAACAATTACTCATGAAAACTGACAGAGCTGGTGGTTGTTGGCGTTTGCCATCTCCTCCCCAGCTGCTGATCTACAACAGGAGAGAAAACAGAAGCTAACTGTTGCCTCCCAAATAGGAACAAGGCTATGCCACACTGGAAAAGAAAGGCAAGACAGAAGAATACTAAGCAAAATTGAGCTCAATGCAGACAAGATGGAGGAACTTGTTAGTGGTGGGGTAACCTATGCTTGGGTTAGTGGTGTTCAATATGTTCTGGATTTTGTAGATTGGTGTGTTTTGTAGATTGGTGTGTTCAATGGTCCCTCTCTGTCAGCAGAGGCACATGCTATCGTGGTGGATCAAAGCACCTTTTATCAGTTCAGTGTTTCTCAAACTCAGGTCTCCAGTTGTTGGACTACAAATCCCCTCATTCTTAGCTGGCAGGGCCAGTGATGATGGGAGTTGTAGTCTAACAACAGCTGGAGACCCAAGTTTGAGAAACACTGGTTTAGGCTGATGTGACTGATATAGAACCCTACCTGAACAGAGTCTTCCTTTAGCAATCAGTGCCTTGTTAACTACTTGTTTGGATGACAGCAATCCGCTGTACATGGAGATGGTTTGGAAAACTGTCCAAAAACTTTAGTTAGTCTGGAATATGGGAGATTGCAAATCAGGATGGAGCAATATGAACACACTAAGCTAGCACTTTGCCATCTCCACTAGCTTCCAATCAGTTTCCACGACCTCTTTAAAGTGCTTATTTTTATATTTGATGCACATTCATGGGCTGGGGACAGGGGAGCTGTGTGATTGCCTCTCCCCACCATGAATACCTTACCTTTCTGGAAATCCTACTCTCAATGCTTTGCAAACACTTTCCTCAATTTCCAAAACTAATGGGGTTTTTTGTTTTGTTTTTTATTATTAAAGATTTTCTTGTTTTACAGAAGTATGTGTAATGTCTCTCGTATTTTTCCCATGTAACATTTTTACAAATCAGTTTCATTTGTTGAGACATGGGGGGGAGTTGCGGGGGTTGGGTGGAGATGTTCCTATTTTGCTTAATGTATGTAGGGTTTCGTGTCAGCGTCGCTCATGCAGGCTCTCTGCTGTTCACTTGTGTCTCTGGTGGTGAGAGAGGTTGGGGTTGGCCTAGGGTGTGGTTGTTTGTTTGTGATTAGCTGTGGTGATCTTTGTTTTTGTGTGTAAGTGGGGTGGGTGGGTATTTTGGATCAGGTTAGCCATATTGATTTGTTGTTGTTTTTTTAAAAGATATTTATTGAGATTTTCAAAATGTTACAAAAAAGAGAAAAAATAAAATAGAAGCAGAAGAGAGTACAAAGGATAAAAATAATTAACATAATAGGGGAAAAAAGAAGAAGAAAAAACCAACCCCTTCCCACCATATACGAAAAAAATCCAAATGAGAAAAAATGACAGAAAAAAGAAGAATGCAAAAATCACAAAACTTTAAAAACATTTAAAAACAAATTCATTATTTTCAAATCCTTAACTGTCATTACCTTCTTTCTTAGACCTCCTCCTCCTCCCTTTCTTTGTATCCTAGTTATTAATTATCCCAGCAAATCCTTGACCTTATCTTTCTATAATAAAATAAACCTTAAAACTTAAAACTTAAATCTTATCCTTACCAACTTCTCATAATCATAATATTCTTTCATAATTCTTTAAACATCTTTGCTAAAGCCAAGTAATTTCATTCCAACATTTTTCTATCATTCATCAATTTTATAAAACAGTTCTAATGGTAGAAAAAGAGGTATAAACAGATCCAATCTTCATCCAGCGTCCCTTCCTCCTGGTTCCGGGTTTTGTCAGTCCTTATTCCCGTCAATCTAGCCCATTAACCTGGCAACCTTATGTCCGAGGCCCTCAAGTCTCTTCCATGACCCTTCCGCGGCTCTTCTTCATACTTGTAACTGTATTTTCCCTTGTCTCCTGCTCGTGGTAACTCCAGCTTGACAATGTTTTTAACCCTTCTCAACAGATCAGCCCCTTTTCCATGTTCAACAATGAATTCCATGTAGTATTTAAAAGCATGTTTCAAAGGCCCTCCAAAATTGAGAGCCCCCACAGTCCCAAACATCTCACGGCCCGTTGCCGTATTTGAAAAGTCCAAACATCCCAGGATAGGGGGGTGAATCCAGCCCCCCATTTCCAAACCAAGCCAAACTTTTCCTTTCCAGATATGGCTTTTTCCAAGTTCATTTGTCAAATCCAAAAAATCTTATTCCTGTTGGGCCTGTTCTGTCAAAACACACTCCTGATTTAATGTCAAAAACTCCTGTTCTGTCAAGACACACTCCTGATTTAAATCCTGGGTGGGCTCCACATATTTTCCCACTGTCTGTTCAAAGGTTTCCACTGCCTGTTCAAAATTTCTAGTCGAAGTCGCCATCCAATTCACCTTCTCGTGTAATTGTTCCAGTAGATCGTTTGTTTTATAGAGAGCATACAACAAGGCTTCTGAATACATTGTCCTACAAGGTCAGATACTTGTTCCCACGGTTGTAATCTGTAACAGCTGTTGACTCCTGGAGTTAGTTACAGTTTCACAGTTACAATTTCACAGACTCCCCTAGGGGAAGACTTCTATTTATTCTTGCAACAAAGTTTCCCTTTTTAAGATACTTTGTCCATATATAATCCTTTAAAATGCGAAAGGGAAGAGTGGAATCACTAGGTTTCTCTTCTTTTAGCCATCTGTCAAAAACACTTGTCTTTGGTTAATGAACTTCACGCGTCAGTCCTGACAGCCCGCTCCAGGATCAGGATGGAGGAAAGTTACTTCACTTTAAAGTCACTTTAAACAGTCCAAAAAGATCCCCCCCTTCTCCTGCTGTCGAAGGGGGGTTCCACAATTTTAAATGGTGAAATCCAATCTTTTAAAAGCGATTTCCTGAGCTCTAGTTTAAATTGCCTTTGCTTTATTCTGTTTACAAAAGAACGGAAGGATGACTTCCTGTTTAGACCTTCCCGTTCCGTACCAAATTCAAGTAAATTTTTAAAGTCCGATTCTTTCCTACTCGCAAGTCCTTATTTGATGTCCAATTGTTCAAAGTCTAAGTACTCACGGGTGCTTATTTTAAAGTCCAAATTGTCCCAGGAAAAAGGCAGCGCCACCGGCAACAGCTATGCGGCTTCGCTCCACGGAAATAGCAGTTGACTCACAGCACCGCGCCACTTCCCTCTTCACTTTGGAGCCCGTTAGTGGGTTCCTTAGCGGGCTGGGGGCGCTAAAGGTGCCCGCCGAGTCCCATGGTCACAGGCTTCATCCGCCTGTGATTTTTAAGTGGGTCCCCGCTTCGCCGTAGCGGAGAAGACCCGTTTTCCGCGGAGCTAGTCCCTCGAGTTCAGAGGGAGTCCGCCATTGCCGGTGGCGCCACCCCGGAAGTCCAGGTTAGCCATATTGATTTGTATGCTGTTGGTGGGTTATTGTCATTGTCTTGTTGGGCTGTGTATGTGATAAAGGGGAGCCATACCGGGGTGAAGGCGTCTTTTTCTGTTTGTCCCTGTGTCAGTTTCAGTTTATTGGTTAATTTTTCTTGTAGGGCTGTTTCCCATACTATTTGGTACCATTGGTCCATGCTTACTCCTGACAGGTCTCTCCAGTGTCTGGTTATGGTGTTTCTGTCTGCTGAAAGTAGATGGGTTATGAGTTATTTGTGGTGTAAATGGGCATTGTTGTCTTGGAAGATGTTTAGTAGGACCAATTCTGGGGTGGTGTCTAATACTTGCTTAGTTATTTTACATATTTCTTGTATGGCTGTTGTCCAATATGAAACCATTTGGCATTACTATATTCATGATAACTAGGCATCTTTAATAGTTTACTGAAACCACCCAGACTTTTTCTGTTGTCCTGCTTCATATTCTCCTATAGAACCATGATGCACACTCTCTAGTGCAATTAGAGAATTTTAATTTTAAATATTATCATTAGGATATAGGTCAGATATTAAGCCTGACAGAAATATATCTTAGCAATGATTATTTAAGTGCATCAGGGTGTACCCAATGTCGTGGAAGAGGTCAAACAATCTGAGAAGAAAACCTCAACTTTCTAGAAAGGTTTTTTTCACAATTCCACCAACAGGAAATAACTAATTACATAAGTTTCACACATATTTAATTAAAAGTTTTGATGCTAATTCTCAATTATCCCTCATTACAGACCTAATTTTATCATCACGCCCCATGCACTTGGTGTTATCTCACATATCCTGTTATCACTGACAGGTAACACAAAGTTCAGCAAAAGAAAAATGCTATCAAGACTCGCTAAGTTAAAGTTTTTATCTTTCAGGTTTTGGGGTGTACATCTTAATTTAGGGAGCACTGTTTTATATTGAGCCAAAGCAATGGAACAGCTGAGCTCAGTACTGTTAACAGGGGTTTACTGGTGTTTCTCGCCACCTGGGATTTTTAGTTAAAAGATGCTGGGGACTGAATCTGAATACTAAACATGCTATCCACAAATAAGTGACACCTCTGCTTTCAGGGGCCAGCTCTCAGCTTTCCAAAGGGAAAATGCTAACTAATCTAGCCGATACAGAATTCCTTACCTCTCAGAGGACTAATCAAAAGATGCCCATCATAACACTCAGTGTCTCACCACTAAATATATGAGTTGCCTCCACTGTAAGTACGTTGTTTGAGGTAATGTGAAACTTGGGGTGATAGGCAAGCTATGGCTGCTGCACTCATACAAACAACTTCTTGATGATATTGGTCCGTATGCATATGATACACATGCAGATTTCAAATGCAACCGAGGGGCAGCCTGTCGAACAGGCTAGGGAAAGGTGCTCTTCTATTGGCCTAATTCTATCACATGATCTGGATGATCATAGCCTGCCCTGACATGATCAGGCTTTGGCAGAGACATCCTCTCACTGATCTGATCGTGTCACATGACCTAGGTGAAGTATCCAAGCACAGGGTGCTGGTTGAAGCTTACCTCCCCTGCAGTGGCTATGGGCAAGATCACCATGCCAATTACCCTGCTGTATCCCTTACCTAGGGACGCGGGTGGCGCTGTGGGTTAAACCACAGAGCCTAGGACTTGCCGATCAGAAGGTTGGCGGTTCGAATCCCCGCAACGGGGTCAGCTCCCGTTGCTCGGTCCCTGCTCCTGCCAACCTAGCAGTTTGAAAGCACGTCAAAGTGCAAGTAGATAAATAGGTACCGTTCCGGCGGGAAGGTAAACGGCGTTTCCGTGCACTGCTCTGGTTTGCCAGAAGCGGCTTAGTCATGCTGGCCACATGTCCCGGAAGCTGTACGACGGCTCCCTCGGCCAATAAAGCGAGATGAGCACCGCAACCCCAGAGTCGGCCACGACTGGACCTAATGGTCAGGGGTCCCTTTACCTTTTTATCCCTTACCTACACAGTGGCAGTGAGAGTGGCACTTGATACAGCAGGCTCTCTGTTCATCCCCGAGAAGGAATACTGAACCACAGCAGCCTTAGCAGCAAGATTCTCTTACATTAAATGAAACTGATGTGTATTAAAGTTAAGTAAAACAGAAGAGCCAGAGGGGCTCAAAACCCTCTGGACAACTCTAGGCATTATGATTCCTCAGCTACAGTTATTCATCTGTCAGACATGGATATTAATAGCCCAGGCCACAGAGTTGATATGAAAGATTACAAAATACTTGGTGCATTACACTGGTGACTGAAAACAATGCTGGCACCAGTTCAGTACAGTTCAACTCAGCATAAATACGGTGACAATACAGCACAGAAAGAGGAAAACATGGATAGCAACACCAGTGTTACAAGCTCACAGCAGCTCAAAGAAAGAAACAAGAGCACTATTGTCCTCACTGCAACATTGCCTCTGCTCTCCTTTTGACCATCTTCCTCTCTAACCCGGTCTTAATTATTCCCTATAAATAGAAGAGTGGAACAACAATGTCATGATCTTCTGTTTCACTTCCATTCAGCTTAACGGGGTGGAGATAAGGAAGTCCTCATTCACAACTGTGCTGAGTCCCGTATCATAAAAATGAAAATGGTGTGACCAGGGGCCGACTTTGGTCTTTCAAATTTCAGCAGCACCCTGTCCAAAATTCATCGTGCCCCCACCTCTCACCTTCTGTTCTGCTCAATTCACTATGTCAGAGTTCAGGCGCCCAGTGTGGCAGAATCAGTCGCACTGTCCAAAATCTGCCTCTGGTGCAATACTACTTGCCAGCTATTTGTTTTTAAATCATAACAGGGAAAAATAATTTATAAGAAACTGATATCCCATATCAGTACTTTGCATTTCTTCAAAACTGTGGGAACAAGATGAACTAGAGTGAAATGTGTTTAATACTCATTTCAATAGGATTGAGCTCACTTTCAACTGAACTGCAGCCTACGTCTTAATGGTGGGTTGAAATATGTTTTTTCTTCTCTTAACTGCTTCCGCAATACTACATACATTCCAAACACTATGTGATGCAAGGACAGGATTACTGCAAGTTACACACAAGCAGACCCACTTTAGACAACAAACAAGCTAAAGCAGAAAACAAGGATTTTTCTTCTCACCTAGATCTGATAAGTATTTTATATATTAGATGCTGGACATGTCTGCGCATGTACATTGGCACTGAATATGATATATGCCATGAAAATCAAAAGGGAGAATAGTATTCTCATGCATTGAGAAACACCCACCCATTTCAAAATGTACAGTGTTCTCCTGGAAATACTGGCATGTAAACAACAGGCCCATCTACCCCGGATAAAACATTTTGACATCATCTTCTCCATCTCCTTTAAAATCAGCACTGCCAAATTTAATCCAAGTGTCTTACGGATGAACTAGTGCTGCCAATTTTGCACTGCATACTTAGAAATATATACAATTAAAAAAATTCCCAATTTCCATATAAGCCCATCACAGATGACAGTATACTTTTTGCAGACAGCTTTGTAAAAGATGATGGAGATTATTCTGTTATAATTTTGTGAGAACGTTCTTTAAAAACAATGTCTAAGTGCTCAAGTCATTCAATTACTTTAGCATGCACCAATGTAATTTGTCCACATCGTGAGAAATGGAGCAATGAGTGACAGCTCATATAATCATTTTACTTCACTACATTAACTAAAAACTCAAATGCTTAAAGGCTGGGCTTGTCCACATTTCTTCTTGTCCCGTGTTTATAAAGAACTGGTCCAGGTAGTTTTCTGGTTGACCCACACTGGAGATGGGACTGGGGCGTTTTCCACTTGCCCCGTTCCTTTCCCAGGGAAAACCTGCTCTTTAGCTTTAAGGGCTTATCCACACTTACATTTTCTCTGCTCTTTCTAGGCACAGTCTGCACTTTAAAACTCCAAACACACACACTTTTCTCTTCTTTTTGCTCTGGAGCTTTCCCCGAAAAATTCACTCTTTAAAGCTCAATAGGAGCCAATAGCATATTGACATCTGCTCCGATTGAGTGCTAAAGTTCTGGTTTCCACGGGAAAAGTTCTGGGCCAAGAAAACCCCAGGCTCTTGACACAGAGCTTTAAAGTCCAGGCCTGTGCCTGGAAAGAGCAGGGCAAAAGGTAAATGTGGAGAAGGCCTCAATCAGAACAAATGACAATTCTCAGAAAATCTGGTTGCTGTTTACTCCGACTGGGCGCTAAAGAGCGGTTTCCGCGGTGGGGAAAGCAGTGGAACAAGAGGAAGGGTGGGTAAGCTCACAGTACAGAACACAATCAAGAGACATCTGCAAAAGTAAAAAGTAAAAATAAAAGCAATGGCTAATTATAAATATTTTAGTAGGGGCTTCATCTCTGACCACAGGTGTACTAAGGTGGAGACAGCGGGAATGAAACCAGTGCCATGTTAGGCAAGTCTGCCACAGGGCTGCCTACCAAATCAACAGAGTGCCAGCTTAGCTTTCATTAATATTCAGGAGGCTCAGCTCACCAAATAATTTCTAAGCCATGTCTGAATTCTTGGGGCTTAGACAAATATGATGGGGATACATTTCAAAAATTGAGGAAAATATCCTTAACTGGAATCAAATAGTTACGGACTGAAAGATTCAGTAAATTGAAGTTGGCATTATGTTTTATACGCTCTAACCCAAAGGTGACTAGAATAACTTGTGTGTTTAAGGTTTCAATGGGTGACCTACTTTCCCCTCTTTTAATGCAGTGAAAAGGAATAGCTCCAGTAGGTTTACAATCCTGCTCTTGTAATATTATGCAAAGCTGCTGTCTAGCCATGGTTTCTTCTCAAAAAATGCATCTGAGGAAGGCAAAATTGAGCAGTAACACCTTAGATTCAATCTTCAGCCTGATATGCAGTTACTGCGGAAGAGAGCCCTGACCTGGATGGGAACACACACCAAGAATTGGAAGAGAAATGTCTCAAATGGAACTTCTGACACAGCATTCAGATATAAGGCACATCTAGTTAAAGCATATGCAAAACCTTCTAGGGATCTCCCTTTTTTCCAAGCCACTGGAATTAGGATGTATCTGAATCTCATCTGAAAACTGATGAGGCTGCTTCCCTGTGGAATGGTCTCAAATTTCCATGCTCACTTTTCATAAGTCAGTTATTAGCATTTGCATGTATATATAATACCATCAATCTGGATGGCTTTTTCAGTAGAAGCTGCCAATAATTGGATAATTCTTCAAAGGCTGAATACATCAGCCTGGAGAAAACAATAGCTAATGTCTTATACATGCTAATTGGACCTGTAGATAATGTTCAGGTAGATATTTCTTAACTCGGAGACTATTAAATTCTTCAATCCCAGGAAAGGGAAGAAAAGCCCCAAGGAATGAGAGAAGCACAAAGCTGTTGTTTTTAAGAATAACTTAAGTAGATCAACAGCAACAAGAAAAATTGCCTGCAAGAAGCAGCCTCAGCATTTGCTCTACATTTATAGTATCCTCCCTGCCTCAAAAGCACAAGCATGACTTTTTTCTGGAAGCCAGCTTAAGTTTTCCTGTCTAGTTGGGTTTCTGGTCATTGGTCTGTGGTAGTACAGAGATGGCAGAATAAGAGAGGTGTGGGTATTCTATTATGTGAGATTTTAATATTATTGAGATGTAACTGTTTTTGTTACTGTTGAGTTATCCAAATTATTTTGGGCTGCTTTAACCCAAATTAACAACAAATTGCTTTGGCTTAGCAGTACAGTTACAGCTAGGGAAGGCTGGGGAGATGGACCTATAACTAGAGCAATTTAGCAGGAGAAGCTGAGAAAGTTGATGTGCCTCCTTGGCAAGTTTGAAAAGACAAGAGTTAATGACAAATAATGTGGCCTCAAATGCAGAACTCAATGAATGTGCATTGGCACTAGAAATACCCCTTTATTTTGACATTGTAAGTAGACATTAAACGCCAAGAGAAGAAATGGTCTTGTATATATTGGCATGTATCCATACAGCCAAGCCATCATTTACACCATTAAAAACTGAAAGTTGGTAGCAATAATGCATTATGAATTATTTTAAGGGACTGGATGTTTTAAGGGTATGTAACAAAACTCAGTAGGAAAAAAGGATAGTAGTGACAATTTCCATCTTTCTCTCACCTGCAATATTCCTACAGTATTCTTAGTTCTTACCTGCTGCTTGAGTGCCTCCAGAGATTCAAATTCCAGCCTTGCCAATTTTATCTGGATGTCTCGTGGTTTATCAGCTATCGCGTATGCCATAAGAAATTTCACAGCTAGCGCTAAATGCTGGTTGGGGGAACGGGGAGAGAAGAGATAAACAGAATACCATTCAGTTATGAGTGCATGTATTTGTGTGAAGAAATTATCATCAATGATTAAAAACGCACAAGGGATAAGTATAACATGAACATTATCAGAAACACAAGTGAACAGCAATTTTTCTGCATTATTCTAGGGCAGGCCTCCCCAAACTCGGCCCCCCAGCTGTTTTGGGACTACAATTCCCATCATCTCTGACCACTGGTCCTGTTAGCTAGGGATGATGGGAGTTGTAGTCCCAAAACAGCTGGAGGGCCAAGTTTGGGGGTGCCTGTTCTAGGGAGTAAGTGATAGTAAGTGGAGAAAAATCTACATATACATTGACAGGATAAGACTATATATCTACCATGTCAACTTTCACAGATATTAGCAAGGAGAAAGTAAATCCTTAAATGTCACTTGATCCGTTAGGTGCCCTCTATCCATCCATGAAACTGTATTTTAGCATGTGGGCCTCAAACCAAAAATAGTCTATTCTGCAGTAACAAGTAGTGCTGTACCTCAAGTAGATTATAAAACCAGAGATTAGGCAAACGGACAAAGAACAGAGAGATATGCTGCAAGTGTATTTTAAAAGATTGGCAAGTATGATGTACCATCTTTTTTGCACCATAACACTCACTTTTTTCCTCCTAGAAATTAAGGGGAAATGTCTGTGCATGTTATGGAGGGAATGCCTACGGATGGCGGGGGGATCTGCTGCAGTCGTGAGCAGAGGATCCATGGTTCCCCTTCCTTCCCTCCTCCGTGGCTCGCTTTGAAACAGCAAAGCAGGAGAAGAGCCGCTGAGTGGGGAGGAGAGAGGGACAGAGAGCCTGCTTGCTTTAAAGGAGCAAAGCGGGAGAGGAGAGGAGCAGCTTACACAAGTGTAAGCAGCTCCTGTCCGGTTGGCTCCTTTAAAGCAAGCAGGCTCTCTGTCCCTCTCTCCTCCCCACTCAGCTGGCTAAATAGCAGCAAAGTTTGCCAGGGAGGAGGGAGAGAAGCAGAGCCTGCTTGCTTCTCCCCTTATACCCCTCTTCTGCATTATTAGCAGCATCCTTCTCCACCCACCCCACGCATGTTCCTTGTCCCTTGAGTGCTTTTCCTTCCCTCCCCACTTAAAACGTGGTTACAAAGCACGGATCCACATGGATCCTCAGGATTTTTGCACTGGGTCACCCCAAATTCACCATCAGATCACACAGCATAGCATGGCTACATCTTGCACCAAAAAAATCACGCACCCACTGTTGCCTGGGGCCGCAGTGGTGCAAAAACGTGGTTACAAAGCATGGATCCACATGGATCTTCTGGATTTTTGCATTGGGCTACCCCAAACTCACCATGAGATCACATGTCTGTGGCCACAGCATGAACCACAAAAATCATACATCCACTGTTTCGTTTAGAATATTTTTTTTCTTGTTCTCCTCTAAAAACTATGTGCGTGTTATGGTCGGGTGCGTGTTATAGAGCGAAAAATACGGTATGTAAACAAAGACTAGAAATTGTACAGTGGAATCTTGGTTCTCAAACGCCATGGTACTCAAACATTTCAGCTCCTGAACATCAAAAACCGGAAGAAAGTGTTCCGGTTTTCAAATGTTTTTTGGAACCCGAACATCCGATGCGGCTGTCGGCTATTGTTTCCAGGGTGCCTGCGCCAATCGGAAGCTGTGCCTTGGTTTTCAAACGTTTCAGAAGTCGGAACAGACTTCCAGAACGGATTATGTCCGAAAACCAAGGTTCCACTGTATTTCTATTTGCATTTTACCAGAAACCAGAAGACTGTGGCTAAAGGTTTGACTGACTGCTTCAAATCACAAAGTGAAATTCACACACACACACACACACACACACACACACTGCTTTGGGGACTTTGTCGTTTCTTTACGGGTGCTGAGGGAAAAGCAGAAACTAGGGCTAACAACATTGTGTGAGAGGCACTTCAGTCGGGATCATGGCTGGGAAGGTAAAAGTTAAACCTTCCCTCCTCCTTTTGTGCTGCAGTTCTGAGAAAAAGCTTCCCCTCTCTGGCACCTGCTATTAAGTAAAATAAAATGAAAATCACGATGTGCTCTATGTGGCGCCATGCCTAATTTGATCCTTAATTTATTGTTTGTAAATATACAATATATAAATGAGTGCCCTATTAACTCTGCATATAGGTTCTATGAGCTGGAATCTTGACCTCATAACAGGGATTATGTCGAGCCAAGCAAGGTATGCCAGGCCCCATGCCTATTTGTTTTAAGTGGCTGGTAAAAACGTGGCTGTTTTAAAAGGTTGCTTTAGCTGATTGTTTTGTTTTTGCTGGTTCTGTTATAAAAGGTTGCTTTAGCTGATTGTTTTGTTTTTGCTGGTTTATCTTTCATTTCTTAGGGCTCATCTGCACTTTTGCTTGTCCCATACCTAGAAAGCAGAGGTCCAAGAAGTTTTCTGCTTGTCCCATGATTTCAAGGCACAGGTCCAAGAGGGGTTTTGTTTCTTTGTTTGTCCCACCACTTCCCCCCGGAAAACCCACTGTTTACCACTGAATCGGAACAAACATTAGTCTGCTGAAAAACTGATTGATGTTTGTTCTGATGCAGTAGGTTTTCCTGGGGGAAAGCGGCGGGACAAGCGAAAGTGTTGGACGAGCCCTTAGTTTGGATGGCTGCTTAGGGACTTCCGGGTTAGCGCCATCGCCGAATGGCGGACTCCCTCCGAGCTCCGGAGGGAGTCTGCTCGGCAGGGGCTGGGTCCTACCGCGCCGGCGACGCGGGGACCCTTAAAAACCACGGGCACGGAGTCCGTGGACATGGGTGACTCGGCTTGCACCATTAGCGCCCTCCCGACTCGTGAAGGAGCCTTTTAAAGGCTTCGGATCGGGTGCCGGGGAGTGGCGTGGTGCTTGAGTCCACTGCTTTCCTGCCGAGCGCAGCCGCATGCCATTCGACGGAGAGCGCTGACTTCTTCTATTGAAAATTTGGACTATTAACAACAACCCGTGAGTAATTAGGAAACCGGGTTCAAAATTTTGGATTTGGCACGAGCGGGGCGATTTAAAAGGAAGTCAATCCCCCTATTGTAAGCATTCCAAAACAAGGACTGGGTAACCAAGGTCCAAAGGGAAGTATGTCTCTGATAAAAATCATTAATTTCATGATGGGAAATTATAAGAAATGTGCTGGAGGAGAAGAGTGGAGGGTGAGAAGAAAATGCAACCCCCTGGGAACCGGGGCGATTCGTGGAGCCTGGTGAAGAGAGACGGAGACTTTGACAGCTGTCAAAGTGGCTGTCAAAGCTGGAGAATATAAAGAGGATTTTATGAGGACCTTGCTGGTTAATTTTGTTACAATTTGTTATAATATGGATATAAACTGTTGGAAAATAAGCAACAATTTGACTTTTGGATTAGAGGATACAAAGTTATTACACTCCCCTAGAGGGGTTTCGGGATACTACAAGAACGGTCGTAAGTGGAAAAATACCCTGGGATTCGCACAGGATTTGTTATCTTCTGGGAAAGCTGCAAAACTGAAAGAGTATTTTGTCTACAGAGGAAGACAATGGAATTTTTATTGAAGAAAGAAAGGGACTGGACGTAAGTTTTTGTTCCTGAATAACAAACCTCTGCAGAGACACTAGATTTCTGAATTAGAAAGTTTTAGCAGCTGAACAGGACAAGAAACCTGAGAAAGTGAGGAATAAGAAGAATAAAGGACTGATTACGACACGGAAAGAACAACGGGAGGAGTGGTAAAGATCAAGGAAATTAAAGGCCTTTGTTAGATTGGACATTTGAAGTCAAATATTATTTAAATTAATAAACTAAAAGAAAACCGGCAAGATGGAATTGGGGAGAAATCTGGTCATGAAATGAGACTTCCAAGCTGATAATGTATAGACTGATGGACATGGGGAATTCAAACCGGGGACGGGGGGGGGGAGATTTGAAATCCAAAGGCTGTGTAACCATTTTTTGAATTTATCTATATCTCTTATTTTCTATTTCTTTACATAACTTACGCATGTTATTTTACTTTGATCGGACGTGTTTAAAAAAAGTGAATTTGTGGAAGGAAATGGGGTGGATCTTGGGGAAAATCTTTTTTCTATTTTTGTTAATGATGTGGGACGGTGGTAAGATTTGTACAATTCAATATGGATAGTGGGTTAAACAAATTAAGCTTTAAATTGGGAGTGAGAGCTTGTAGAACCAAATTAAGGAAAGGGGAATACAATTGGGGGAGGGGAGTCCCAGAAAGTCGGGAATGAAAGTAAGGTTTTTAAATATCTTCTTTCTTTTGTCTTTTTTCTTTGTATTTTTATTTTTTTTTGGAAACTTTAATAAATATGATTTAAAAAAAAAAAATAGTTTGGATGGCTGCTTAGGATTCTGTTATGGAGGCTTGACTTCGATGTTAATACTAGCAATGTTAATGGGGTGTGTTATAGTTCATTGTTGTTTTGATGTTTTGGTACAAGTTTTCAAAATAACATCATAAATAAGTTAAGATTGTTACTAATTCAGCAACCACCAACGGTTTATAACAGAGTTTCAATCAGATTTCCTTCCTGAACACACTCCTTCCTAACCTCTCTTGATAATTGGATTGATCTTATTTTATCTATGCTATAGTGGCTGGCTGTCACTGTAGAAATCAAATTAGCTGCTCAAAATTCCAAGAATTCATATCTAATTTTTTAGCAGAGACAAAGTTGAGGGACACACTGATGTGGAAACACAGCTGCTCCTGTTGTTCATGGCGGTAATTTTTTGCAGAACTGGCCAGCTCCACTGGCTCTCTGAGCACTTGGCAGAGGTCCACGAAGAGTTTGATAGTGCTGCAATTATCAAGGGTGAAAGAGACACTGACATTTTGCTTCTTACCCATTTGGCAGATGGCAAAATAGGAGGATATTTTAGTGTTGACACCAGGGAGCCATGTTAATTCTATCCTGTTTTCCTCATACCAAGACATACACCCTGTAATCATCATGTAGAACATGTGTTTGAAAAGCAGAATGACTTCAAGTCTCGCAATTTAGAATAGTGCTGCTCTGCAAGGGCTTAGAATGAGAAACAACATGGATATACGCTATTAAAGCTCAAGATCACTTTCGTGTCGCCAACTAAGAGACCAAGCAAACCACAGAAAATGTTCTTGTAATTCACAGCAGACTACTGACTACAGTCTTACTTAATTTCAACACATCTTGGCATCTGGACCGATTTCTATGTTAATTCTAATTATCAGTCATGCCCAGGATACCAGACTGATAAGAGGAGTGGGTGTTGCTTAAAACTTTCATAACTTTATCATGGATGATTACCATATTTACTGAAACAATTTTGACATGTTATTTTATCTCTTCAAGTGTGAAGAACAAAATAGTTCACCCGGTATCTGTTATGGATCCAACATGCCCTTTTGGCACTCTATGTGGGGGAGATCGGTTTTCATTATTTTCACCATTGGTTGGAGCCCCAAAACTATTCCAGAGTATACCCAGCCTTCAGGGGGGCATGAGAGACAGCCAGGGAAAAGCCTCTGAGCTCAAACAGAACTTTAAACATGGTCCTTTGGATTCAAAGTTCCTGCTGACATAGAAACTAATCCAGTATGCTGATGTGCAAACATATTCAATGCTTTGAACGTCCTGTGTTTGCGCACAACTGCAGCAAAAGCATGGTACTATTTTGGAAACAATGCAGTATCCTGAAAATCTATTAAGTCCAGTTGCAGACGACTCTGGGGTTGCGGTGCTCATCTCACTTTATTGGCCGAGGGAGCCAGCGTTTGTCCGCATACAGCTTCCGGGTCATGTGGCCAGCATGACTAAGCTGCTTCTGGTGAACCAGAGCAGCGCACGGAAACACCGTTTACCTTCCTGCTGGAGCGGTATCTATTTAACTACTTACACTTTGACATGCTTTCGAACTGCTAGGTTGGCAGGAGCAGGAACCGAGCAACAAGAGTTCACCCCGTTGTGGGGATTCGAACCGCCGACCTTCTGATCGGCAAGCCCTAGGCTCTGTGGTTTAGACCACAGCGCCCCCCGCATCCCTTACAACTGTGAAAATACCTGGCGAACTCTCAATAAGCAGCTACATGAATTGGTATCCAGCAAGTATTAGAAATGTACATACAGCGAACAAACAAACCCCTAATCAGCCATAATAAATTACACGACAGCTCATTCATTGATCCTTGATCAATGGACCTTAAGGCTGTCTTTTCTCGTATTTCTGTCAATATTCAGATGCTTTAAAATGCCGTCTTTTATTTTCAAGTATATAAGATAGCATTTCTTAACTTCAAATTTACCAACCCAGCAGTCTAGAATGCAGTTGCATAATGCACCCAATAGTATATTTCCATCATGCAATCCTTAAACGTTTTGGCAGAATTTATCTCAATTTATGGCTGGTGTTTAATAGGAACAAGGATGTGGGTTGCCAAAAGTCAAATTAGCTAATGCAGTATCTAATGAAGAGTAAAGCTTTGATCATGCTCTGAAATAAATTCTACATGAAAAGCGGATAGAGAAAAATGAACAAGCAATTCAACTTGTGACACTGTGATAAATGCCATGCTTTATGAAGTACCTCTTAACTGATTGCCAGTATCATACACTGATGTTATATCTAACTGATGTACCTTAATGGAAAGATGTCTGGAATCTTTAAAAAGTGACATTTCTGTTCAGCATATGAAATATCTGGAATTCCAAAATTGTACACATGGAGACTAATTTTTTTGTGCACAAGCCCTTTAAAAAAAATCTCTTCTTGGTTTGAATCAGGAGTGGGCAACCTTTTGCCCTCAAGGCCCATCTACAATGGAGGGCATGCACTCAGGGACTGCATCCCAGTCTTAACCAGAGCCAGCACTAGGAGATCAGCAGACCCCTCTCCACTCAAGTAGGGAGAGAAAGGTCTTTGGAAGACAGGGATATTTCTCCTCTCCTCACCATCATGCTAGAAGTCTTAACTTTAAATGGTCAGTATAAATTACTGCTCTGACTTCCTCCCTCCATAAAACATTTTTCTTCCATTTAATTCACAAATGGTGAGCACACAAAAGATGCTGGAGCAGTGCAGTTGTATTGAAAGGGAGAAGACCCTTGTAGCAAACACAGGCAAAGGTGTTTCCTCCTAACAGCTGATGTTTGGGAACACATATTGGCTGGCCGTAACACTAACCACTGAAGTTTGCAGAAAGACAAGGAATGCATGGGAGTTTTGGGGCGCAAGTCACAGCGCCTCATTCTGGCTCTCCTGTCTCCTTCATTGGTGGGTTTTAGGAGGGAGTCTGAGTAGACTACTTCCAGTTCTCACATAATTAAGGAGTTGGCTTAGTATCTATAAATGTTTTCAAACAGTAATGGGAAGAGGGGTGAGGATTTACATTAAGAAAATGGCTTGAAATACCCTCTCCTCCTGTGCTATGGTCTTGAATGGTATCACCCTTCACCCCTGTATCTTTTATTTTCATTCTTTTAAGAAAGAATGAAGAAACCAGAGGGCCACTCACAGATCTCCAATGTCTGATTTAGTTTGGGGTTGTTAAAGATGGATGTTCAAATGGAACAGCTGAACTGTGTGTGCCAAAAAGACTTTACTCTCACATGTGTTACATTTTCTCCCTTCAGAGGTGAGGAAAACAGCTTGGATGAGAGCAATTTTGATGGGGGGGGACTGCCAGTGAGGAAATGTTAAACACTCCTTCCTTCACACTGTTGCAGCTATTAAATATGTGCCCTTAACACACAAGGCTGCATTTTAGTACTAGGAATGTTAACCTGACTACCATGTTAGTTATTCCGCTAAAAAGAACATGTCTTAAATTACCAGTATAACATACCTACTGATCACAGAGAGCAAATTATTCTATTTGGGGAAGGGAGAGGGGCTGCCTACTGTTTCTACAACTTGCAAATAGGCAAGTCTTCTCATAAGGTGTGACAAGTTAATGTAAATGACTGCTGGACCCTCTAGAGATTTTTCTAGTATCAGAAATGTTAAATAATTCCATTCATGTTCTTTGCTCAAGACCTCCAAAGTCATTTTCATAGACGGCCTGCTGGGATTAAGAAGAAAACAACACTTCCCATGGCCCAATTACTAGGAAAATAAGCATTCTTTGTTTCTAAAAACAATCGCCAATTTTGAAGTAGGGATGGCAGTTCCTTAAAATCTTGGATGTGGACTTCATCAGCTCAGATATTTTCTAATTTCCATCTAATTCCTATATCATTGCCACATAACCTAGCATATGTAAATTTTAAGCAATTCTGTGTGCTCTTCTGTGTAGCGGTGCATAATTGGCTGCCCTAGAACAGGCTACTGCGTCAGAAATTGTGAAAGTAAGACTTTTAGGGATGTGAAAATGCTTTAAACCAGGCATAGGAAATTGGATCCAGTCAGCAGGCCAGATCCTTATCTCCACCAGCCCTCACAGGCCAACTTTGACAGGTGCACAGGACCACCCGCCTGCAAAAGTTCAAAGGAGGCTGCTGGTTACAGCACTTCCAGCACTAATCAGCAGATTAACACTAGGAATGCACCTTCCAAGAGGCTTCCTGAAAGGTAAAGGTAAAAAGTAAAGAACCCCTGCACAGTTAAGTCCAGTCAAAGGCAACTATGGGGTTGCAGCACTCATCTCACTTTCAGGCTGACGGAGCCAGCGTTTTTCCCCAGACAACCTGGTCACGTGGCCAGCATGACTAAGCTGCTTCTGGTGCAACGCAACACTGTGACAGAAGCCAGAGTGCACAGAAACACCGCTTACCTTCCTGTCGCCGTGGTACCTATTTATCTACTTGCACTAGTGTGCTTTCAAACTGCTAGGATGGCAGAAGATGGGACAGAGCAATGGGAGCTCACCAGAGAACCCCCTTGACATCTCTGCAGAGGGGCAAATGCTCCTAAAAGCACCACATCTTCCCCATGAAGGGTAAGTGGTTTGTGTTCAAAGTGCTGCCTCTAGCTTTCTGCAAAAATGGGAAAGAAGACCTATTTAAAAAATGATCCTAGCTGACCGTCAGTGCTTGCAGAGAACCCTGCACTGTGCTTTGAAACCCAGCCAATCGGCCGACAGTTGGGGCTTCAAAGCACCTTACACAGGGCTTTGCAGGCACTGATCAGCTGATTGGCAGAGCTTGCAACATCCCTTTTGGCCCAGACACAACATGGCACCAGGCATAAGGCAGGTGGGCATGCCATGGGCAAAATCATCTGGCGGCCACCCAAATGGGGAGGTCTAGTGGCTCTGATGACCCCTGCTTTAAACTTTAGAGGCAGTATCAAAAGGATATAAGAATATAGCTAAGAGCACAGAAAAGTGGATTTGTTACAGGGAGTGGGGTGGGTAAAAAAGGGAAAGGGTATGAGTGGGAAGTAGGGAGGGGACAACCAAAAGTACCACTGCACAGGGAGCATGTGATGATGAGCAAGGAAGAAATTAGCAGGTCAGAGCAGAAGGCACAGTTGGGACATCACTGGCTGAGGACTGCCTAGGTCCTGGAATATTCCAAATATCTTTAGGCTGCAACATTCTGCCCATACCTCAATATAGAAAACAGGGCATAAAGTGGGTCTTTGTTTTCTATTTAAAAGTCCTGTTTGCATCTTGAGGCAACAGTTAATAGCTACAAGAGAAATGTGTTAGAAATTATAACAATTACTGTGTTACTGAAAACTGCTTTAACCTTGCCCACACTATTGTATAGTGAGTCTTTCAAACACTGTAAATATTTTATTTTCCTCACTTGAATGAAAGCAGGCACCTCATAAATTATTCCAATACGCATAATACTACTCTATGATGAATAATTCTGGCAATTGCTAAAGTTAATCTCAAATCACTCAGCCAGCTTTTTGACAAAAGAATAGTTCTCCATCCAGCTGAAGAATTTTCCTTCCCCAATCACTTATATGTGATTCATAAATTCCTGGAAAAATGCATTATTTCTTTTGCTTCCTAGAAAAACACCTCCTCGGGTGCAATGGAGAACATTCTCTACCACAACATCTAGACTCAATTGCAACAGGTTACACTTAAAGATGGAAGGGTGGTTTATTCACTCATTGCAATAGTTTGTAATACTATTGTGTTCACATAAATCAACTATTTGGTTTCTGACACAAGTATAATTGCTCAAAAATAGGCTAATGCTGCAAATCCTATACTTAGCATATTGTACAAAGCAATGCAATCCTACTGAACCCAGTAGAGCTAGACATACATTTAACGGATCTAAGTGGGACCAAATACACACGAGCTGCCAATACACTCCTTTTTAAAACCCTGAAAGCCTGATAGTGTAAAGCCTTAGTATCATATTATACATATTGTTTATTCATAGGTTGTTGTTATTTAGTTACTAACTATGCAATACTATGTGTGCTTACTCAAAAGTAAGTCCCACTGTGTTATGAAGTTTATGTAAATGCATATAATTCACGGTTCAAATAATGATTTCTTAGTCAAGATAGAATAATCAGCCAGTAATTGGGCTTGTTGATTCCAGATACATATTCAATGCCCATGCTAAAACCTACTGACATTTCTAATCAATAAAGTTGTGGCCATTTCAATCCCAAACTATTGTCCTGTCTTTATTCCAGATTCCTGACCTCCTGGACCCGCAATGATTTCTTAGTTTCAAACATCTGAATCTATATTTACTTCCTCTCTTTCTTTCTTTTTTACACATTTTTAGTTGTTTCTTTACACGGAACGACGTAAATGCTAATAATACTTGTGACACAGGACTACGAAAATAATTTGCTTGTTAAAATAAAGTGCTTTGCTTTTGGGCCCGCATTCTCTATACAAAATGTGAAGAAAAGCTCACCACAATGAAGTCTAATCAGGCATACATTTAATTGAAGCAAGATGGTATACTGTGTAGTGTGGATAACTAAAGTGAGCTTTGTTTGAGTCACCATAAAAGGAGGACAAGGAAAAAGTGATTGGAATAATCCCTATATCTAATCCTACAAATTATTTAAGCAAATGCAAGCTTATGTTTTTCCTTTAAGACAAAAAAAATTCTAAAATGTCCAGAAAGACTTTGTGTTTTGTTGCTCCAGGAGATATAAATGTCAAATCTGGAGTAATGGTACTGCTGCTGTTTTGTTGTCACAAAATGACAGCTGACCGAGAATGGTGCTGCTTGTGGAGGAATAAACAATATGTGAGAAGCCACTGATGCTGACACACATTATTCTACATATAACGTTTAGCAGGAATTATTTTACACTGTATGCTCGCTGCCAGGCACATACATTCGTAAGGTAGGCAATTTTATGTGTCACAATACACAGAGAGACGGGACATTCCAGAAAACCACAGATGATGTAAATTATTGGAAATGGATAGAGGAAATGTGTTTCTTTCCAAAGGGAGTGTGTTTCAGGTATGCGGAAACAAAGCACACTGTGGTGGACTTCCGAGATTACTCCATTAGATTCAGTATGTTACAGAAGAGGGAACAACAAATTAAAATGGCAGGGCTGCGATGTTTTACAGCATCTTCTCCCATTTCAGCCTTAAAAAAAAAACCCAAAAAAACTTTGGGCTCATCCACACTTCTGCTTGTTCTGTGTCTAGAAAGAACAGGTCGAAGAGGATTTCTGCTTGTCTCATGGTTTCTGAGCAAGGGTTCGAGAGGTTTTTTAGCTTGTCCCACCACTTTCCCTGGGAAAACTTGCTGTTTTCTGCTGAAATGGAACAGAAAAACTGACTGATTGACTTACAATCTGACCTTGCAGACGTAACAAATCCAAGCACCCTTAATAATTCCTACAGTTCTCCCCGACTTTGAAAGTGGTAAGAATGCTTTAAATGTACTGTGTGGATGTGACACTTGTATGGAAAAGTTCACATTAAAAAAAAATTAGATTAGAACACTATATTAACTGGAGAGCCAAATCTAAGAGCAGGGCAAAGGTGTATTCCCTTAGCAACTTTACCCTCTTAAGCAATAGCTGATAAAATTTTTTGCAAGGAATTTGCTTGTTTTCAATGCAAACTGATGCAAAAAATGTTGCAAGATGAACTTAAGATGAGGAAAATGAGAAACTAAGAGAAAGAGAGATTGACATATTCACACATCCCTAATTGGATCCCACTAGCAAATTGATAGCGTAGAAAGAAAGAAAAAGAGAGGAAGGGTTAACTTCTCCAAACCATTTAAAAACAATCTGTCATCACATCTTGTCAGCTATGGAAGAAAAGGGCAGAACTAAAAGACTGCATCTAAATGTCAAAGTGCATTTGGTATTCAGCAGAAGCGGGCTACGTAAGATGTAGATATTTCAAAAAGGGAACATCATAGTACAAAATGAAAGTGCATGCAGGAACAAAATACAGAATACTGAAAGACAGCTGTTATACTAAAGATTTATATGCACTGTGGCCTGATAAAAACTTTCACTTTTTGTGCTAAAGGCTGTAAGATGTCCCCTTCCTACTCTGATCCCTTTAAAAAACTTTTTTTATCATGCCCTGAACAAAGCTTTTTACAAGTAATTAAAAAAACTTGAATGTTTTTGAAAACAGATGCTAGACAAGTCAAATTTTACCACGAAGACAAATTCATGCTTTACAATGGCACTCCTTTCACAACACCAAACTGCCCTATGTACTGTCTCTGATTGCACAAGGGACTCGTCTTCATTATATCAATCTTATTTTAAGGAGGGAACAGACACTTAAAATTCTCAGAATCAAAAGAAGCTGTGGTGCTCAGCATCTTATAGTATCGAGAAAAACCACACATGATCAAGCGTGTATATACACACAACTGTGGAAATACATATTCAGAGATTCACATTTCCTAAATGTGAGCAAGTTTCCTCTTTATAATGTTTCCAAATATTTGTGGGAAGAAAGGGCTCTTGCTTATAGGGTTATGTTGTGTTCCCATCTCAATATAAAATACCTGTCATGTTTTCTTCTTCTTCAAGAAACAATGCATCTGCTGTGAAGCAAAAGTGCAACCTGATCTAGTTTATAGCATTCTCAATTTTTTCCTAACATATTTATAATAATTTATTATTTATACCCCGCCCATCTGGCTGAGTTTCCCCAGCCACTCTGGGTGGCTCCCAATTGAGTATTAAAAACAATACAGCATTAAATATTAAAAACTTCCCTAAATAGGGCTGCCTTCAGATGTCTTTTAAAAATAGGATAGCTGCTTATTTCCTTGACATCTGATGGGCAGGCGCCACTACCGAGAAGGCCCTCTGTTTCTTTCACATGTGGTAGACATGTGACAGAGTGAAAACTTATTGGCAAAACATATATAACGAACTAAAGAAGATCTTTAGGTATACATTTTTTAAAAAACCAGAGTCATTCCTGTTGGGAATGGTGGGAAAGGATATTGATAAGAATGATCAGAAACTGTTTTTATATGCAACAACTGCAGCGAAGCTATTGCTGGCCCAGGTGTGGAAACAGCAACAAATGCCAATAATAAAAGAGTAGCAGTATAAGGTTATGGAGTATGCAGAAATAGCCAAACTAACAGCAAAAATTCGACATCAGGGTGATGAAACATATCAAAAAGAATGGGGAAAATTTATGTTATATATAGAGATGATGATGTGAAATAGGGAAACCAGTAGAACTGAAATAAACCTCATAATGGGAAAATACAAATAAATTTATTGGACAATAGTATCAAAATGAATTAAAAATGTATATTATGACCAAGGTTGAACAGTATTTGTAAATGAATATAGACAGACAACAAGAATTGTATATATAGAAAGATGTATTTGTTTACGGACATTTCATGGACAAAAATTGAAGAACAACTATATGCAAAATGGATAAAGACAATGGGAAAAGTTAAAGACGACACAAAAAAGCCGGAAGAAGGAAGGAGGGAAGTCAGCTCTTGAGAGCAAGAATAAATTTAAAATGTAATATAATATGTGTATATATAGTATGTAATTATAAAAAACCAATAAAGATCATCTTAAAAAGAGAGAGAGAAGGCCCTCTCCGTCTGATTCCCTGTAACCTCACTTCTCGCAATGAGGGAACCGCCAGAAGGCCCTCAGCGCTGGATCTCAGTGTCCAGGCTGAACGATTGGGGTCTACTTTTGGAGACACATGCACTGTGTGCCCTCTCAACTACAATACCCAGGTGGAGGTGCCCTAAGGGACATAAACCAGCAATGCCAAGGGATCGTGCGCCAGCTTAAATCACTGCATGGGGCTATAAACTGAGTGAGACACAGGGGGTAACAAGTAGGCCTTTCTTAGCTGCCAAAAAGCAACCAAAGGATCTGACCCGGTGTGACCCACGGTATCAGTGGAAGGGCTTTGCACAGAAAGCTGGAGCCAGGGACCCTCCAAGGTTATGTCTGTATTGTTGAGACATCAATTGCCTCCCCGTAGTTTAAATATATATCATCAGGGGTTACAGAATGCTTCCTACATAGAATCGGTGCATTTTTATAACTGCTGCCAGCTTCTCTCAATCAAGAGTGCAATTAGCATATGGACTGTAAAATTTATCTCTCCTATATAGACTCCATTTTCATAATTATCTTCCATCCCATAACGTGGCAGCAGATTTTCATTTGTAACAGCCCTGGCTTCAGACGGATAAACAAAGTTAATATAATTCAATCATGTCCACATCCACTTTACAAATATGTTCAGTAATACCACCATGCCAGCTCCAGTATCAACACTATGCAATTAAAAACTGTAGCTACAATCACGCATTGTAGGCTTTTAAATGTTTGCTTTGCTGATACACAATTTTACGTTCCATGGATGGATTTATTTTTTTAAATGCTTAGACTGTATTAACTTAGAGAAAACTTTATACACGTTTTTAGAAATAAATTCTACATTACGCAGGTAGAAGGACTGTAAGAATATAGTATATTCATTTCTGATACTCCAGAACAGTAATGCAACTATCTAATATAAAGTTATTTCTATGGACTAGTCATAAAGCAATTGTGTTAGGCTGCATGTCATTCTGAAAGCTAATTCAAATTATGCTGCAATGTTAATCGCAACCCCAACCGCCCCGCCGGTGAAAACCCTTAGATAATGAACTGACAACAAGAGATTACTTTTAGGAAGTATAATCTTAGGTCTGCATTCCTTCCTATTTTGTAATCATATACATGCTCCATATGACTCTGCTTTGCAAATCATAGCTAGGATACAAATCCTTAGGCGATTACTGCAATCTACACCAAGAATAAGGGCTGTTCTGGTGTAATAGCCAACCCTTGGTTTAGTGCTTGGGCTCAGATTTTGCTTCCTCCCCATTTCACTCATATGCTCCAATCTACTCCCTATTTGGACCAACTATGGTTTGCAAGTAAATCTGAATTGGCATGTTTTGTCATTTAAACTAGAATTTGAAACCCACTTCAACAATGACTTTCATTCCTGGTTTGGAGGGCAAGGTGAAACCATAGTTTTCTGGTTTGGATGCAACAGCAAACTATGGCTTGACCATACAAGGAAGTGAGGGAGGAAATTATAGTTGATGAAGAAAGGGGAAAGGAGCTGAAGAAAGGAGGAGAAAGGAGCTGAAGGGGGGTGAATAAGGCTCCAGGACAGGATCAACTGGGCATAAAATTCATAAAACTCAAGAGCATCGCTTTGACATATCTTTTGGATTATAGATGCATCTGGCAAGATATTGGCATATAAGGTTAACAAACAGAAAATAGAGGTTTTAATAATTAATTTAGATGTGCAAGACAAAATTTATATAATGCAACCACATAGGTTGAATATAATAAAGTAAAATATTTAAGAGTGAGATTAATAGAAGATGTGAAGTTTAAGAAACTGATTCAGCACATAAAGTCTGACTTTAAAAGATTGGGGGGAGGAATTGAATTTATCCTGTATAGCCCGGGTAAACTCAATTAGGATTGTTATTCTGCCAAGATTCCTGCTTCTGTTTATTGCACTACCTCTGTCAGTAGATTCAAAAGAACTAAGAAGTTAACAGAAAATGCTGAACAGCTTTATGTGGCATGATATCCCATATAAACAGCCCAAAATTGATGTCAATACCATGCAAGCCCCAGAACAGAAGGGAAGTTTGGCAACCTCTATTCTAAGTATATACTATGAGACAGCACAGTTAAGTTGGCTGAGGACTTGGTTATCCCATGATGAAGATTTACACTGTCTAGAACAAATTTTTTTACTGAAACACTCTTAGAAACTTTCATGTGGGTAACATGTTTGTTGGAAATACTGGGTCAAATATGTGCATTAAGACAGAAGTAAATTTGGAAGAAAATGGCAGTAAACACAAAAAAAAATTGGTCAAAAAAGTGTCTGTTATTTATGGATTTGAGGAGAGAAATATAGTTAGTAGAATAAGATGGGGAAAGGAACTGTGTTGCTAAGTTCTCAGAACAGAATAGGCTCTAGAGTCAAGGTGAGAGGAGGAAGGGAATGCCCCACTGAAGATTCCATTCAGCTTGGGCAATATTACTGATGTTAACCAGATAGCTAGCTATTGTTCCTCTGCAGTTTCATCTTTGATTAATTATTCCTAAATTCATAGGTAAAAACTGGTTACTGATACAAGTAAAATTGCATGCTCACAAATGATATGCTTCTAAAATCTGCACTACACATACCAACACGCAGCACGTGATCCAGAGCCCTACAAATATGCACTTGAGGTTTTGCTCAAGTATGAACCAATCTCCAAGAAGAAAACAGGGCATCTCCTGCATATGCAGAGTCTGCATGCACACATATATTCAACCCACATGCACACAAAAGCCATTGGTTTGTGATAGTTCTGTGGATTGTCATTATGAATACATATTGCACGAATGCACGCAAACACTGTACTGTTTTGGCAAAGTATAAGCATAAAATATACCAAGAACTGTCTGAGGGAAGCTGTGTTAAGTAACACATATCAAACAGCAGGCTCTCATCTGAGGCATTTGTTGCTTGTATTCCAGAGGAAGATGCTATTACTTTTCCAAGTGGTAATCCACCAGACAAGCAACACATCAGGCAAGGACAAGGCAATCAGTGTCTTAGTTTACAATGTGTGAATCCCCGAAGCGAGAAAACCAATCATTAGATAAAAATAGATGCTACACTGAACCAAGAAGCTTCAAGCCGACTTTGGCCTGAATGAGCACAGATGAAAAGGCAGTGGCACAAAGGGTCTATTACAAAAAGCACACAGTCAAAAATGTCCAATGTGAAGTGAGTGCAACATGTTCTCTCATGTAAGCAGCAATCATATTAAAATGAGAAACCTTTGTTTGCAAGAAAATTCTTCTGAATATGAAAATTTGATTTGTACGAGGTCAAGAAAGGGCATGCAGTATTTTTAAAATGTGTGCCGTGCCCATGAAGTATATACTATAAACACATACAATTATTAACCCAAATAGAGCCCAGGACATGACAATTCAAATATCTAAATATGGACTGTTTGCACCAATCTTAACAGTCAGCTTTTCATAATGTTGTTAATGGTAGAGTTTGTAGTTCTAGCGTGTAGAAGATCAAGTCAAATGCAACGAATCTGAACACAAGGAATCGGGGAAGGCGGTTGCATAATAAGGACAGTTATTGCAGCCCATCAAACAACGTAAATGCATCAATTTTGTCTGTGCTAAAATACTCAGGAGGAGACTAATTCTTACGCTGACAATTGCCAAATAAATGTCAGCAAGAGTGACGAACTTGAACAAACCGATTTTGTATTGTACCCAGAAGCATAGGCTGCAGCAGGCTGCAAAACTCAGCCAAAATACTAGACAAGAAGTCAAAGGGAGGATACGATGTATGGGGACCAGATCTTGGCATTCGAATCCTGCAGCTGTCAAACACATTTCATAAAAGGTTTCTTGTCTGCAGAACTTGCAAGATACTTAAAAAGAGGACAAATGGAAGGAAAAACAAACTGTAGCAGAATAAACTGGCACAACAAGGGCAAATATAACACTATTACAGGACTGCTACATTCTAAGTATTATCCTCCCTACCCAGAAATTTTCATTTGCAATCTGATAATTCATTGTTGCAAAAGCGAGATCCATCAATAAGATGCTTAATGCAAGATCATTGGGACAAGAAATAAGTCACTATGTTGAAACATTATATACTCAGAAGATCCTGCCTTTATTTTTTAAAAGACTTCTTCTAAACCTGATTTTGAACACAGCGTGACAATTGCCTATGCAGAGGTACAGTATATCCAAGTCAGGCCTGGTGCAGGCTGAAGCCAGTGAGGAACAGGAAATAAAATAAAATAATAATAATAATAATAATATGTATTATTTTTATATTGTTATATGTATTACTATTTTTCTATGTATTGTTGTTGTTTGTTGTTGTTGTTGTTGTTGTTGTTGTTGTTGTTGTTATTATTATTATTATTATTATTATTATTATTATTATTATTATTACCCTGCCCATCTGACTGGGTTTCCCCAGCCACTCTGGGCAGCTTCCAACAAAATATTAAAATACAATCATCTATTAAATATTAAAAGCTTCCCTAAACAGGGCTGCCTTCAGATGTCTTCTAAAAGTCTGGTAGTTGTTTTTCTCTTTGACATCTGGAGGGAGGGTGTTCTACAGGGTGGGTGCTACTACCAAGAAGGCCCTCTGCCTAGTTCCCTGTAACTTGGCTTCTCGCAGCGAGGGAGCCACCAGAAGGCGGAAAAAGATACCAAAGGTGTACAGATTAGGGCTGGGCTTTTCAACACTGTGATGTATGTACAGTGGACTTTCTGGATACAAATTTAAATCGTTCCAGGGGTCCGTGCACACCCTGAAAAATCCGCATCCAGAAGCGCTGCTTCTGCGCATGCATGCAGCACACAGAACACTTCTGCGCATGTGCAAGCAGCGAAATCCGGAAAAATACCACTTCTGGGTTTGCTGCTTTCGCAACCTGAAGTTTACGTTACTCTAGAGTAACATAGCCCAAGGGTCTACTGTATTGTGATGTCTGAATTAAGGATGGAGCTGTGTAGAGGCACTGGCTGGCGTCAGGGTTTTCCCTGCATTGGGATTTTTGCCGGCACCTGCTCAGGTGATTCGTTGTCCCCTGCAGGAGGTAGGGGAATGTTGAGCTGGCAGAGTTAACAGGTGCTGCCGGAATCGAGAAAAGCACTGGCTGGCTGCATGGTTTTTCAAACATTGTGATTTTTGAATACCACACACACACAATTTGCAATACATTGCCAGGTCAAAAATTATGAAACCAATATCACAATACGGACTTCAAACTGGTATCGAACGATTTATCAATATATCACTGGGAGTGGCCTCCGAGGCCATGTAACATCGGTCCTGATAAACCTACATTGGCTCCCAGTACATTTCTGAGCACAATTCAAAGTTTCAGTGCTGACCTTTAAAGCCCTAAACGGCCTCAGCCCAGAATACCTGAAGGAGCATCTCCACCTCCATCATTCAGCCCGGACATTGAGATCCAGCTCCAATGGTCTTCTGGCAGTTCCAGGGAACAAGGCAGAGGGCCTTCTCGGTAGTAGCGCCCACCCTGTGGAACACCCTCCCATCAGATGTCAAGGAAATAAACAATTATCTGACTTTTAGAAGACATCTGAAGGCAGCCCTGTTTAGGGAGGTTTTAAATGTCTGATGTTTTTTCACATTATCATCATCATCAATATCAATCTATTACCCAGCCCTAATACAGATGCAGAACAAAGGCTTAGATGAAAAATGAATTACATGTAACTGGGGGGAGGGGGGGCAGCAGCTCAGAAGAACAACTTTGTGTAAGTTGGAAAACAGGAATAAGCACTGATACTAAAGGGATTGAGCAGCTGTGAACAGCCCCATTATACTTACCACGAGATGTATTTCTGGAGACCCCACAAAAGCTGCTGCCAGATTGGGATTTAGGCTTAGCACCACCTGGCAGTCAAAAGGCAACACTGCAAGCTTTGTAAAAAATAAAGAATTCAAATAGGAAGCTGCTGTTTAAGTGGCTGGAAGGACGTGCTGCAGCTGAGGCAAAAGTGTCAATTTTGTAATGCTTAAGGAACATGGAAGGTGTCGACCATGTGGGTGCTCTGAAAATCTATTGCAGAGGGGCATTTAGGGAGAAGGATGCGGGGGCTGCCCTAGTTGAGTGAGCCGTGATTCTGGTAGGTGGAGGAAGGTTGAGAGAGACATAAGCCAAGGAGATGCATCCTCTCAGCCATCAGATTCTCTTTCCCATCAAGGGAGGATGAAAGCAGATGAAGAGGACAAGGCAACTCCCTTTTGGAGAGATTCCCAAATAGAAAATACTGTGTCTCCATCTGAAAATGGCAGTACTTTATGAATTGGCTGAAAAACCTGAGGTCTAATACCATTCCAAGGGATCCATCTTTCTACAGATCCCTGATCCACATTTTCCTTGAAGAACATGCTTCATTGCTACTATATCCAGTACTGGAGTTAACAAACTTATGTTCACTGATTTCAGTCGGTATACTCAAGAGTAGGATTAATGCCAGCTATCACCTATAGCATGATTAAGAGTAGCTCCTAACCTCAGCTGCTGCCTGTTGTGACATAACAAAGCATGCCAGCTGCAAGTGAGGGACAGGAAGATCTCCGTGACAACCTAGTGCAACAACAGTGTCCAGATTGGTCCAGTGTTGTCACATGATGGCAGTGGGGTCAGCTCAGCTCCTCTCTGCCCCCAGAATGATACTGCCAGTGGCAATTTCGCCCGCCCACTCTCTCAGCTGGTAGAACGTGGGCTCTGCAGCCCCAGAATGACTCTGGCATCACTCCAAAGGCAGAAGCCAGTGCTGTTAGATGTATAGACACATCTGCCTATCCAACATCCCCACAACCCAGAGCAAAGGGGGTTTGGATGGCTCTGTAACAGGTAGGTTCCTTCTTTTGTTTTCTAGATTTCTCCCTTCGACCCTACAAAACATGGTCCAGCAGACGCAAAGACATAAGAAGAATATAATTTTTAAAATATACTCCTGAAACTTCTTAATATACTTACAGACATTTGTTCCAGGATTGGGATTATAACTTTCTAATAAATCTAAACTAAAATTATTAATTTACATCTAATGATTAGATGCTAAAGCTGCAATCCTACTTATTAGGGAGTAAGCTCCATTTAAAAACAGCGGGAGCTACTTGCATGCACAGAATTGCACTGGTAAAGCTTGCGAGAAGTTTTTCATTTATTTTCACCCGAGGCATTTCTTCTTTATTATTCCTGTTGATATTTGGAATGTCAAAATGAAATTTCACTAGACCCATGAGAAGACAGAGTTCAATTAAATTAACTAACAGCCTGTGTACTCATGTGCCCTCTAGTGGGCGAGTTCCCTTATTTAATAAACGAGACATTCATTAAACACCTACTCCATAAAAGTATTTCTTAATGGCAATCAAGACGTGGGGATTAGTCACTTAATTTAGCTGACATTTTCTTTAAAAAACTATTTATGATGACAAATAGACTACTTTAAAATGATAAAACAGATCAGCCTTTCAACAACAGTTCCAGAAGATGATTTTTATTTTTTTAAGGCAGTTAATTAGGCTTTCACCAAAATGCCTGAACAGTATTTTACTATTGATTTTGAACAGAGTCTTGAAGAGGAATGGCAAATTATGAAGTGTTTATAGTATGCAAACCTCTCCAGCTAAAGATACTTGTTATTCTATTGTTTAGGGAAGTTTTTAATGTTTGTTTTAGCGCTTTATTAATAATATTCTGTTGGGAGCCACCCAGAGTGGTTGGGGAGACCCAGCCACAGGGGTGGGGTATAAATAATAATAATAATAAAATTATTATTATTATTATTATTATTATTATTATTATTATTATTATTCATTCTAACTCCCCTCAAGCAGGAACCTATATGCAGCCTCGCTAAACATCCTACTAGTAAAGGACACTGTCCCAGAAAGAAATACATCCTAAATTCCCTCTTTCGGCGATATTTTCAGGGTTGTCTATCTAATGTGATGATAGCCAAAATCTGTGCCAAAAACACAACCCAAGTTATATTAATGGGATCAACTGAACTCTGAGACCCCAAATGGTACACAGCTATACAGCATAGGCCTATGTCTGTGTATTTGTGGTGGATACACAAGGTAGGCAACTGCATTTACTACCTCATTACTACTGAGGGAGCACACTTGAAAATACAGAAAAGACCTCAACAGATGTTCTGGTCAATCCTCCCCATGGGTAGGCAAACTAAGGCCCGAGGGCCGGATCCGGCCCAATCGCCTTCTAAATCCGGCCCGGGGATGGTCCAGGAATCAGTGTGTTTTTACATGAGTAGAATGTGTCCTTTTATTTAAAATGCATCTCTGGGTTATTTGTGGGGCCTGCCTGGTGTTTTTACATGAGTAGAATGTGTCCTTTTATTAAAAATGCATCTCTGGGTTATTTGTGGGGCATAGGAATTCGTTCTATTTTTCTTTTTTCCCCAAAATATAGTACGGCCCCCCACAAGGTCTGAGGGACAGTGGACCAGCCCCCTGCTGAGAAAGTTTGTTGACTCCTACTCTACACAATCTGACAGGTTTTTTTTTTACTATTATTGATTAATTAAAATTGTATACCGCTCTTCATCTAAATATCACAGTTCACAACCTAAAAACACAAAACGAGAACACAAAATGCGTAACAAAAAAACCCAAACCAAACCAATAGCCCCCGCCTCCTACCAACACATTTTAAAAGGCCAGAGATTGTTCAATCTGCCAAAGGCCTCCCTGAAGAAAGCATTGCACAAATGGGGAACCACTGGATCAAAAGGTCCATTCTTGTGTTGCCACCCTCCGGACCTCTCATGGAGGGGGCACATGAGGAAGGGCCTCAGATGGTTATTGCAGGGTTTGGGTTGGTTCATATAGGGAGGCATTGCAATCCTGAGCAGTTAAGGCTTCATAGACCAGAACTTTGAATTGGGCCCAGAAAGTGGCAGTCAGGTCAGGATCATTGTTATGTGCTCAAACCGTCTTGCCTCTGGAGAGCAATATAGCTGCTGAACTCTGCACCAGAGGAAGTTTCCAAACCATCTTCAGAGGCAGCACCACATATGACATGCCGCTATAATCTAACCTCGACATTAAAGGGTAAAGGGACCCCTGACCATTAGGTCCAGTCGTGGCCGACTCTGGGGTTGCGGCGCTCATCTCGCTTTACTGGCTAAGGGAGCCAGTGTACAGTTTCCGGGTCATGTGGCCAGCATGACTATGCCACTTCTGGCGAACCAGAGCAGCGCACAGAAATGCTGTTTACCTTCCCGCCAGAGCGGTACCTATTTATCTACTTGCATTTTGATGTGCTTTCAAACTGCTAAGTTGGCAGGAGCAGGGACTGAGCAACGGAAGCTCACCAAGTCGCGGGGATTCGAACCGCTGACCTTCTGATAGGGAAGTCCTAGGCTCTGTGATTTACCCCACAGCACCACCCTCGACATTACCAGGGCACAAACAACAGAAATTAGGCTATCCTTGTCTAGATAGGGATGCACTCTGTGCCATCGAGGCCACCTGAGCCTCAAGTGACAGCAAAGGATCCAGGAGTACTCCCCCAGGCTATGAACCCAGTCCTTCAGAGGAAGTGTAACCCCATCAAAAGTATTTAAACTACCCCCTAGTCCCCCCTGCAACAGAAGCAACAGCAAGCGGAGGGTAGCCCCACTTTCATTTCAGAACACAGAAAATCATGGATTCAGGGATGGCTCTTAGACATATAGGTTCAGTTAAACACATTTCATTTAATCAATAAAGCTTAGTGAAACGTTCCAGAAAAGAAAATAACAGATGTTAGTCAACAGCATTAAAACTTGGTAAAATACAAGCTAGCATTACGGATCTAAAGCACACTGATGCAGAGTTGAGATACCTTTCCGATTCATAATGACCTAGGTCGTCGAGCAGGCAAGCAAAGACATGAGGCTCTCAAAAGAGGAGACTGACTTGGTGCTACAATGAAGGAATATTTATAGTATCCTAGAATTCTATAAGAGTTGGAAGGGACCACAAGGCTCATCTATTCCAACCCTTGCAAAGCAGGGATGTTTTGCCCAACATGGGGCTCAAACCCACGACCTTGAGATTAAGTATCTCATGTTCTACCAAGCATAGGAGCCAACTCCTGTGGGCCGAGGTCCCTTCAGCCCTCCCAACAAAATATTTGAAAGGGCTGCCCCCACCAAAAAAGATGGGCATTGCCGTTCAAATTGTGTGTGCATGCCGTTTCTTGTGATTGGGCAGGGCGGGGCTTGCCTGGGCCCCCCAAATATTTTATTCAAGTTGGCACCCCGCTACCAACTGAACTACACTAAATTTTCCTTTGAAGAATATAGATTTATGAGACGTTGCCAAGCTTAATTGCTAACGAAGACATTTTCTAAGTTTAACTGCTAACTATCACCATTATCAGAGGGAAAAGAAAACCATTCTAAATTAGAGCAGGATAGTACATTCCTCAAAATATCTGAACATATGAAATAAATCCAAGAAATCTCAGCTACAAAATAACACATATTAAGTTTCTTGGACACAGAAGCATGCCTGGGGCACATCTGACCAAACTAAAAATTGTCAATTGGAAATTCCGGTGTGGTCTTGTATCTCTGGGAAAACAAGGTTGTCTGGTTAGTTGGGACCAGTTTGCAACTTACTAATCGTGTGGCTGATGACTTTGCTGCAAGTGTGGCTTATTGCTTGTAATTGATGTCTTCAAAGACAAGCTTAAAGTTTTGTGATTTTATGGCAGGAGAACAGTCATATTAGGAATAGGGGACCAAGAGCTTGGAATGCCCATATGGTCTCCATCACTTGTTAGGATGAAGAGGACACCCCAAAGAGATAACTTGTATTTCCAATGAAATAGGTTTAATTGGACTACATTGGCTTGAGGGAAATAATTAATATGCACATCAGTTATGGGGTCTGATTCATTGACTCTGGGACCAGCTAAAGCAGGCTGGGCAGAAGTGTAAGTATTTGCCACATTTTTACAGGAAGCCCTTCCTAACATCCAGGACAAATCATTTTGGTTACCAACTGAGCCAGTTATTTCTTATCTTGTCATAGCAGACAAGGGAAAAAAACATCCCGAGCCCCATCCGAACTGAGGCAGTATTTTATATATTACCAAATCCCAATTTAGCCTTTTATTTTCCAATTAAACCTATCTATTCTGACGTTCATCCTAAATTGTATTCTTCACTTTACTAAGCATATTTTTGTAGATCTCATTTGATTCCAGTTTCACTCTCTCATTCTTGAAGCATGGCAAACAGAAGTGAACACATTATTCACACAAAGGCTTCACTGATGCTGAATTTAGCGATATAACTGTTTCCAACGTCTTAGAATATGTAATGACAGCATCTATTTATTTATGACACAGGTGAGATGCGACCATTGCATGACAACACCGCTTCAGATACATCCCAAGGAATTTGAAGATCTAGTCTGCAGTCTTCTGCACATTGACCTTGCAAAGTCCCATTGATCCCAAGTAAGTGTGTGGAAGTCTGCAAAGTTGCTTTTCTAAATTCTTTTTCAGATTCTGTGCTAACTTTTGTACACAAAATGACCATATTCTTTAATCTGAAATCCTGACAACATTGTCAATTAGTGATGTTATTGGCTGGAAGAGGTAGCAAGTGATTTCAAGATGGCAGAGTTTAGAGGGCTTTAAAAAGATGCATGTAAAGCTATCTCTGTAATAACAAGAGCAAACAAAATATTTATTTTAGCTTTCATTTATCACACACCTCCTAATAGCTTACTTTTATCTTATGACAGTTCCTTTGACTAGTGTTAACCTTGATCAAGCGTATTATAGGGTACGCATTTTCAGCAGCTGCATGCTGTGCCTTCTTTGTATTATCCACTATACAGATTCAGCTTATTATATGCACACATTAGAAGTCTCCTGTGACTTCTTTTGAAGACCTAACTGTATAAAAAAGAGAAAGCAGCTGCATGCTGTGTCCCTTCCACAGCACCAAAAATACCTCTGAGAATTACCACCCGACTAATTTCCTCCAGTCAGAGAAGTAACGCTTTGGATTGACATTTTCTAATCAGTTGGGGGGAGGGGAAAATAAGTAAATAATTTATTTTGACAGTCACTTCATAATGTATTGTGACAGCCCATAAGCCTATATATTCAAAAATTCCATTTCATGCATTTTGCAAAATTAATTCCAGAAATTAATTTTGTGTGTGTGTGTATTTATTCCAGAACCCTATTTAACAAAATATAATTTTAAAAAAACAATTCTTTTGTATTTCAGAAGTTGCTTTGCAAAATTAGCAGACGTTTAAATTGTCCCAAAACAACAGGATTTAAAGAGAATCCCTATATAAATCATGTTGATGTCACAGTCCCTAATTACACTGAAATTAAAGTTTTGCAGCATATTTCATTAGCATACTTCCAAGCGCTACTGGTCTTTGCTTGGACTCAATTACCTCTTTAGCATGCTCAGTTCTGGAGAGGCCTGGCCTATAGCATGGCATATGCTATCACTTTAGCTCAAGTAGGGAGAAATGAAATTACGAGAAAAGGGGTAAATAACAGTCCCATGTCAACCAGGAATGGCCAAATTCGTCCATCTTGGTTTCATTCCATTTCTCATTTTTCAAATCTTAAGCTCAGTTCCTCAATTTCCACATAGCTTGGGTGTTGTTGTTGTTTTTAAAAAAGTCCTCTTTAAGGTTCATTAACATTTCATGCATATTTCTCCTAATAAACCTTTTCACAAGCAATTCCCCCTAATAAAAGGCATATCTTAATGTTATATTCATTAATATATGCATTTTTAAACACACTTTCCCCTAATATATGAATTTTTGATACACATCATTTGGTTGAGGAAGTGTTTTATGAAATAAAAAAGTGCATTTCCTAACGGTGTGCATTTTAAAGGATAGCTGTGTTGCGGTGCATATATTGTTTAAGGTAACGTGAACCGGGTAGTTTTACATTAAAATGGGAACTGAATCACATTTCTCTCCCTTCCTTAATGGCAACACTAACTAGGTCATGTCCCAACACTTTGGGCATCATGTTCACCAGGGCAACATTCGGTACAGTAGGATATATTCCAAGTACAGGGTCAAAGCAGGTCACAGGGGTCTGACACACAACTAGATTTGTGCAATCGTTAGCAAATACCAAGAACACACAGCTGTGATCGTGTTTCCCAAGGCCATTATGGAATTCCCCCGAGTTCCAGAATTATCTCCTGCATTATTGCAGCTCTGAACCAGAGACAGCGAAAAACAAATGAGCCCATCTCATGTTGCCCAGTCTCTTTGGGACGCTGGCGGTCAATGCCCGCCCCCTTGCTTAACAGGTTTACTCCAGGCTGCAGCTGCTTGCTCCATTTGGGGGCCAGAAAGGAATTTTCTCATGTCTGGCTGCAGAAAGGCACATTTTTCACCTTCTTTAAGTCCTCTGTAAGTTAGGATAGTATTCTCAATGGTCTTTGCACTGAACAACCATCACAACTTGGGAGGCGAGTCAGGAGAGGACTAAGTTGAAAATGCACCTTTCCTAGCACTCTTTTTTGTTATTTTTATTTTATTTTGACAAAGTAATAATCATAAATAAATAAGAATAAATATGTGCACCCCACCACCAAGACCATTCCATAATAACTATCCAACCTCCCAAAATTTTAACACCTCTTGCGATGGCTTGACCCCTTTCCGTTTTAACAGTACAAATTCTACAAACACCCTCCATAGCTCCTCAAAATCATTTCTCCTGCATATTCCCCGTCTTACCTTAATGGCACATGTTAATTTATCATTAATAGCCATATCCCATACCACTTTATATCATTTTTCCATTTTATATTCTGCTTGCCCCTTCCGCTTCCTAGCTATCATAATTCGTGCAGTTGTCAATATATTTTTTTTTGGGGGGGGGGGCTTTCTTAACACTCTTAGCAAAAAAACAGGGGCTTCCCCATAGCTAGGGAGCTGCCTCTAATTAGCAGCTGTGGAATGTAGAATGGGAATGTCCAGCGGATCTGGGCACATGCTAGAAAAGGGACCTGCTCTTAGCCTAACCATATGTCTAGAAAAAGGGTTTCGCTGCAGTCAAAATCTTCAAGCTTGAGAATAGCACCCAAGTTGGGCTGTACACTGGATTTGGGTCAAGCACAAACCAAAACACCGTAAACTAAACATTGGCAGGATTTCAAAAAAACACTTGCAAAGTAACGAGAACTATGGTGAGAACTGAGTGTTAAGAAAATATGAAGAACATTATATGACGCAGTTGGAAAAGAATAAGTATGGAAACCACGGAGGGGTGAAGGGAAGTCCACGGATTCAGAGAATCCTATGTGTATATGATTATGATTTATTTGTGACGTTAACTGTTAAAGCTAAAAATGAATGAAATGGTTTTTTTAAGCCAGGGCTGGGCAGGGGTGTATGTGGGTGTGGGTGTGTGTAAAGGCAGGCATCTACATCAAAAAGCAGTATGGGGTTGTTTGTAAGGCAGCTTTCAAACAGCCCCACATTGCTCTTTGACTGCTTGTCGAGGGCCTTCTGGCGGTTCCCACGCTGCGAGAAGCCAAGTTACAGGGAACCAGGCAGAGGGCCTTCTCGGTAGTGGCACCCGCCCTGTGGAACGCCCTCCCACCAGATGCCAAAGAGAAAAATAACTACCAAACTTTTAGCAGACATCTGAAGGCAGCCCTGCTTAGGGCAGCTTTTAATGTTTAATAGACTATTGTATTTTAGCGTTTTGTTGGAAGCCGCCCAGAGTGGCTGGGGAAACCCAGCCAGATGGGCTGGGTATATATAAATTATGCTTATTATTATTATTATTATTATTATGCATGTTCCCAGCAGGAGAACACATAAGACAAAGCCGAGATGAGCAGGACTGCATTGTCCGCTCACTAGCTAGTGAGCAGAAAGTTTATTCCTGGTCTCTGCAGCACAACGGGAGGCAGGGAGGATACATCTATTTTCCCCACCCCCTCCCAACCGTAAATTCAATAAGGGTTTCAAAACTCTTGATTAAGCCCACATTTGGGGTGGCGGTGAAGAAGACGCAGTTTCTCCTTCTTCCCTCACCCCCACACTCTACGACCATACACTTGATTAGCGTATAAAACCCTAAACAAACAATAGGGCAGCCCCCCCAATCAATTTGGGGCCCAGATCCAGTTGGTCCCAGGTTAGGGCTGATCCAAAGTCTTGGACCCAGAGCAGATATGGGGTGTAGATAACCAGGCCATTTCTTCAGGTAAAGTTGGAGGTGGGGGAGAAAAAGTCCCACGCCAGCCATTCATTTCTTAATTGTAAATCACGAATAAAGTGTATCCAAATTCTAAACCCCAAATCTGGGTCCACTTCTTCCTTGCCAACCGCAATTGCACTGTTGTGGTCTGCACTGAAGCGCAACAAATGATATGGAGTACCATATAATTTCCCCATTTCAATGCCCCTTCTCCTGTTTCCTCCTATACCGAACCACCACCTGCTGTCAATGCAAGCACAGCCTGCACTCCCTTCTCCTGTGGTTGCCTATTAATACATGGCAGATAATGTGGATTGAGCCTTAGCCGAGAGGAACGAACTGTTTCAATAGTGCAGTAATTGGCCTTCCTCCTGGATTGTGACAAATGAAATGTTTATATTCAACTAACCAGGCAATAACTGTATACATTGAAATTGTCAAGGCACTTACACCAGAGACAAAGCCAATTAAGTCAATGAAATCTAAACAAGATTAGTAGGTCAGGCCTTAAAATTTCAATTAAACATTCCACTGATAGTATTGGGGCAACTAAGAAAACCTAGTTATTGGGAATGGCTCTGGAAAGCTAATTCCCAGATACTTTGTGACAGGCCCCAGATCTCCTGCCCCTTTCCTTCTCCCTTAAAAAAACACAAAACCAAAGTTTTTGCTTTACTTTGCTTACAGGAACAGGGTAATAACCCAGCCACTCACCATCTTAATTTGCCCAGGCATATCTACAGTGGTGCCCTGCAAGACGAATGCCTCGCGAGACGAAAAACTCGCGAGACGAAAGGGTTTTGCGTTTTTTGAGTTGTTCCGCAAGACGAATTTCCCTATGGGCTTGCTTCGCAAGACGAAACGTCTTGCGAGTTCTTGCGAGTTTGTTTCCTTTTTCTTAAAGCCGCTAAGCCGCCAAGCCGTTAATAGCCGCTAAGCTGCTAATAGCCGCTAAGCCGCTAATAGCCGTGCTTCACAAGACGAAAAAACCGCAAGACGAAGAGACTCGCGGAACGGATTAATTTCGTCTTGCGAGGCACCACTGTATCCATACAATTTATCCTATGCCAGTTTTATTCAAATTTGTGTCATGGGCCTATGCCCAATCCCTGAGGGTCAAAGGTAATGACTGTTTAAAGGAAAGGTGAGCAAGGGCTCATCAACACTTCCGCCTGTCATGTGCTTTCTGGGCATGGATCTGAGCCGTTTTCCATTTGCCCCACCACTTTCCCCAGGAAAATCTGCTCTTCAGCGCTGAATTGGGAGAAAAGGTCAGCCCACAGAAATCACATTGAAATTTGCTCTGAGTCAGGGACAAAAGATTGGGTTTTCCCATGGGAAAATGGCAGGTCAAGTAGAAGTCTTCATGCAGTGTTTCACAATCAGGGGCCATATTTATTTTTATTTATTTTATTTTTTAAATTTCTATACCGCTTTATATTTTTAAGAAAAACCTCAAAGCGGTTTACAGCATATTAAATCAATAAAACATAAACAAAACAATGTGAAGAAAGTCAAATATAAAGTATACAGTCAAAGCAACATAACAGAAAACTAAAATATTATCTTAAAGATTTCAAAATAAAACATTACAAAGGAGGTCAACTACTGATATGGCCCCCTGGGGACCCCAGGATATTCCATGGGGCCCCCAGGTGAAAATGGAGTAAATGGGGGGCCACAGCATGAGGCTGTGAGGGCCACAGAGGGAAGTAAGAAGTGAAGGGGAAAAACTTTTTTAAAAATCCTGATTGGCTAGCTATCTGCTTTGCCAATCACAAGCAGGTAAGGGAGCGGTTCACCAGGGACTAGCGCTCCTTTTTGCTACGTGCATTTTCTTGGGAGCAGTCCTGGTTTGCTTCTGTTGGGAAAGAATGATCACCAAGGCTTCCGTTTTGACCAGTAGAGCCTGTGATCTAGAACCCCAAGGTCAGGTAAGCACGATGCCCTGGCTCTGCAAGGCGTGGGGTGAAATCCACCCCAGCGCCCAGCCGAGTGGAGTCGTCTGGTGCTGCTGACTTGCATCTAGTAAATAACTGTCTACTCAGAAGAAAGCCACACTGAGTTCAGTGGGCCTTACTCCCAGGTAAAGGTGGGTGGGACTATAGTAAAACACTAGGCAGCCAGGGCTCCTCTGGATGACAAGATCTTTTTGCACTAGGTCAGTGAGGACCACTTGCTATTTAAAATTCTCCCATATATATAGAACTCCGTGTGCGCCTTTTGGACTGTATCTGTAGGTTTCCCCCTCTGTGTCAAATAACTGGGGTCAAATAAGTGTTGTTTACTTTTTATAATACATGGAAGATGGATCTTCCTTGGGACGTTCTGGGCTCTCCTTCCTTGGAGGTTTCTAAGAAGAGGTTGGATGGCCATTTGTAATGGAAGCTTTAGCTGAGTTTTCTAAGTTGCAGGGGGCTGCACTAGAATATGACCCTTGGGGTTCCTTCCAGCTCTGTGATTCTATGTTGCTATCTTTTTCTGCTTCAACTTCATTATGTTCCTATCATTTTATGCAATTGTATTGTGTATAAATTATAAAAAATATTAAAAAAGCATGTTCGGTTTACAAACAAAGCATTTAAATAGCTACCTTTTCTACAGGTAGGATGGCATGGGAGGGGACATAGGCATAGCCAGGATTTTTGTTGGGGGCGGCTTTTGTTAGGGGGGCAGAACCTCAGATTTGTATTTTTTGTTTATTTTTACTTATTTGGTGGGGCAGCTGCCCGCCCCTGGCTATGCCCACGGGTGGGGGGGGAACACAGGAAGGAAACGAGGTCGGAAGCGGGCCACGGTTGGAAAAAGGTTGGGAAATGCTGCTTTAATGCATTATTTTTAAAGAGATAATACTACAAAGGCAAATACTTTCCATTAATTGTATTAATTCACCACAAGATGGCAGTGTACAAAACGCTGAATGAATACGAAGCATACTTTATCTTTTGAAGATTTTATCATTGAATACTAGGTTTCGAACCGCCAACCTTCTGATCAGCAAGCCCTAGGCTCTGTGGTTTAGACCGCAGTGCCACCCATGTCCCACTGGGGGGAAAAAATAGTAGAGTACTGCAAAATCTTCTTGTTATAGTCTGTAAGATCCAAAGATAAATGGGGTGTGTGCGCTGTTAACTAATTTTCATCATTTCCAATGATACTAAGTTCAGAGAGAAAGAAACCCAAACCAACCAGCCACAACATGCTTACAACTAAACTCCATCTGTTTTCCCTTCAGCGTATATCAATTTGCAGAACTTCACTTTCCAATCAAACCCCAGGTAATTTGTCTTAGTTGTTTCAAATCTAAACATAAATCTTATTTCAGATTTGCTGACTTATGAACCAATACCTTTTCTGTTGCTCCAGTGTAATAATCTTCATTGAAAATTCAGATGGAAAAGAGTGAGCTGGTTATCATATAATGCCAAACTACTGGTTTGGCAAGACATGAGTAATCTGTGGACTCATGCACTCCATGCTCACCTTCATTGTTCCGTTTCCCTTCCTGATGTCCAGGTATACAGTTAATCATAATTTGAAGCTATACCCAAACCAGAAAAAAGCTGTGATTTCCCCCTAATCAGGAATTCGGAAAGAATGAGCAGAGAAGGAGGGAGCATGCAAGCCGACAGCATATTACCAAACCGTTTTGTATGTGAACAGTGGCAAGGACTATTTATAGTGTTCAGGTGCTATTTAGAAAGCTTTCAGTTGGACTGTAAAGAAATTATCATAGCCAAAGATGGGGGTTTTATAGACCGAAAGAATTTAAAATTTCTAATTCTTGTCCAGCATGGAGGCAAACATACAGAGAGATTTTGTGTTTCATGTTGTGTGAAAATGAGCTATTAGAGCTTTAAATAAACTCCTTAGTAGAAAATATGTGTTAATGTAAACCACCATGGACTTTGATTAACCTCCTGAAGCATTTTGAATTAATTATGCCTGATAATTCTTTTTCACATGTATGTACCACTGAACCAAGTCACTGCTTGATTTTCATAAGCTGCACTTTACCATCTGTGAGCTTAGCATGCAAGCAGAGATGCGTTTTACTTATTTGGTTCTGAAAACAAATATAAGTATCTGAATAAAATAGCCAATGAGCAGCTTTACTCATTAGTTCTCAAATGATTCTGGGTTTTCAAACTTCTTTAAGAGAATGAAGCAAGTCAGTCAGAGGCTTACCAGATGTCTGCATTTTGGTGTAGCCAAAAATGCTATGGGAAACCCAGAAATCCTCTACTCCAGAGATAAGAGGGTTGTAGATATCTCAGGCAGCTAATTTGTTGCCTTCAAGCTGCTGGTAACTATTGCTGCAAATTTTCTAAGATACTCATAACAAATCCAGCCTATGGATTGTATCTGATACATCAAGGGTTTTTGTGGCCCCCCTCAAAACTTGGCTTTAAAAGATATTATTTTAAAATAGCCTTTCTTTACAATAATTGACTACTCCCATGGGCCCCCTCTCCTGCTGTGATGACTTGATGAAAAGTTTATTGGTGACCCTCAAAAGATATGTGTGTGTCTGTAACTGCTTCTCCTTTCCTCACTATGATGCCAAAGCTTTTTCATACCTCCACGCACCCCACAAATTCCCCTTTTAATTTTTCTTAAATTACTGTTTCCATAAGTCTCTCTTGCGACAGTGTGATGCCAAAATGTTTATTTTGCCTCCAAAGCAAAATAATTTCAAAGCAAAAGCAATTTATTATTTAAAATATGATTTTACAGAATTTAATAATGAACATTGATTAAGAAATGATTGAAAACAGCGCAGAATAATTGACAGGAAAGTACAATAGTACCTCGGGTTAAGTACTTAATTCGTTCCGGAGGTCCGTTCTTAACCTGAAACGGTTCTTAACCTGAAGCACCACTTTAGCTAATGGGGCCTCCCGCTGCCGCCACACCGCCGGATCACGATTTCTGTTCTCATCCTGAAGCAAGTTCTTAACCTGAGGTACTATTTCTGGGTTAGCGGAGTCTGTAACCTGAAGCGTATGTAACCTGAAGCATATGTAACCCGAGGTACCACTGTATTTTGGAAGGAAGTCTTGAGAATCATCTCATCTCACAGGCCTTGTCCACACCTCACATTAAGCTGTGAAAATCTGATCACGTATGATGGCATTTCTGCAGGTAAAAGGTAAAGGGACCCCTGACCATTAGGTCCAGTCGTGGCCGACTCTGGGGTTGCTGCGCTCATCTCACTTTATTGGCCAAGGGAGCCGGTGTACAGCTTCCGGGTCATGTGGCCAACAGGACTAAGCCACTTCTGGCGAACCAGAGCAGTGCACAGAAACACTGTTTACCTTCCCACCAGAGCGGTACCTATTTATCTACTTGCACTTTGATGTGCTTTCGAACTGCTAGGTTGACAGGAGCAGGGACTGAGCAACGAGAGCCGACCTTCTGATCGGCAAGCCCTAGGCTCTGTGGTTTAACCCACAGCGCCACCCAAGTCCCTTTTCTGCAGGTAGGTTATCTCAAAATACCACAAAGTGGCAGGAGAGCTGGGCAACTTGAAGCAGGATGCAAGTTCTTTTCATCCCACCTGCTGCTTCCCATCCCAAGAACTACTTTGCTTTCAGCTGGACTCCAAAGCTAGAATACGTCTGGCCACAACAATTGGTCAAGACAACTGTTTTGCAAAAACCGCTTTCCAATGCATGGATCTGCCCCAGTAGCATACAGCTAGCTCCTATGTGTGTGCCCCCTCTGCAACTTGCTGGGATCTCATAATAGACCTATCCATGTATAAAAGGTTCCCTAACAGATAAGAAAGCTTGAAAAGAACTGATATGTAAGATTCTTTAGCTAGTAAGATGGTGAATGCAGCAGTCAAGGAAATGCACAGCTTACAAACTCTTATGGACAAGGAACTGAATTCCGCCACCTTAGGGTTGCTCATCAAAAAAGAAGTGGGAGTTCCTGCACCTCTTTTTCTAGAAAAAAAAACAGCACTGCTTACAGACCATAAGCAAATAATTAAATTGTCAACTTACCTCTGCCAACACTACAATTAGGATAAGCTCGATTTTTGATTCTGGGAAAAGTCCATTTACTTGAGGTGACATGCCAATAAGGACACAATTGGTAACCACTGATATGACAGTCATTGTTTGAAAAGCCAACTGAAACAAAAAGAAAAAGAACCAGAATTCCTTTAACAAAAATATGTTCTCCTTTCTCAGGCTCCTGAATAGCCCTGACATTCCTTTTTGTTACATTCAAAAGTGCCAATAACCAAAAGTTTGGGGCAGGTATCTGCATGAAATCTGCCACTAATATTCTGGCCCAAACAGCCTAAAGATGGCTTAAAATCACATTCTATGATTCTATGAGTTGTGGTCCAACCACGTTTGGAGGATCGCAGGTTCCCCACCTCTACACTAAATTGAATGCCCTGTAGCCTATAAAAGAAACATGTAAATCTGCCTTATCTGCAAGGGAAAAGATACTTCTTTTAAGAACTATAGCACAGTCTTAAGACACTGTAGCTAAATACTACACTGACAGCTAAATCCCCACACAACATGTCTATTTCTTGTCTCTGTCATTTTGTACCTATGCTTGCTTTTTAACTGAATTCTCAGTTTACTATAAACTCATGGCATACTTTATAGACTTACTGTATTTTTTCAAATATAAGACTAGGTTTTTTCCCCTTAAAAATAATGTCAAAAATTAGGGGGCGTCTTATACTCTGGGCCATTTCCCCCCATTTTCTTAAATCTGAGTCCCCCAAAATAGGGGGCATCATACATGGGGGCATCTTATAGATGTAAAAATATGGTATATCCCACTTTTATACCCTTAAAAGACAGGGGAAATGACTAACTTCTCATGTATTCCAATGGCAAATAGAGAAACAAATAAAGAAATGACGAAGTTATTCAAACATTATGCATCTGAATGGATTACCTGCCATACACCAATATTTGCAGCAGGCTCTGAAAATGGGCGTTTAAAGATCCTGCACATTTTTAAGGCATCAGAATACATTTCTGTGATGTTGTTGAGCACTGCAAAAACAGCTGCCAAAGGGTAGACGCATGAAAAAAGGCTCACATAGCCAAACTGCAAGAACAACTCCAAATAATCATCAAAAGTACCCTGCAAGAAAAGAGAACAATTTAACCATAAATACAAGATTAGAAGCAGCTTTACAGATCCTGGCAGACCTACGTATTTTTCCAATTAGAAATATTAAAGTGGAGAGCGTGGGTGTAAAATAAAAAGCAGGGAGTGTAAGATTGACGTGAGCAGAGTATACATACCAACTACCTGTTTTCATTTCTATTCATTTGAAGATCAATTAATTCATCTTGTGTAGAACATGAGAGATGGTGTACAGTGCTGCTCCATGCCCAACATAAATCACCAGTTAGAATGAAGGTGATGTTTTAATAATTACATCCTCACTTAAAGAACTGTGCTTGGTATGTGCTTTTGCCCCAACTCTAAATTTACCAAATAAAACCTTACTAATTATTGTCAGGAAATCTACCCCAAAGCCCATGTAAATGTTTACTGGTGTTTCAAATGCAGCCAACACACAGGGAGTAAACAAACTGCTTTTAGGTAGAACAAGGCTGTTTGTCCACCCAGTCTGAGTCAGGAGATTCCAGACATCCCTAAGATCCCAAGAACCAAGAGCTGAAGTACCACTCTCTGCTTTCGGGGCTTCATGCAAAAGAAGCCAAATACAGTCACAGATGTGACTAAAAGAGTCCAGACAATGGCTTAGAATGAAGATGTAGATGTTTTCTAATCACAATTAAAATAGCAGCATATAATGAAGTCAGCTTATCGTGTAGGAAAAATAAGAAAGGAAAATGCTATTGGGAATATAGGACTATCTGGGAAATCACAGAACAGGCAAAAAGGCTAAGCTAATCTAGCCTGATACATTAACAATGACTCCATGGCCCTATAACACAGGTGACAGTCAGGGAAGCAAAGGGAAAAGGTGAGGCATCACACGCGGCCTATGGGTAATACTTAATAACCAGCCAATCAGAAGATGTCTAGGCCAAAACTTTCCAGAGCTGAGAGTCTAAGGTGTATGTGTGACTCCACAACTGCAAAATTCTTCCCAATTAAATGAAGTCATCGTCGCTGGCCTTGAAGCCCTGGTACAGACAAGCCAGCACCCAGGTGCAATTGAAGAGAGTGTTAGCAGCCAGCAGAAAGAGAAACTGCTTCCTCATGAGCTCGCCTCTTTAGCTGGAAGTCTGAGCTCCAGGCAGAACCAATGTTGATGAACAGGGCCGAGTACAAGACCCCCCAACCTCTTGACAATTCTTATTATACGAAAACCTAAATAAAAAACTCTTAAAGCTAGTGCAGCAGGTGGTCCGGGTGAATGGGATGAGCTTAGAATGGTCTTACCGGGAGCTCCCTTTTTTGGAATATGATGTGGATTGCTTCACTTACTTCAAAATGAAGTAAGGTGTGGTATGCGTTTTATCAGAAGACAGATACAGCCAAACATCAGTTGACGAACGTAATCCATTCTGGAAAACCGTTTGACTTCCAAAACGTTTGACAACCAAGGATCAAAGGGAGATCGGCAAAATCAATGGAGAAAAAAGAAGAAAAAAACTCCCCGGAAGCCGTTCAGTTTCTGAAAATCGTTCAAAAACCAGAGCAGTTACTTCCGGGTTTTCGGCTTTCAGGAGCCGAGACGTGCGATAACGGATGCGTTTGGGAACCAATGTTTGACCGTAGATAGATAGATAGATCGATCGATAGATATGGTAAGCCAGCCCTTCTGCTGAGTGGGGCCCTGGACCTTAAACTCCTGATGATACCACTATGTCACATGCACTAGGATTTACCTGCTGGGGAAAGATTGGGGGGGGGTGACCTCAACATAAAGCATGATTTTAGACCACTGGCTTGAACTAGCACAACAATGTTTATTTTCTAACTATTCGGGGGGCCATTTATTTCCACTGTAAATTCCATTAAGGTTTCAAATATTTGCAATTGTCAAATTTGTTTTGTGTTGTTTTTTTTAAGCTCCCACTTTTCAGATGCAATGAACCACGGAAGAGGATACAGTTAACTTACCGGATAAGTATCCATCCCTTTTTCCAGATTAACTTGCTCAAGCAAAGTCAGGTCAGTATCTATATCCAAAGCTTTCACCTTTTTCTTCACACTCTTGGTCCGCCTCTTTTGGAGCCAATAAGGCAGCACAGCTTCTACACATTGATTAAGGACTTGGGAAGTTATCAGCAAAGTTGCCAAGCTCTTTAAGAAAATTAAGCAAAGCAAACATGAAACGAGACTGTAGCAGTCCTTAAAAAGGGTATTCTATCTGCATTCAATTAACTAATGAGCATGTCCTATGTAACAAGCACTACAGATCTAAGAATTCCACACTACACAGAACTGAAGCAAAGCGAATTTTTAGGCTGAATCTGAAAAAATAAGGGTGGCAGCAATCACTGAAGCAGCTCATTTTGGTAGCAGTTTTCATTCCCACTAGCCTTACTATGTTAACAATTTCATGGTCAGCTGTTTACTAAAGAAAGGACAGAGTAGAAAAGAGTAGAAAAGTCACTACAATGTACAGCATGTAAAGCAAAGAAGCACAGAGCCATATTAAACATGAAGCAATTATTTCACATTATAGCACAGTAGCCTTAAGTTCAGTCTTAAGGACTACCTATCACAGCAGATCAGCTGCAGAGATTCTGGAAGATATTTCCAAGCTTGAAATTATTATCTGAATCAGTCTAATGTAAATTAATAAAAAATATTGGAGATGTTAAGATAATCAGATAACTGAAACAATGTAAGATCACTCACCTGTCTCAAAAGTTTCATATCAAACATGACAAAAGCAATGTAGAATAACGATGCAAAGCAATTTAAAAAGTTGAACTGCAAAAGAAAAAAATAAATATATATTCAATTCCATCATCAGTTTAAGATGGGAAAACTAAGGACCATGTGACATAACAATCTCAGGAAGGCCTCTTCCCTCCCCCCCATCTGCCATCCTGTGGTGATTCCTCTACAATCTTTATTTTAGAAAATAAACTTCCCAAGGAGAAAATGGGATTGATCTGGTCAAGAGACCTTATTTGCCAATTAATCTTGGGTAATTTAGTCAAACAGCTATACTCCAGATTATGCACTAAAAGAACACATCTGGCTAATCAGTTTTCCTTCTCAGTTTTTTAGCATTCATATTGAATATGTCTGATTTTGGTTTTTTAAAACACAGATCTACTGAGCACATACACAGCAAAAATCCACAGATCTTAGGATACCATAGATTTAATCTACCACATACCCGTCTTAACACCCAGGGGACCTCTGGTGTGCCAAGCCTCTGAATCTGGTCCTTGCAATTTGCCCTGGGTTACATGTTCCCTTTCCCACCGCTGAGTGTAATCTCCAATCAACTGCAGTAGGGAAGGAGTTTAAACTTCAGTCCCTATGGTCTTCCCCACTCCGCACTGCTCTGGAGCAAGAGGAAAGAAGGAGCTAGCTGCCTCTCAACGCTACCTGGAGAGAAACGGTCTTCCCTGTCTCACCATGCAGCATGGAAGCAAAGAAAGGGCTCTTTCTTTTCCTCCATTCGCAGTCCTTAGCAGCTGGTTCTGTGTCTATGGACGTAGGCATGTTTGTGTGGGATGTGAATGGAGGTGTACGTATGTGGATGCATAAGTGGAATTTGTGTGTAGAGGATGGGGGGGTTGTACATGAGTATGGGGTGCATTCGTGTGGACTAGGGGTGTATGTATGAAAAAGCAGTGTGTGTGTTTAGAAACACAGTCTTCAATTTCCCCAATCTCCATTCATTTCGATGAAGCTTGTGCAGAATGAGCACACGACTATCCTAAACTAGACCACAGGGATTTCCACCAACAGTCAAGGCTGTTATGCAATATCCACGAAATAATGCTTTGTTAGCTCACACCCCTGATCAGAACAATCCTTCAAGAACTCCACCATTTTTGCAAATGAACTTTGATTCTTTCTTTACAGGATACATTATTTTCCTTCGTTAAATCCATGTAAACGCCACTGAAATAGTAAGAGTTTATGTTTATTCGTGCATACATGAAAGTGTGTTTTGCTTGAAACATTGCTAAAAAAAATACTGGTTTGGAGCCAAAGATCAAACTCCTCATTTCAATGGATCCTGACAAGAGCTATTCCCAAATAAGAAGAAAGTATTTCTGACTCTACATACCACCAGGACTTTCAGAACTAAGTGATTCTGGTATGAAGACTCCAATCTATGGTTTTCTGAAATTGAACCAAAAAAGTCCCAGTTAACGAAACATACATAAACGCAAAGCAGAATAGATGCAATTTATGTTAAGCACAATTATTATTATTATTATTATCACCATCATCATTTTCATCATTTTCATCATCATTATCATTCTATATTCTTTATTGAAAGATAAAAATCAATGTGTCTATAACTGTAAGTGCACAGGGTAAAATATGTGGGATGTAATCCTTGTAGCAGTCAAATACAACATTCCCTAGAGTGGACAAAAGAGAGGGGGATGTTGATCCAGCCAGTTGAACTTAGAATCATAGAATAGAATAGAATCATAGAGTTGGAAGAGACCACAAGGGCCATCGAGTCCAACCCCCTGCCAAGCAGTTACACCTGTCTGGAGCATCCTCCACCTGCATGTGACCAGGTAGGTCGGCATGACCCTGGCAGCCCTAACAAAAGGTCCAGTCACACAGCCATCTCTCTCTTTTGGACTCTCTTGCCATCTTTCTCCTCTCGGAGCCACTTGCTTCTCTTGAACTGCACTGCTGGGATGAATCCACACCTTTCTACTATATGTATCTATAACTACAAGCCAAAGCCTGCCTTCAGGGATCATACTGTGAACTGAATGTAAGTAAACTATTCATTATTTAGAAGGGAGAATCCTTTGTCTTTATTCTTTTTAGAAGGGAACAAAAGGGGATTTACCAGGATCAGACAGATTAGATTGCTTAACTAAAGAGATTCAAACAAATTTGCAAATAGCTTCCTGTTGTGTAAAGGGAAATGAGTTCTACTATATGGCTCACTAGCGTGAGTTAGGAAGGATAATATTTAATCAATATATCCTCTCCTACAATCCACAGCATTCCCACATCTGGAACCCATTTGTGATGTCGCTTCAGAACCCCAACCCACGTTTGCTGCAGTTGAGGAGCTGTGGATCAGCAGTTTGTCAGTGGCTTGGGCAGAATCAGTAGAAAGTGACCCTCCCCCCAAAAGGCTACAATTTAAAAAATCCTCCTTGCTTGAGAAAGCAAGAAAAGCAGATTGCGCACCAGCAAATTCAGGAGATCAATGGCGGGGAAACTGGTGAGGGAACTGATCTCTCTTGGTAACTGCCAATTGTTAATGGGGCTTTGAGTCCTTGTTTTATTGTGCTGTTTCAGTTATGGGTGCCTTGTATTTTAATGTTTTATTGTGTATTTTAATGTTTGTGTTACTGGTTAGAAAAAGCTGAGAAGCTGTTTATAGCAGATGAATTAATAAAAAATAATCATTCTCTTTCTCCCCCCGTTCAAATCCCTCTTTCTGGAAATGTGCCGTGGTTCCCATTAGATACCACTCAGGGTAGACCCATTCAGAGTCATGGGTCACAGTTCTACGTGCTCATTCATTTCAATGGGTCTACTCTGGTGTCCGATACAAGTCTGTGTCCCAAGTTTTAGTTTCCTGGAAAGGAGAGGCAATTTGCACAAATTGCCTCTCTGATCCACGCCTGTCTCTTCCTCACGCTGACACCTTCCCTCTTGTTAACCTCAGATAGTAGCTTCCGAGTGTAGCAGCTGCCACACATTCTGTCCCCTCTTCTCAGTGCTGCTGACAAGGCTTCTCCCTCTTCCTCCGCTGTTCCCCGAAATGGATGCCAGTTCGGACAGTTCCCTGAGCATAGACAATGAAGGTTATGAGAATGACTCCTTGGGGGACTCTGGAAACCTCACAGGTGTGTTACGTAGCAGACAGAGTGGCCAAAGAGAGCCTTGCAGTGCCAGAGAGCCTTGCAGAGAGTCTCTCCCCTCTTCCCAGTGCTGCTGACAGGTCTTCTTCCTCTGCTTATGCGGTTCCCCAAAATGGATATCGGCGACTCTGAAGCTGTGTGCAGGAGGACCACAAATGGGAAGAAACCCCTTGCCCCCCCAGAGAGACCCTGGCTTGGACAGCCCGCTGAACTTACTAGAGCAACACATCGTGGGACTCAGGAGACTTCAAGGAGGTAAGTGGCAGACAGAAGAGGAGGGAAGCCCAGGTAGGGATGGCGAAGGACAGCTTTGCAGGATCAGGCCTGGTTGCAGAGGATTCTGGGAGTCTCTCCCCTCTTCCCAGCACTGCTGACAGGGCTTCTCCCTCTTCCTCTGTGGTTCCCCGAAATGGATATTGGCGGAGTTCATTTCAGCATTTCTACTGGCTCAACACTTTCTGGGTTTGCTTTGGGGGAGGTTTTTTTTGCCTCGATTGACAGCGGTTTTCCATTTCACCTCTCGATGTGGAGGCGCACTCTGGCTCTACAAAACATCTGCTCAGAAAACAAGAACGAGCAAACTTGTCTCCGGGTCATTATTTTACTTTTGAACCTTTAGAGTTTCAAGACCGGGAGCTGCACACAGGCAAGACATGTCGCCGGGGTGACCTGCAGCTGGTAAGTGTTGCTGGCGGAGGGTTTTAACACATCCCTTGCCTAGGGAAACATGGTGACTGACAGGCGCCTGTCCAGATAATCAGGCGCCCAGGAAAAGAAAACTAACCTCTCCGGTTTTGATTGGAAACAGTGTAAAGACTGTTTTCCAGTTGGAGTGCTCACAGGCCAGTGTTTCCCAGTTGTCGGTGTTTATAGTACATTTTTTTTAGATTTGCCTTGAGAGAGTCTTTAAACCTCTTTTGTTGACCACCAGCATTACAATTTCCATTTTTAAGTTCGAAATAGATTACAGTGGAACCTCTACTTAGCACCATAATCCATTCCGGCGGCCCATCCTTTAGGAGAAACGGGTCATGGTAGAAGCGCCACTGTGTGCATGTGCAGACGGTGGCAGCCACTTCTGCGCATGTGCAAACAGCAGAAGCCACTTCTGCGTGTGCGCGAATTGCAGCAAACCCGGTATTTACTTCTGGGTTTTCCGTGGTCGCGACTTGGATCAGGCCCAAGTAGAGGCGGTCGTAAGCAGAGGTTCTACTGTAGTTTCTTTGGAAGACGATAATCCGGCATCCACACAACATGACCAATCCAGCGAAGTTGATGTTGAAGAATCATTGCTTCGGCACTGGTGATCTTTGCTTCTTCCAGTACACTGGCATTAGTTCACCGGTCTTCCCAAGTGATAGGTAACATTTTTCAGAGACACAATTGATGGAATCTTTCGAGGTGTTGGAGATGGCATTTCTAACTGGTCCATGTTTCACAAGCGTACAGTAAGATTGGTAGTACAATAGCTTTGGAAACAAGCATTTAGGTTTCCCGGCCCTTCAATCGGGAGATAGCTGTACTCGCAGAGCTCAGGTGATGCTGGATTGCTCCTGGTCATGGTCTAGCGATCAGATCAGATCTACCTGTTTTGCAGTCATGGAAACCCCTATTGTCAGACTGCAGCCCATGAGACTTGAACAAACAGCATCTTCCTTGCACTTTTGCAAGCATTCAATCAGGGCGCTCTCCTGTGTTAAGCACAATTCAAACATTTTCTTCCTACAAATATACAACAGCTGCCAGTTTGTCCTTATAAAATGTATTTTAGGAGAGGAGTGTATGGAGCCCTCAGATCACATAGCTCTGGCTTCATTCCACCCCAAAATGAGAGAAAAGGCCGAGTTTTTGTTTTCTATGTTCAGGCCACTAACCCCAACTGGGAAAAAAAAACCCTTCAGTCTCCACTAATTTATACACACACTTGTATTAGCATGGTGGTGGGAATAAGTGTCACTGAACTAAACAGAGCCTACTTTTAAGTAGACATATATATGATTTCACTGTTAATTGTTTAAAATGTGGCCCACAGATTATTTAAGAATCTGTATTGGTTTTATGTTTCTAAAAGTGGGAGTGGGAGTGGAGTGGAGGGGATTCTTGAGGGGTCAACACGACTGAACAAAAATGTTATCTACATCACACATCTATAGGCATCTTATCTGGCACAAACAAATTTCTCTAAATTGTTTCTAGCGCAACCTTTTTGCAATAAGCTTCCTTCACAGTGGTAGGTATTATAGCTCACATAATAAAGAGGTTCTTTCATAACAGCCAAACTATTACATGATCATTGAATCGACAATATCTTAGAACATGATTCAACATAAGAGAATAAGAGAGAAATCTTACCCCATGAGGTTAAGAACTCTGCAGCGTATCTATAGATGCGGTTCAGAACTTCAATCACAACAGCATAAATTATGCTGGGCACATATAATATTAAGCTGCTTAATTCCGATTGGTTCTCTTCATGATATAAATGTGCCTGGTATTCCAATTCAAAGTAAACCATCATGACATAAAGTGAGAAGTAGAGGCAAAGGCACACAAATGGTAAGGAGACCAAATAAATTCGTAACTGTCTTTTGAAGCTAGAGTATACCGGCTCCTCTCTCCCAGTCACGGGATTAATGCCTAAAACTCCATGAAACCCTGGCCTGGGCTCCTCAAACTGTCGCTTCATCACAAGTGTCCCCCACCTGTAGGCCATTAGAGCACAACACCGCTTCCAGAGTTCAAGGAGAATAGCAGACCAAACCAGGTTGAATCCTGCAAACAGCACATACTTGTCGTAATCTTCCCAATCAAAGATATAGTAAGGAATCCCAATGATAGCCATTGGAACCAAAGCAAATGTGATATACTCCAAAAAGGCAAAATAGAAAGCAATGGTTTCGCCAAAATAGCAGCGAATTTCATCTGGGGGAAAACAAAGAGAGTAAACGTAAGTATCATACACACAAAATTTGGCAGGCTTACATTAGCTGTTGGGCATTTTTAAAAATAAAAAGTGTTACAGTGGTACCTTGGTTCTAGAACTTAATCCATTCCAGGAGTCCATTCGACTCCTGAAACCGTTCCAAAACCAAGGCGCGGCTTCCAACTGGCTGCAGGAGCTTCCTGCACTCAAGCGGTAGCTGTGGAAGCCACGTCAGACATTCAGCTTCCGAAAAACGTTCGCAAACCGGAACACTTACTTCCAGGTTTGCGGCATTCAGGAACCAATTTGTTCGGGAGTCAAGCCATTCAGGAACCAAGGTACCACTGTATTACATTCTGAAGCATCAAGTGCCTTATGTGGTGTATGGAGTACTTAATCATTTGTACCTCATTTTCCTCAAAAATAGAGCAATACCGGAGTTTAAGCTGTTGCTTTGCAAGCGCAGTGATAAGTGTAAATTATGACCACTTTCCAAAATCATCTGGCTCACTACATGAATCAGGCACTACTAGGCAGTTTTCTCCAGACCATTTCCAACTGCTAAAAGGATGTATTTCCACACTTGATCCATGTGGCAAGTAACTGCACATTTATCTAGTTGTATGCAACTGCTCCCAGGTGCAGACAATTTCAGGCAGTCTCCCATTGCTCAGTAATTTTAAAAAGCACACATAAATCACATGAACTACAATTCTAACTCCACTTTCCTTGGCATAAGCCCTGTTGAATTCAGTAAGATGTACTTTTGACTAGACTTGGTTGGGATTCCATTGTTAGTCTGTCAATGTGAAATGCCCATTTATATTAGCTCAAGCTCAGGAAAAGAAAAACTAAATCCCATGACAGAGCAGAGTAATAACCATACAGATCAGAGGGAAATGGTTGGTGGTTTGTTTTTTGGTTTTTTACATGGGGATGGGTGCTCTTTAAAGGTTGCAGTGGGGAGAAGGGAATTAGTTGTTTAGTTTCCTAATGGATGTTTTCCTGCGGTGAAAGGTGTGGGTTACGAAGTGCAATTATCAACATTTTCTTTGCTAGAGTCATTTGATCATATTGTTTCAGAGTGACAGTTTGACTAAAAGCAAGTGTAGGTGGATTGGGGTAACGCAGAGAGCAAAATCTAACATGAATAGCTGAAGTGAAGAGAGCAAGTTTGAAGTGACTTATATAAAATACGGGTAAAATCTGAGGCAATATCACTAGTTTGCTGTTTTAGATTCAGTGACACTAAATAGACAAGTTCCTGGTCCTTTTACCTCTTCCATGTGTATAAAGGTACTGAAATACTTATGTTTATAAATTATGGTAGCTACTGAAGAAACATCAAAATTTGCAGCAGAACATGAGCTACCACCTTGAAAAACGCCTCCTTTAGGTGGCTGCATCACTCCTTTTCTGTGAGTTTTATTTAGTGTGTGTGATTGTCTACTCTTGAACTTCCAGTGGCATCAGAAGAACAATTTTCTGCCAATTAAATGTATAGCTTCAAAAGCAGTTGAACACGGTCACTCCACAAAGGGCTTAAACCCAATAGTGATACCACATTTTTAATACTTGTAAGTTTGAAATGGGTCAAATGGGATTGCTAATTTAAAGCACTCCATTAGTATTAATGTCTCTAGTCTTAAGCATGTACTGGTATCTTAGTGCTTTGTATATGAACCTCTATTTTATTTTGACTTTTTCTTGTGAAATTTGCTCTTGCATAGAATAAGGATAGGAAAAGTATTAATGTCTGTTAGTTTGGGGAGAGCTGTTCCAGCTTTAAGAAGGTTAAGTGCTGAATGTACAGTGTAGTTTGTGACACTCCTTGTCAACCATAATAAGTTGAGTTAGGTTGCACTTATTTTCCCACTTAACTGGGAGTAAACTCCACTGAACATGGAATAACTTAATTCCACGTAATCATGCATAAGATTGTATTGTGTGAGAGCTGGCTGTTGGGAAAATAATACCGAGCCATCCTTCAAAAATATGGCATATTAACTCATCACCTTATGTTTCCTTCTGTTGCCATTTTGGCATGTGTCTGCAGCTGAGAAATTCTCATGAAACAATGGTTTCCCCCAGTCAGCTTAATATAGAAGCAGTTCTGGCTTTTGCCAGTACCACTGGATCCTTCTAACTGTTGCCTGATTTTAAGCGCACCAGTTACTTGTGGAACAATGTGAAAGTCTGCACTACTGAGCTTTCTTTGCGCTCCAAGGGTAGCAACTTTAGGAAGTCCAGACACAAAAGCCTTTGGAACAGAGTAAGAATCCAGTACACTATGACAAAGCCCTGGTGTTTTAAACCATGGTTAAAAATAAACTCTGGCTTAATACGAAATAAGCACTGTGCCGTTTCACTTGGTGAGCTCCTGCGGTGCTGCTGGGAGGCAAGTTTGTCATGATGTCTAAACCTGGGCTGGTGGTCTGTTTCTCTCTAAACAGAGGGAATTTTCCTCCAGGACAGATTGGCTAGTGTCCTTTGTTTTGCTTCCTGGTCCCCTTCAGCACGTGACCTAACTTACTTTTCTGTACTTTCGCAGACTACTTGCTGGTGAACTTTCTCAATTTGTTTGTTGCTTACTCAGTTTTGGTATGCTGTGGTCTTGAATCTGTATCTCACATCAAAGGTTGGTGTACATAGCCTTATAAGTAATGAGGCCCCAATAAAATCGCACAGTTCATACCAGAAGAAGCCAAAATTGTAAGGCTATCTTACCTAAAGGCTGGTAGCTAATTTTCAGTTTTTTGTACCAGGTATGTCCAAGTTTCTTTAGTTCTTCTGGGTCATGAAGTGGAAAAATCTGAAGTAGAATACCATTGGATATTAGCCTTCGCACTGAAAGAAATAAAGAAATAAGGGACAGTGTCTTAATTCTGGAATGGTTCATGTAGCACAGTAAATATGCTTCATCTGCCTTATCTTATCCAGACCACACTAAATGATTCTCTGAATAACATTTTCAATCTATATTTTTTATTATAGTTTTTAGTCCTGGTACCATATTCCCACACAGAGCCAGATGGGCAGGGTATAACTAAAATAACAACAAAACAACAACAATTACATAGATTATACAATACAGTGGTACCTTGGAAGTCAAACGGAATCCGTTCCGGAAGTCTGTTCAGCTTCCAAAATGTTCAGAAACCAAGGCGTGGCTTCCCATTGGCTGAAGGAAGCACCTGCAGCCAATCAGAAGCCGCAGAAGCCACGTTGGACGTTTGGGTTCCAAAGAATGTTCGCAAACCAGAACACTCAGTTCCAGGTTTGCGGCATTTGGGAGTCAAATGTTCGACTTGCAAGGCGTTCAGGATCCAAGGTATGACTGTATAGAGTTTTTGGCAACACTTACAATTTTTTTTGTTCCAGAAAGCCTACGCAGGCATGTAATTTGATATTAAAACCACTTAAGTATAAGTGTTTTATAGTTATTTGTTCTATTTTTATGTAACTTGTTTTTAATGTTTGTTTTTATTAGTATTTTAAATGACTATTTTATTGCACATCGCTTAGAGGTCTTTTGCCCTAGTACTCGGTGTATACATTTTGCTAGACAAATAAAAATGTGGCATTCATTAATCACTTTTTGTTTAATAATTTAGGGAATTTATTTACCACTTAATCATCAACATTCCTAAGCAAGAACATATACACAAGAGTGTTGCATCAGACTTACTTTTTCCAAGATAGATCCATGAGCTCAATTCTAAATTTCTGTCAGATCATATTCACAGATCTAAGCTCTAGAAACATTACATAGATAATGGACTTTGATCTAGAGATAATGTTCCTACATGTCTGTACTTTTGCCAGTGCCAAATATTATGAAATAGGTTTTTTGCCTATATACATATAGAGTAATGGGAGCAAGCAGCTCCTAAGTGCAGAATAAATCAAACCTAAAACCTACCTGCTGCAGAAGGACCAATCAAAATATGTTAAGGAAGTTAAGCTGCTAGGCACGTCTAGACTTCTTTTAGGTTGTTCCATCAAGGAATAATAGGAATTAGTTATATAAAATTAATGTAAGCAGAAGCTGTGGCAAACTGCACATGCCAACTTGCAATATCTAAGTTTTCTCCCGAAGCTAGCGAAAATTATGGTTTCACATACATTTCCCCCCAATATCAGAGCTTATGCAATTAACAACTTCAATACAAAGTTACTCACTAATTGACTTTCCCGGATAAAGCTTTGCCTGAGGATAACCCGGGATCATTTTTTCATCTTTGGCTCTCAGGTTTTCAAGTTCATGTTTGATGATGTACTGACACTCTGCCATTGTAAGGAAATCATGATTGTCCTCTAAATCAGAAAAGAGTTCATATGGTTGAACATGTGTTCTCTTATCTTGCAAAATTCCTAAAGGAAGCAGTTACCTGGGAGGCACAGTATGTCATCAAAGCAAGAGGTCTCTTAAGGAAATAACTAACCAAGACATTAAAATGCAATCCTATAAATGTCAAATCAGAAGAAAACTTCACTGAATTCAATAAAACTTACTCTCAAGTAAGTTTGTATTATAGCGTCCTACAATGGATAGCTAATTGTTCAGATCCATTTATTAAAAAAACACTGGGATCTACTTTTTTTAAAAGTTGTCAAAATTTAAAATTCAACAGGTTTTATAGTAATGACATGAAAATTAAGCTAACCAATTTCCACATAATGTAGAAAAGCATGATCACATTTCAAAACTCAGAAATGCATATATTTTCATGACTGAGAGGTAAAAGTTCAAAGTTCAGTTTAAATGGTTTTTATGCCCTAAAAAGCAAAAACATGCAATTATGTTGGAAACAATTCTAAAAACAGTTTGATTTACCTGCAAAATCTTTGAAGGTTTTTCTAGCGGTATATGTAAAGGCTCTCATTGTGTTATCGTTACATTCTTTCACCAACCCCACCGTTTCAGCTCCCAGAAGCAGCCTCAAGTGAGATGCTCCAACAAGATAAATATTCTGGTTCCCTTCTATTTTCTTCCCATCTGCCATCAAGGGTTTCACCAAAAGCTGGGCTCCTTCGAAATAAGGCAAGAAATTAAATGGAATGTAATTTTAATATAAGATATTTTAAATACCTAATGAATTGGATTCATGCATTGCTCAGGCCGAGTTTAAGAGGAACAGCATCTAAAGGGTTATATAAAAATGATTCCTTATCTATAGAAAAAGTTTGGGTTATCAAGATAATAAAACAGAACATTCAGTAGTAAGGACATACTTAAATATCCAACCATCAAATCATTAAGATTTGAAAATACTTAAGTTTGGCTGGATTGTGGCCAGAGTTTGATAGATTTAAAAGGCAAGTGGAGCACAAGCCTCCGCTTGTGAGCAACAACTAAGGAACAAGTACACACCTTGCATATAAGAATCTCAATGCTGCTTACGGGTTGTGTGTGTTTTAAGAAAAGCCACTTAAGTGCAAAGAGGTGGAGGGAACATTCTTTCATATGTGGTGGACTTGTAAAAGGGTAAAAGAGTATTGGGAAATGATCCATAATCCAATCCCCTCCAGAACAGGTTGACCACTCAAGCAGCTGAATGAGTCATCCATTAAAAATACCTCTATCTTTTCTAATCTAAGGGCAGCAACACGGAACAGCTAATCCATTTCTTGCTGTTCTGGATTTAGGTTCCATGTGATTAGGAAGTATGCTGGCAATATTATGAGTTACTAGGACTCCACTGAATTGTATTAATTGTTTTGCTGAAACAGTTGCTCTTGTTTGCTTTATTTATATGCTGTGTTTGGTACGATAGTTGCAGCATTTGTTGTTGTTTTAATGCTTTTGTGAGTTGCTTTCAGCTCAACGTTTGTTGTTGGGAAAGAAAAATACAAATCTTAAATCAAATCAAAACCTCCAGGCTGTCACTATTTTTCAGGAGGAAGACCAGAATTTAAAGCGGATTTAAAGTGCTGTGTTTCCCATGCGCAACAAATCCACTGAAAAACAGCAGATGAATGCTCAATAAAGACTGCATACAATCTAACCCCTGCATAACTTTTGTACAAGCAAATCGTGATGAATTCTCAATAAATAGACCCTCTTGAGCTGCAGGGTTTACTGGCCCTCATCCAATATATTAGCACGGCCAAGCACTACTCTTGGGAGGAGACTCTTGAGAGTCCCATGGACTGAAAGAAGAACAAACCTATCCATTTTTAAGGAAATCAGCCCTGAGTGCTCACTGGAAGGACAGATCGTGAAGCTGAGGCTCCAATACTTTGGCCACCTCATGAGAAGAGAAGACTCCCTGGAAAAGACCCTGATGTTGGGAAAGATGGAGGGCACAAGGAGAAGGGGACGACAGAGGACGAGATGGTTGGATAGTGTTCTCGAAGCTACCAGCTTGAGTTTGACCAAACTGCGGGAGGCAGTGGAAGACAGAAGTGCCTGGCGTGCTCTGGTCCATGGGGTCACGAAGAGTCAGACACGACTAAACGACTAAACAACAACAAAACCTCTCCTGCATTTGATAAAAAGGAGAGACAGAGCGGAGTGTCAACTGCAGATTGGCAACATCTTAGTTGAAATATTTAGGTGTCCTTGCCCAGTGCTTTCATGTAGATGACAAATAGCACTGGCGAATAAAACCCTCAACAGCATCCAAATTGGCCATCCTAACGTACTTCCAAAATCCAACTCAGGCAGCCTATCCAGAAGGATGCTACAGTCAATGAGATAAAAAGCAGCTGAAGAGAATGAACAGTATCTTTATTTTGGCAGTCTCGGTTGTAAAATCAAAAACCCAACTGAAATGGACCTAGACATTTCATCTAAGAGCATCTGGAGTTGACTTAGCACATAAGACTTGTAGCTTTGTAAATGAATGCTTACATGAAAACAACCTTTAGAAACAGATGATTTCATGTAAATATGGGTGGCAGCCTTGCTAATTAGGCTCACACATATTAAAGGAGACTTAAAGAAAATGTTCACCACACAATTTCAGCGAAAAAGGAGTGTTTATTTGTCAATCAGTTGAATATGAAGTATCAAGATAATATTCAACCATGCAACTTTCATCTATATAAATAAAATCTCAGAATAAGATTCTTTTTTATTAAGAAATATTTAAATAAACTATATATAATACATTATCTATTTTTGCTCATTTAAAATGTATTTGTATAATTGTATTTTCATACTTCAAGAAACAGAGATTTCCGTAAAAGTAAAGAGTACCAACCTCCATTTTTCTTCTTTTCTATTATCTTTTGTGTCAGCCATTCTTTCGTTTCATCTTTGGTGTCTTTTGCAAGCTCAACCACCACAAGTGGTTTGAAATTCGCCTCAAATGTGTCATACGCTGACCAGCTTATCTTCATCTTTTGGATAACTGGCTTACCAAATGAAGGAAAAAAGAATAAAATAGTTGAGTGCTGCAGAAGAAATGAACATTCAAGGGTATACAATTTACTGTAAATCAACAACTGGGTAGAACTATCACCTACTTTTCTTTTGCTTCCCCCCTCCCCCCCCCCCGTTTTTTTGCTTTGGTAAAAGCAACATTTCACCTTCAGCCTTGAAGAAAGGATATTCCAGTATTTCTACATAGCTTGTTAGACTACAGCTGAACTTTGTCAACCACGTGTCTATAATTGTAAAGACTGTATTAGAAAAACCCAAATATATATAATTTTCTATCAAATATGGCAAGCCATCTGATCAAATCAAATGAAAATGTTGAATTGAAAAGTTACAGTTTAAGTTATTTAATAGTGCATTTTGCTCCCTAGATTTCATTTAGTGAAATTAAAAAGTATAGCTTCCTAAATGTACTATGAAATCTTAACTGTGTCTACTCTGAAGTAAGTCCCATTGAATTGTAGTTGTAGTCATGGAACACAATCCCATATTAATGGCAAATTAATTTGTTTGTAAACCCCCCTATTTTCAATATGGGCTTATGCCCAGGGGTTGCAATCTAAAGCAGCATAGCAAAGGATTGCACTGCTACAAAGTTAACACATTTACCCAATTCCGAAAATAGATAGGAATATCCTTTGTACACTGCAAATCTTTAATGTTTCTCAATTCAAACTTTGGCCAAGATAACTGTGCTGCTGTTAGCACTTTACATCATCAGCATTAATGGCTAGGCCATAAGTGAATCTTTTGTTATCCTCTCTCCCTTGGTTAAGCATAACAGAGATAGACTCTGTCTAAATCAAATTAATATACAGTGGTACCTCGGGTTAAGAACTTAATTCGTTCTGGAGATCCGTTCTTAACCTGAAACTGATCTTAACCTGAAGCACCACTGTAGCTAACGGGGCCTCCCGCTGCCGCCGGAGCACAATTTCTGTTCTCATCCTGAAGCAAAGTTCTTAACCCGAGGTACTATTTCTGGGTTAGCGGAGTCTGTAACCTGAAGCGTCTGTAACCTGAAGTGTCTATAACCTGAGGTACCACTGTACTATTAGGTAACATTTCGAAAGACTTTTTTTTCTTTTGCTTATATAGATATGCAATATATATTTATGGTAATAACATTATTTAAATTTGATTGTAAGAGCTTGTATTAGCAATACTATAACAATGGGTGGAGACTCTCTAGCCAGCTTCCCTCAGGATATATTAATACTACTGTATGATCAGAAATCATATGATCGTAAAACTAGGGAACGCTTCTCAAATTATTTAGGAACAATCTGTTGATAATTCCAGTTACCAAATTAGGATACTGTGTGATTTATACTCATGTCAAACAAGATTGAGCCACTCCTTGATGCTTCAAATGTATTATTTGCAAATCTAACTAAGTCAAGTCTAGTGTCTTGACAAGTTACCATTTTCCTCTTAAGTGAGCGTTCATTTGCATGGGAAAGTTCAGATAAGCAACGAAGGAGGTGGTGTCACCACATAAGTGCTCTGTTGACTGCAGTTTAAATGCAGTGGTGCCTCGCAAGACGAAATTAATTCGTTCCGCAAGTTTTTTCTTCTTGCGAGTTTTTCGTCTTGCGATGCACGGTTTCCCATAGGAATGCATTGAAAATCAATTAATGCGTTCCTAGGGAAACCGACTTCAGACCAGGTCCGGGGACAGTCTGTCCCCGACCTCTTCTGAAGGCTGGGGGGACAAGGGCTTTTCTTCCCACCCCCAGCATTTTAAAACCCGGGACAGCGGAGGGCTTCTCCGCTGTCCGGGGCGATCTTAAAATGCTGGCGGGCGGCATTTAAAATTGCCCCGGGACAGCGGAGGACTTCTCCGCTGTCCGGGGCAATTTAAAGCCCCTGGGAAGGCAGGCAGGGGGACAAAGACTTTGCCCCCCGCCAGCCTTCAGAAGAGGTCCTGGACCTCTTCTGAAGGTTGGCGGGGGCGAAAGTCTTGTCCCCCCACCTGCCTTCAAAAGCTGTCCAGCCAAGGCTTCGCGGACCTCTCCGCAAGCAGCGGCAGCACTGCCGCTGCTTGCGGAGAGTTGCCGGCATGCCGAGCCTGCGCGCGCTGAGATCAGCGCGCCCAGGCTTCGCGGACCTCTCCGCGAGCAGCGGCAGCGCTGCCGCTGCTCGCGGAGAGTTGCCGGCATGCCGAGCCTGCGCGCGCTGAGATCAGCGCGCCCAGGCTTCGCGGACCTCTCCGCGAGCAGCGGCAGCGCTGCCGCTGCTCGCGGAGAGTTGCCGGCATGCCGAAGCCTGCGCGCGCTGAGATCAGCGCGCCCAGGCTTCGCGGGACCTCTCCGCGAGCAGCGGCAGCGCTGCCGCTGCTCGCGGAGAGTTGCCGGCATGCCGGAGCCTGCGCGCGCTGAGATCAGCGCGCCCAGGCTTCGCGGACCTCTCCGCGAGCAGCGGCAGCGCTGCCGCTGCTCGCGGAGAGTTGCCGGCATGCCGAGGCCTGCGCGCGCTGAGATCAGCGCGCCCAGGCTCGCGGACCTCTCCGCGAGCAGCGGCAGCGCTGCCGCTGCTCGCGGAGAGCTGCCGGCATGCCGGAGCCTGCGCGCGCTGAGATCAGCGCGCCCAGGCTTCGCGGACCGGAGATTTCCTATGGGCTTTCGTCTTGCGAAGCAAGCCCATAGGGAAATTCGTTTTGCGAAGCGCCTCCAAAACGGAAAACCCTTTCGTCTAGCGGGTTTTTCGTCTTGCGAGGCGTTCGTCTTGCGGGGCACCACTGTGTTTGGACACATTAGAGTCAAGTACACAGTTACAATTAGAGAACAAGGATTCCAGGAAGATTTAAGTTCTATCTATAACTTTTATATACAGAAACATTCAAAACCCAGCTGGAACAAGTGTTTTCTCGATGCAACGCATCACTAAGGGTTCAGAAAACACAGTTTTTATCATGATTTAAGGCTGTGCCAAGTTAAGAGAGGCTGATTGTCATCTTCAAAGAAAGGCAGCAGATTTTGGGCGCCGTGAAAGCAGATTATTTAATGTACTATTGCTATCCTTTAATCCTAGGAAGAATTTGTTTGTTTGTTTTCATAAAATTTATACACTGCTTGTTTGCAAAAAACAAACACAAAACAAAACAAAACCACCTCAAAGTGGTTTATAAAAAGATTAAAGAAAAAAGAAAAAAATACTATACTTTAAAACATACAAAAGTTAAAATACTAAAACAGATTAAAATTACCTCAACTTCCTAAGCATCTGGGTCGAAACAATAACGTTTTTGGCGGGCACCCCAAAAAAGTACAGTTAAGTGAGATTTTCTGCCTCAGGCGTCAAAATACCTTGCAGGCCTTGAGTATTATGTGCCATAGGGGGAGCTAGGGAGCAGTCAGCTGCTCCAAATCAGGCAGAAAAATGTACTGAGCCACACCTCACCCTTCCCATACTGTACATAGAAAAAAATATTCCTATATGAGTTGAGTTGCAGAAGCTGTTGCATGATCTTACTATCATATATGGCTATATTGGTCCCTGAAATGGGAACAGATAATTAGCCAGTGTATACTTCCCAGTGTGTACACTGCCAGGGCAGAAAAATGCATGTGTATACAGCTGTCAGACTCCACCAAGGAGGCACGGCAAACTGAATTATGTACCTCTCAGATATACATGTGGTTGAAAACAGTTTATCCAGGGCATTCATATGATGCATTTACAGTCATACCTCGGGATAAATACGCTTCAGGTTGAGTGCTTTCAGGTTGTGCTCCGCAGCAACTCGGAAATAACAGAGCGCGTTACTTCCGGGTTTCGCCGCTTGCGCATGCGCAGACGGTCAAAATGATGTCACGCGCATGCGCGGAAGTGGCGAAACGCAACACGCGCACACACAGACGAGCTGTTGCGTCTTACGTTCTTTTTGGGATGCGAACGGGACTCCGGAACAGATCCCATTCACATCTCAAGGTACCACTGTAGGTGTATACCTCAAGGTGCCATTGAGACAAAAGGCGCTTCCAGATGTACACTTATTCCAGATGTATGCTTAATGTAGAATCAGCATGCAATTATTATTTTGCAGCATCTACATAACATTAAAGGTAAAGGGATCCCTGACCATTAGGTCCAGTCGTGACCGACTCTGGGGTTGCGGCGCTCATCTCGCTTTATTGGCCGAGGGAGACGGCGTACAGCTTCCGGGTCATGTGGCCAGCATGACTAAGCCGCTTCTGGCGGACCAGAGCAGCGCACGGAAACGCCGTTTACCTTCCCGCCGGAGCGGTACCTATTTATCTACTTGCACTTTGATGTGCTTTCGAACTGCTAGGTTTGTAGGAGCAGGGACCGAGCAACGGGAGCTCACCCCATCGTGGGGATTCAAACCGCCGACCTTCTGATCAGCAAGTCCTGGCTCTGTGGTTTAACCCACAGCACCACCCGCGTCCCTCCTACATAACATTACTGCCATCAAAATGCTAGTCTCCCCCCTGCCCCAATTCAATCGGGATCTACCCTTTCTGGAGGAAATCCAGTAAGCATTTTTAAAAAAAGTTTTCATATGTGTGCGCCAATTATCCATTTGTATCATCTCAACAACTCATTTACAAGCCATGACAATGGCCCCCCGCCACGGCCTTTTTAAGGCTATAAAATAATTTTTTGGCCAAAACTGTACAGATAATTTTATGGTGGCTCCAAAAGTCATGTTCTCCCTCCTCCTCCTCCTCCTCCTCCTCCCACTGCAACTTTGCTTCGCAATCAATTTGACGGGAAGTTTTCATAGTCCCAAAATCTTCCTCAGGATTTGGCTTCGCCATTTTAAAAAAATTGTGTGTGTGTGTGTGTGTGATTTTTCATTATAAAAGTGGCAGTGTTGACATGCCAAGTCTCTCCCTCTGCAGTTAGTTGACTTCCCTCTCGAAATAAGCTGATTCATTTGACAGGACTGCCCTGAAATTCCCCCTCGCTCCGCTACAAAAACCATGGCTGGGTGGGTGAGAGAGAGAGCATCAAGTAAATAAATAAAAATACTTAAAGTAGGGCTTTTGACAAGGGTTTGTTTTTTTCCTGAGCGCTTGGGGGTGCCAGTTTACTTTCGATTAAAGAAAGCCCTGCCTGGAGCAGGATTTGGGGTGACGCCCCGAGAACCGGAACGTCGGGAAACGGGCGAACTTCTCAAGGCGCTAGTCCCTGTGGAGGAAGCGCCCGTTAGTGATTTAGCTGGGAAACGGGGGGAAATAAAACACCTCAACCCAAGAGCAGCCGCTCTTTTCACGGGGTCGGAAAGGGAGTCGCTCAGGGAAGCCTCTCAGGCGCGGCTACCCGGCTTGCCATCCCCTCATGGCTCTCGGGCAGGGAGAGCAGGCGAGAGGCGAGGCCGGGCGGCGCCAAATACGGGTGTGCGCTCGTGTAAACGGGGTGAAAAGGATGTGGGGCGACGCCCCTCATCTTCCTGACACAAATTTTATTTATTTTTATTCTTTTCCCCTTAAATGTTTATCCTAAGCGACCACATAACTCCCCGGCGGCGGGTTTCTCTCCCCGCCGCCGCCCTTTTAACGGCTTCGGGGTCGCAAGCCCCTCCTGCCTCTCCTCCCCCTCGCTCTGAGGGGAACTGACAGAGAAAAGGGGCTCCCGTCCCCTTTAGCCCGGCCCCGGCCGCCCTCACACATTCACTCACCCGCGGCCTCTTCTCTCCGCGAAGGAGGAGACAGGCGGGGACAGCCGCCAACGGGAGGAGCCGATCGGGCCACGAGGACGGGGATGCATATCACTGGGCCCGCCCCCAACTCCGGGTCTAGTTGCGAAGCGCGCAGAGTTCCCCCGAAGGGGTTCTTCCGCCGTTGGTCCTTTCGGACTTTTTTCTTTCTTCTTTTTAATTATTTATTCGGTTTTCCAATTTAGAGTTTTACAATCACATATACAGCATAAAGACAAGATTCCGTAGAATCTCCTGGACTTGCCTCCTCCACTTTGTGGGTCTTCTTATTAATCATTTCCTCCTGCATCTTTTATAATAATCCAAATCTTTTACATCTCCATTATGTCCAAAATTCGCCATTAAGCTACAAGTGCTATTCCAATCCAATGCTTTTCAATGTGTATTATTTTGTTTTATGTACTGTGGCTTGCCATTGTTTTATTGGTTATAGTTTAGATATTATTTATTGTAACTGGTGAGTGGATTTCAGTTTAACTTTTGTATGCTGATATTATTTTATACTATATAATGATTGAATGTTACTTTTTTGTGTAGGTTGCCTATTTTAAAGTTATGTTTTATTATCACATTTTTTATTACATTAGATTGTTATAAGATGTACATTTTTTGTTTCTTCAGCTTGTAAACCACCTCGAGTATTGTAAAATATAAATACAGTACATAAATTAAAAATGATGAAGATGGTAACAATTTTAACTGTTTACAATGGTTTTTTTAAAATAAATTGTAAAATTTCCCCATTCTTTATTTAAAATTTTCTGATTCTTTCGGTTTCTGTTGTTTTTTCTTTCTTCTTGTCTTCCTTGTAGGTTTTCGCAGGGAAGGCGTCTTGGATCTTGGGACTGGGAGCGAGGGGTGGGGATCAGGGATGAATAAAATATAGGGCGGCAGGCCCCACCCCACATAATTAATCACATGACACAAAACACACACTTTTTTTTTTGGAATGCCCATCAACTTTTGGGGCAGGGGCTCAAATACTTTATTGGGGGGAGAGCAAAGAGAACTCAGCCCCTAGGAGTTGACTCCTATGGTGGGGACACACACAGGCCTTATTGTTGCAGAATTCAAAAGTCCTTTCTAAAAGTAGTATGGGAGGGAAAATATTTTCAGTGATCCCCAAGGCGGGCAGCACCTGGCACCCCTCTAGGTGGGGGTCTACCTGGGGGAGTGTTCATAGGTAGGGGCACTGCAGGTGTAAATGACTATAGGGCTTTGGGAAGCTGGTTATCGCTGGATCAAATCCCATCGCTTTGGTTGACTCAGCAGTCTTGAGTGGATTTTGAATAAATTTGCAAAGAATGGTTCCTATGTACTTTGAATTTTATGTGGGTTAAACCACAGAGCCTAGGACTTGCCAATCAGAAGGTCGGCGGTTTGAATCCCCGCGACGGGGTGAGCTCCCGTTGCTCAGTTCCTGCTCCTGCCAACCTAGCAGTTCGAAAGCACGTCAAAGTACTAGTAGATAAATAGGTACTGCTCCAGCGGGAAGGTAAACGGCGTTTTTCCGTGCGCAGCTCTGGTCCACCAGAAGCGGCTTAGTCATGCTGGACACAGGACCAGGAAGCTGTACGCCACCTCCCTCGGCCAATAAGCGAGATGAGCGCCGCAACCCCAGAGTCGGTCACGACTGGACCTAATGGTCAGGGGTCCCTTTACCTTTACCTTCCTCATTAAGTTGTGCAAGCTGCTGTGCTGAATAACGCTTTTGGGCCGGCCCACCCATGAGGCATGATGAGGTGACCGCTTCAGGCAGTTAAGATCCATAGCGCAACAGATCCAATTGCCTGCAGCAACAGTAGCAACAGATCTCAGTGGCTGCCATTTCCTTTTTTTCCCTTTTCTTTTTTTCTTTTTTCTTTTTTGCAAAATTGTTAAGTTTATTTTGAAATTTTTACCTTTTTTAGGAGCTTGACCAGGAGTTGTATTTTCACTTCATATCCCAAATAAACGACATCCTATCATTTATTACATAGTCCACCCAGGCCTTGGGAATGATATAATTAGGAATGATATAATTATTATTATTATTATTATTATTATTATTATTATTACATACATACATACATACTCTGCCCATCTGGCTGGGTTTCCCCAGCCACTCTGGGCGGCTCCCAACAGAATATTAATAATGATAATAATATTAATGATAAAGCGATAAAACATTAAAAACTTCCCTAAACATGAGCCCTTAGTCATAAGCCAAAAAGTTGTGTGTCTAATCAGCTAGCTATTGTCAATTAAATACAATAACAACACCATGATATTCTAAATAGAATAGGCTGTAGCCAATATTAATCCTAAGAATAGACTAACTGAAATCAATAGGCTCAGAATACACCCATTGAAATTGATGGACATGCGTAATTAGGTACTTTAATTTCAGTGGATCTACTCTGATAAGATACAATGGGAAATAGGTGCCCATGGAAATCTCTGAGATGGACCTTCCTAGTTAATGTGTTGAGGGTGCCACATTATGAAACGTCTTTCTCTAATAAATGCAAAATGGCTGAGAGTTTCATTTATGCTTTTAAAAAAATGTAAACGAGATGAGACACTATTTGTTGTTGCCTCCTTAGGGGATGGTTGTGTTGCAATTCCCTGGATAGCACTAGCTGCCTGTGGGGTAATAAAAAAAAGGACGAAGGCGTGTGCACAATTCAGGTCGATAAATATTGCCCACAAGAATATTCTTGCTGGGTTGGGTCTTTTTCACAATGGAGATCCTCAGAATTTAACATAGCTGAGTATTGGCTAATGGGTTGTAAAGTACTCTCTCTGCCACCCTTGCAGATGATGTGGGGTGTTGCACAACTGCATTTTGGATGGAAGGAACTAGGCAATAGTTCCGTGTCACAATAACATGTTGCTAAAGACCAACATTTATACTCAACACTGACATAGGGAGAGGCAGTCCTTGAGGTATTGCTGTCCTGAGCAGTTAAGGCTTTATACAGGAGGTTTCCCTCTCTGTGTCAAATAACTGGGGTCAAATAAGTTGTTTACTTTCTATAATACATGGAAGATGGATCTCCCTCAGGACGTTCGGGACTCTCCTTCCTTGGAGGTTTCTAAGAAGAGGCTGGATGGCCATCTGTCATGAATGCTTTAGAGTTTCTTACATTGGGGTTTCACTAGAAAGATGATTCTTGGGTTCCCTTCCAGCTCCATGATTCTCTGTTTTTCTCCTTCTGTTCCTATCATTTTATGTAATTGTCTTTTAGATAAATTATAAAAATGATAAATAAAACATGTTCTATTTGCAAACAAAACATTTAAATAGCTGCCTATCTACCGGTAGGATGGGGGTGAAAGATGGGCGTAGAACCTCAGATTTGTATTGATTTTTACTTATCTGGGGGGACAGCTGCCCCTCTGCCCCCTTGTCTACGCCCAAGGGGGGGTCACAGGAAGGAAACAAGGTTGGAAGGAAGCTGTGGTCAGAAACAGGTTGGGAAACCCTGGGTTAGAGCATTGTGCTGATAATGCCAAGGTTGCAGTCTTGATCCCTGTATAGGAGAATTGCATATTCCTGCACTGCAGGGAGTTGGACTAGAATGATTCCCAGGGTTCCTTCCAACTCTACAATTCTATGGTTCTATTTTCGCTGATGTTGCTGGCAGCAACATGAATAGTGGTTCATGGTGGGCAAAAGCTGTGGAAGCTTAGACTTGATGACCTGGTTCTGCACTAAGAGACAGCCAAGTGTCACGGTCCAGTTTGCGGGTGGTCAAAGTCCTGGCAAGATGGCAGGGTGGGAGCAGGAACGAGAGTCCAGAAGCCAGGGGTTCGAGGGTCAGGAAGCAGGGAGTCATGAAGTCAAGGGTCCGGGGGTCAAGAAGCAAGGAGTCACAAAGTCAAAGGTCCGAGGATCAGGAAGCAAGAAGCCAAACGCAGCAAGGCAAGAAATGAGTTGCTGTGGCAAAGAGCTGAAGGGAAATGCTGACCTTATATCCCTTCTCAACTTATGACACCAGGTGCAGTGAGTTACCTAGCGGCCTCACCTGTGCGGCTGCGCCTTGCCTCTTCAGAACCAATTTAGGAAGGCCCCAGTCCTGCGAAGCCCTACTGGTCACAGGGCCTGGCTCCTGCACGCACTCCTGACACCAAGATGGTCTCTGGCCTCTTCCGCAGCCTCAGCTTTTGTAGCTCGAGTCAGCCAGGATCCTGCCCTCTCAGGCTAGATAGAATAAGGCCTGCAGGCAGGTCTTCCAGGATCCAGTTTCCTGGATTATTTTTAGGAAGGTATATACTTCAAATGTATGGTGTGTATGCAAAGACTGGAAAGCCCACATTTTACATGGAGAAAGATTTGAATGAATAGAAACAATATCACACTTATGTTCAGGGTGAGAGTTCCAGACAGTAATCAAAAATGAAATTGTTTGTGGGCGAGAGACCTTTGGGTAGCTGAAAATGGTTTTGTTGGAGGAGTGAAGGTCATAGGCAGATTGATATACAGTATTAAGAAATCAAGGAAGACAGGCAAGGCTCTTGAGCACTTAAAGGCAATCACAATTAATTTGTGATGGGTATGGAGAGCCAGTGTAGGATAAAGGTGCATTGCCTAAACTTCTTCCTTTATTATCTTTCTTTCTTTCTAACCTGTTATCTTGCCTCTGATTCACAGTCCCAATCTAATTTCTTTACCCCATAAAAAGCAAAGGTAGTTCATAAGAAAGAAAAAACAACCCTCCAAAATGCAGTTGGGCAACACCTTTATAGACCTTATGGCTGCAACATCAGCTTAACTTTTGTATCAGTATGCTGTTCCGAAAGTAATTACAAAGGTTATTCAGAACATAAGAATAGTACTCCGGATCAGACCAATGGCTTAGCAGCCTGTTTTCATAGCAGCCATCAACTAGATGCCTAGTTGGGAAAGAGCAAGCAGAACAGAAAGTAGCAAGCAGAACAAGAGCACCCTCCCCTCCTGTGGCTTGCAGAATCTGGTACTTGAAAGCATTGCTGTGAAGGTACAGCATAGGCATCATGGCTATTAGCCCTCAGTAGCCCTCTCTTCCATCCCTTTAAAGTCATCCAGTGCAGAATTCAATATGCAAAACTTTTCTCAGCCAGAAGCAGCTTTGAGGAAACAGGCCTGCTGAAAAGACCGCCTGGTCCAGCATCTTGTTCTCAGTGGCCAAACAGGTGCTTATGAGGAACCCCAAGAAGGACATAAACACCATGCTTTATATAACCTGTTTACAGTATTTATCCCCCTGCCTTGCTCCATGGGAGCACAGAGAAACAGGCATTCTTCCCTCCTTTAAAACAAGCTGGCAACCCCATCAAGCTGGAAAATAGTGTGGCCGGATTAAGATCACCAAATGAACTTCCTTAGTCAGTAGAGCAGGAGACTCTTAATTTCAAGGCAGAGCTTTCCAAGCTGTGTGTCGTGACACATCAGTGTCAGCTGCAGTGTGTACATATGTTGTGCGATGTGTCCTCCAGGGCAGAAAGGGGTTCGCTTAACCTCCAGTTTACTAGTAAAACTGAATGACTGCGTTGCGAAATGATGCAGATCTAAAAAGCGTGTCACCAATGTGAAAAAGTTTGGAAAGTTCTGCCTTAGGGGTCAAGGGTTGGAGCTAAATGTTGGGCAAAAAGGTTCGTGTATTGCAGAGGGTTGGACTAGATGGTAAAGGTAAAAAGATGACCCTTCCAACTCCACAATTCTATTTTTTTTTTCTCCCCACAAAACAAAAACAAACAAAAACACTCAGGGGATCTCAACCTCTGCCCAGTTGTTTAGCAGCGCAGCGTCCACAAAGGAGGCAGCGTCCCCAGCGGTGAAAGTGCAATCCTGAGTAAGTTGTGTGGAAGTCAGTCCCACGTTCAGCTTCCACACTGGGAGCACAGAGAACAAATGCCTGAAGCAGGGCCGGATTTAGGTTTGATGAGGCCCTAAGCTACTGAAGGTAATGGGGCCCTTTATATGTGCAGCTGTCCTTTGTCAACAAACAACAAATTGTCACTGTTTTTTGTGTTGACTATACAGTCATACCTCGGGTTGAAGTTGCTTCAGGTTAAGCGTTTTCGGGTTGCTCTCCGCGGCGACCCGGAAGCAACGGAACGCGTTACTTCCGGGTTTTGCCATTCACGCATGCGCAGAAGCGGCGAATCGCGACCCGCGCACGCAGAGACACGGATTGCGTTTGCTTCAGGATGTGAACAGGGCTCCAGAACAGATCCCATTCATATCCAGAGGTACCACTGTATGCTATGTGGTAATTTATGGACCTAATAGATATCTAAAGCCATTTGCACATAACAAAATATGTATTTTATCAAAGTAATTGTTGAACTGAAATACAACTAAGAAGTATATTAATAGTAAAATAATTATTAAGCTCTAACTTAAAACGATTCTTTATTCATAATAACTATTTTGTTTTTTATCCTACATTTTGGAAATGTACATACAGGCTTTCCCCCTTTCAATTATTTGGGGGCCCCCAGAGAGTGGGGCCCTAAGATATAGCTTGCTTAGCTTATACGTAAATCAGGCAACTGCCTGATACCCGACAAACAAATTCAGAGCAAACGCCAAACCTTACATAGCGGGGCAAAGGCAGACGTCGGCTGCCGGAGCGACCGCGGGCGGCAGCGCAACACCGGCTCCAGAACGGGTGGCGCTTGCCGTTCCACGCCCCCCACCCCCGCGGAGACCCCCACCAGGTTGTGTAACCGGGAGCAAACGACCCCCATCCAGCAACCGCGAAAGGCAACAGCCGCGAACTCCCCGCCCCGGGAGAGAGAGAGTGCGCAGGCGCGAAGGGAGCGTCCTTCCCCCCCCCCCACCCCGCTCCACCCGGCCGCTCCCGCCGCCGCGCTCTCTATGGCCGGGCGGAGCGGAGGGCGGGGCTGACGTGACGACGGCCCGTCGGGCGGGTCCCGTGATGGCCGCCGCCGCCGCGGCCGTCGTTCTGTCAGTCGGCGCGCTCCCGGCTGCTGCTGCCCCAGGACCGGCTCCCGGACGCCACCTCCGCGACGCCATGGCCGACGACGAGAGCCCGGAGTCGGCCGGCGAAGGGTGAGTGCGGGGAAGGGGGGAGGGAGGCCGGTTCGGCGAAACAGGCGGGCGGAGGGACACACACGCAAACGCACATACACACACACACGGCTACACGCATGTAGGCGCGCCTCGGTTTTGTGCTGCGGGGGGCACCTGCGTGAGGCAGGTGCAAGTGCAGAGGAGGACGCCTTACGTAACTGCCCCCCCGCGCGCTCTTGTTAGCCCATGTAAACACGAGGAAGTGCCCCCCCCATCGCATCCTTCCTGACCCAACTTGGGTAGCCCTATGTTTTATTGCTGGGAATAAGGGGCTGATTTAAAGGTCCTTTTTTACAAAAAGAAAAGGGGTGTGTGAGAGGTAGTGTTATTTTATTGCTGGGAATAAGGGGCTGATTTAAAGGTGCCCCCCTCATCTTTTATTTTAAAAAAGGGGTGTTGAAACCCAGCCATCTTCCCCTGTGGTTCCCTCTCCAAAACATTGATTTGGGGATGGAGTCATGGGGAGAAGTTTGATGCTGCCACATAGGCAGGTAGGCTAGCAAGATCTGTGCTGTCTCTCAAGCAGCTGGGCGGTTTTCCCATAAATGCTTCTCTAGAAATGTGAGTTCCTTACATCGTAGGCATAACAAGTGTTTCTGGCGCCTTTGCGCTCCAATAATAATAATAAAAATAAAATTACTATCTATACCCTGCCCATCTGGCTGGGTTTCCCCAGCCACTCTGGGTGGCACCCAAAAGAATATGAAAAACACAGTAAAACTTCAAGCATTAAAAACTTCCCTAAACAAGGGCTGCCTTCGGACGTCTCCTAGTGAGGCCTTGGCGTTTGGGGGACCAGTTTGCTAAACCAAGGAATCAAAGCAAGAAGGAAACCTTTGCTGGTGTGAAGTGTATTGAGAGAGGGGTTTTGTATAAGCGCCCTTATACCATAATGGGCACAAGTCATCATGGTTGCACAGTTTTAAAAAATGATGTCTGGACAGGCCCTTTTTTTGTTGAGCTTCACATTTTGAGGATGTCAAGGGGGGGTTAAATATCTTGGTGAGTTCTGGCTCAGGTTCAACCCATATAAAGTGGTTCCTGCTGTTGTAAATCATCCCGCATAACCCTTTCATAATAAAACCACCATGTATGGTTACTCATATGTGTGTGTATATTATTCTAACTGTATTGATACACAATGATAGATGCTGGCACATCCATATACTGTGCTGACTCTAAAGCAGGTTTTTTGCTGTTTCCCCATATGGCTTCTCCAGAAATCATTCAAGTGCACTTGACAACCTAAAAAATGCCTCAATTTTAGCACATGCTTCCATATGTACTCAAACCCCCACCTTCCGCTGACTTTATCTTTTGAACTTCGTCTGCCCCCACTTTTTATAATTTTTGTATATGTATTATCCATTTTGTACTTCCTTGTACAGTATCTGGATCTTCAGTCTGTCTCCTAAAAAAACACCTTTCATAGACATACTGCTTCTGCCTTCTCAGTCACTGATATATATTTAGTAGCATCTTACCTAGATATCCTGTTCTCTTAGTTTCACATATTTCTCCATCTTCTACATCAGTTGTGTCTATTAGCTCCCTCCTTGTCCTTCCACCAGCAGGTGAAGAAGACCTTATTTCAACTGGCTTTTGGGAACTTTTAATGAAAACACAGGCGCCATGCTGTTTTCATTGTAATTATCCATATGTTTTTATAGATCTTTAATATTTATTCTATTTAATTGCCTATTAGTTTTATGTTTTTAGCTTTTTATTTTATTTCCTGTCAGGGAAAAAGGCAGAGAATAATAATAATAATAATAATAATAATAATAATAAGACTGAGTGGTAACAGCTCTCCTGCATCTCTTCAGGTCATCTTCTATCAGATACTTTTATGAAGAAATGGCAGGGGGTGTATTTAGAACTTTCTGTGTGAAAAGCATGTGCTTTACCACTGAGCTATAATCCCCACTTTCCCATTCCTTCCATCTTTTCAAAATACAAACCCAACTCAATAAATACTCAGTATTATGCTTTCTCAAATTCTCCTTGCCCCTCTAAGCTTCCTGCTGTGTACCCTCAATTATTCTTATGTATATATTGCAAAATAGTTTATTCTTTACATTTACTTCCTCTGTTACTTACAGTAGCTTATCCCAAGTATAGATTACAATAGTTTATTTGTTCTCCTAGAACTTGTACTGTTGGCCTTTGTATAATTAGATCACAATGCACGTTATGTGTTAAGTACCTGCTGTCCTGGTTATTTCAGTTCCTTGAGTTTGTCTGTTCTCCATGATGTATATGTTCTGTTCTGCCACAAAACAATTCCCACAAATCATGGTTGTCTCCCAAGTGCACACTTGACCTACGCAAACCAAAAATGACAAATTAATGCTTAGTTTTGATATAGCATTTGAGGGGATTCAAGCTGTTTCGTGTGCATTGTTTCTGTAATTTGTATAATCCTCCTTCAAGGCAGGTAAGATTTATGTGCTTATTGCAAAATGGGCATGGACTTTCTTGTAAGTTCATAGCTGGTTTGAGATTTGAACTAGTGGTTAGAAGTTTTTCTTCTTCTCATAGAACTGTAGAGCTGGAAGGGATCCTGACGGTCATTTAGTCCAACTCCCTGCAATACAGGAATCTCAACACATGGTCCCCCATCCAATTTGAAGCCATACCAGACCCTGCTTAGCTTTGCAAATGTTCAGTAGTTTCTGTGAAGTGGTAGAGTCCTGTTCAAGTCATAACAAGCTGAGTCTGGGAAGACTTTGGATAGATATAAAGAAGCACTTCACACAGCTCGTATCTAAATTATGAAATTCATTACCAAAATATGTAGTAATGACTATCAATTTGGAAGCTTAAAAAGGGATCAGGTGAATTCATGGAGGATTAAGCTGCCAATGGCTATTAACCATTATATCTATATGATGCCAATATATATGTGATATGCCCCTGGATATCCGTTGCTGGAAAGCCCAAGTGGGGAGGACGCTGTTGTGCTCCTCTTATTATTATTTTTTATATATAGTCTCTTTGCCACAGTGCCACACCAGTTCAAAAAACTAGTTTGAACTACCTTGCCCTGTTGGACATGCCCAATAAGACAGTCACGTCTCTTGTTCTGGGAAATGAAATCAGTGAAATACCTGTGTGATATTTGATGTCATATGACTGATTTGCGTGGTATTAATTTCTATTGCTGTACTTAGTCACATTCTACAGGATGAGCCAGTCATGTAACCTCTGCCCCCCATTATGTGTTTCTTCAGCAGTTTCGTTATGCCCAGCATTGTGGTAGATCAAGAATAATGCATGTCAAAATTGCATGTAGAATCACAGTGCTATGAGGATTTTAAACTGTACATGCTCCTCTCAATGGCTCTTTTGGTAAGGGTCAAACAGAAATCTTTAATTTGGCTGCTTCTGCTTTGGAGAAAAAAGTGTTAATGGATGGATTGTTAATCATAGTCAGTTGCCTGTTTCCTGCTAAAGACCACTCCCTCCTGGCTGCTTTTTACCCCTAAAAGCAGGCATAGGCAAACTCGGCACTCCAGGTGTTTTGGGACTACAGTTCTCATTATCCCTGACCATTGGGAGTTGTAGTCCAAAAACATCTGGAGGGCTGAGTTTGCCTATGCCTGCCTAACAGTGATGCTTACTATAATCAACATCTCTGCAGGCAAAGAGCAGCCAGAATGGGAGGAGTGATTTTCAGCAGAAAGCAGGCATGGGCCCCCGATCCAAATTTGGAACAAGTTCCAGATTGGAGTTTCAGCTGCAATTTCACCATTAATGGCACAACACATGTGGCCTGACATTAGGGCTGGACAATATCTCATCCAAAACATGTTTCAAGTCCATATTGTAATATTGGTTTCACAATTTTAGATCTGGCATTATATCACTTATCTTAATTGTGCTGTGCAACAATCACAATGTGGGGAAACCGTGAAGCCAACCAGTGCCTCTGCATAGCCCCACCCTTATTTCAGATATTGTGATATATCAGTATATTGAGATGTTGAAAACCAGGTATCCCCCAGCCCTGCCTGACATACACTTGACCTTTTTTTGGAGGGGTACAGAGCAAATCAGGGGCTCATTTGTGAGTTCGTTGTGATGAATAGATCATTCCCTGGTGGAGTTTAGGCTGGGTATTGCACCCTACTAGGGTTCCATCTATATTGGAGCAGTCTGGAGTATTGTGGCCTGAAGATGTGGACAAGCTGCTTGAAGTGCTGCCAAGGACTGATTATTGCTTCACTGGAGGAGGGAGAAGTTCCATCTGCCTTGAAGGAAGCAGTGGCGTACCCACTCCTCAAGAAGACCTCCCTGTGTCCCTTTGGGGCAAGGTGTTTGAGAGAGTGGCAGGCTCCAGCTTCCAGCTGGAGCCATAACATTGATGGCCTAGCCATAACACTGATAAAGCCTTCTTTGCCCTAGTTGACTCCATCAGCTGGGAGAGATACGGTGATAGGTGTGACCCTGGTTGTTTTGCTTGAACTTTCAGCAGCTTTTTATACTGTTGACCACAGTATCCTTCTGGAGCACAGTACTTCAGCGATTCTGTTCCTATCTCCAGGACAGCTTCCAGAAAGTGATTATGGAAGGCCACTGTTCCACACCATGGAAACTGTGGTGTGTTGTTTGTCAGGGTGTTGTCATGTTCCCCATACTGGGCGCTATCCTCAGTAGTTTCGGTGTGATCAATATGTAGATGACACCCAGGTCTGTTTCTCTGCTCCATCTGAATCAGGGCATTTAATATACCCTTGACAATAGGAAGCAAATGTAGATCATGGACTAGTATGAGGATTTGAGATATGAGACTGAAAAGCTCATTAAAAGGAGGGCTGCCGATTCCACACAGTGCTATATAGCTTCAGTTGTAGCCTTCATCCCTCTGCAAGTAAAAAGAATACCTTGGGGGTTTATTTTATTTTATTGTTTGCCACTCTAGCAGCTTGGGGATCCAACCCAGGTGGGTCTGTGGCAGTTCATGTAAGCAGCCTGAATGTACTAGTGCAGCTTGTTGGTCTCCTGTCGTGCTTTTCAGAAGGCAGGCAGCTAGCCATTGGTTTGAATACAACCAATACCTGAGACAATAAGGAACTTGCATAAAATTGATGTCGCATGGAAGGATCTTAGCTCAGTGGTATAGCAACCGCTTCACATACAGAAGGTTAGCCATTTTTGCTGCTGCATCACACTGTTGACTCATGTTAAGCTTGTGGTCTACTAAGACCCCTAGATCCTTTTCACATGTACTACTGGCAAGACAGGTGTCCCCCCCCCCCCCCGTTGTATATTTGTGCAATTGGTTCTTCCTGCCTAAGTGTAGACCCTGTTGAAATTCATTTTGTTAGTTTTGGTGCAGCTTTCAAATCTGTTAAGGTCATCCTGAATCCCAATTCTGTCTTCTGAGGCATTAGTTACCCCTCCCAGTTTGGGGTCATATGCAAAGTGGATGAGCATCCCCTCAGATCCTTCAGGCAGGTCATTTATAAAGACGTTGAACAGCAACAGACCCACCCAGAACAGAACTCTGCGGTACCCCACTTGTCCTTTTTTCCAGGATGATGAGGAACCGTTTGTAAGCACTCTTTGAGTTCAGCCAGTCAACCAGCTACAAATCCACCTAACAGTTAACCTCATCCATTTTGCCAGCTTTTCTGCAAACAGATCACAGGGGACTTTTGTCAGAAGCCTTACTGAAATCAAGATACACTACGTCCGCAGAAGATTATTAGAATTGGTCCTAATATCATGGAGGCTGAGAAAACAAGAGAAACCCTTAAATGGCCTATCTTATTTACAATCTCATGTTGGTGTTTGGCAAGTCAAGGGCCAATGTAATTCTCCAGTTGTGTGCCTAGAAAACTCCGGGTGGACGAATTCTCTTCTATAATAATTTTTCCCCCTTTGATTGCTTGAGTGCCATCTTTTCTCAATACAAAGTTCAAGAGGCAATAATTATACAAGGAAAGAGCTGTTTTTACCTCTGACCTAATGTAGCAACGTTCTGCAATTATCTGCCAAGGGCTCTTGGAACAGCTGGCGTACAGAACACTTCCTAGAAATATTGTGCAGTAGCTCCCTCCCCTCTCCCTTGGTATTCCTCTCCAGGGTAGGAACTATAACCCACTACTTTGTTTTAAAGATAAACTCGCAGAAGCGGATTAAATGTACCCACCGTGAGGAACGAAGCCCCATCTGAGATCTCTTCGGAATGAACTACCTGTCAGGAGCAGCTTGATAAACAATGGTTGCGGCGAACATGGTGTCTTTAATCTGCAGCAGTATATGTGACTCTGATAGTTTAACTGCCCATAGTGCAAGCGACTCAGATTATCCCATGTCACTTCAAAGTAATCTCGATCCAGCACCAGGAGCTGTCTCCACCCTCTGTACCATGGTACCGTTTTCCTTTCTATGGACCTGTTGTTGCTGTTGGGTCTTGAGATCCATTTCCTCTTGCAAACTCTCCTGCTAGCATCCAATGAGGGCTTTAATTGGATGCCCACTCTTTGGCTGTGTTCCCCAGCCAAAGGAAAATGATGTATACTTATTAATGTGAATAAACTCAGGCCTCAGTAATATTTATTGCATGGATTAATTGTGTTCCACTGTGTTCCATTTGGATCTTCTGAGCAGTTACTGAGATCTGATATAAAATTGGAGCTTCAAATCCTGTCTTCAATTTTTGGTAGTTTCCTAAATAATTTTAGCAACTTTGCCCACTGCCTCAGCTCTACACACACACACACACACACACACACACACACTCACACTCAGTGTGTTCTACTGTTCTATTTATTTCGTTTTATTTTTAAATTGCATTCTCACACCTGACTCTACAATATGAGGGATGTGGTTTTGTGCTGACATTACTTGCAACGTGGCCCTTGAATTACTAGGTTATGCCTCAGGTTATTTTTTGCACAGTGTCATTGTGTGACGACTTAAGGGTGCTATGTGGTGGTTACTGGTTTTCCTGGAGTGTGCTCATATATACCATCACAGGATGTGGTAGTAGCATGATGCCAAATTTATTATACCTCAGTGAAAAGTCTTATGAACTGGTTCATTACACTGAATGCCCAGGAGGCATTTGGCTATATCACTGTGCTTTTTTAATTATGAAACCTGACTTTCCATATATTATGTCCCTTACTCCTCTCATGTCCTCATGGGCAGGAGATGACTTCTGTTCTGCCCCACCCCGCCTTTCTCCTTTATATAAGCCAGAAAGCAAACTGAATGGAAATGCTCTTTAAAAGAATGCTGTGCTGTATTCAAAAGGTTTCATGTTTCTCCATGTCAGTCGGCTGTAAAATTCTGTCATCAAAGTAGAATTTAAAATGTGCTGCCTCCACAGTGCCGCATTTTATACCAGTGCCAGTTTCAACTTCGTTCCTGTGCAAACACTAAAGACCACTGCGGCCAGATCTTCAATTCTCTGTCTCTCGAAATCGCTATCTCCATTCACAGTAATGCTTGGCTAGCAAAGCATGCTGGATTCTGTCACTTCCTTTCTGCGACAAGACAATCATTGAGCCCTGTGTGGAAATCTGGGAATAGGAGCGGTGGTTGTTTAAGGTTGCAAAATGAAGTGTCGTGGTTTAAACTGGATTAACTTTGTAGAAAATGTTTTCCTCGTGCAAATAAACCAGGCTTGTATGAAGGTCAGGATACTGGCATGGTTTCCATAGTAGAACGTGCTGACATTCCTTAACTACTTTTATTTTTATTTTGTATTTCATTTTTCACATATGTTTGTAGTGTGCCACCTGGCAACTAAATTATTGACGTGAAACAGCATTCAAGACATGGGCCTACTTAGCTTCATGCAGAGGGCATGATCTAGCCCAGCAAAATGTTTCCCTTGACTAACGAACCACTGTGCCATATCGGAAACTTCTTTGAAGCGCCCTCATTTTAAAAGACAACTTACTATGCAGCACCAGAGCTACACATGAGGGGAAGAAGGAATCTGAAGGTCCCTTTGGCTCATGGAGCTTCACAGTTCTTTAGATCCTGTCTGTGATCTTCACTACTTTATCAATATATCTAACGTCCCTATGCATCAAGTTGAAGAAGCCACAGTCAAGAAAGCTTGGGCTTGCATTTATTCAAAATAATATTTTTCTATCTAAATTTCCTCTTTCAGCCTATTGATTTGCTTCGGATTTGCGGACAGGTTTGTCTTGGTCAGGGTATCTTGGCAAAGTATCACGAGCTGTAGTGTCCCAGCTAATTTGCAAATTCAACCTCAGAAAAGCTCACACAAGAAACTGTTTTCCTCAAAGCAGTGGGCAAGCTGCCATTTTGGAGGTGTAAATGCTGAATTTGCCAGCTTTGAGAATAGATGTGACACAGCCCTTAGATTTTGCAGATGATCATCTGTTGTGGTCTACTTCTACACTTGGGACAGAATTGTCTGTTCCCACATGAACTTGCCTGTAAGTTAAGATCTTCTCCATGTGCCCCTACCTTCAGAGGTTAAGTGGGTGCTGCTGGAGCAGAGGGCCTTTCCAGTGGTGGTCTGAATTGTGGGACTTAACTCGCTAGACACGTTTGCCTGGTTTGCCTTCTTTTTTTCTTTTTTGGTTGGAATAAATTTATTTCATCTGTCTGTAAACAAGGTGTTTAATAGTTATCACATTTTTTGAAATGCATATTAAATCAGATGAATTAGACTGTATCCCAGATGTAACAAAGTTCAGGGAAATAAATGGACAAATCAGCAGCAAGAATTTGTTTTAAGTCTGTACCTTATCCACAAAGGCCCGAACAATAGAAGCAAATACTAGTGTCTCTAAAGTAGTGCCATTCAGAAGAAATCTTTCTTGTCAGTTAAAATCCATCTCACAATAGCAACAGTTCATTTTTTAAAAACATTAGTATGGCACAGAATACATTAAAAATTCATCACAAGACAGCCAACTCAGTTATTCCAACCAAGACCATCTTCCATTTTCTCTTTTGTATACAGAGTTCTGCAGTTCTCTTTTAAATGGACATACAAGTTAGTAATGTGCTCAAACTGACAATTTGGTTACACGTGTTTCGGATGACTAGTGCACAAGGCAGTTCACAATTTCTGCAGCAAGGGCATAACAGGCCAAATGAAGATTAGATTTGAAATGGCATCCGTTTGGACCGTTTTATCTTACAACTACCAACCTTCAAAACATACACTGATATCAGAGCAGCAAATCTTATTTCTCAGTTGATGATCTGACAGACTGATCTCAGACTAGGCTATAGGTGTATAGCTGGAGGTGGTAGTTTGTTGACAATGACAACCCAAAGCTGCAAATCAAATTGGTCCTATGAAAAAATGAAACCGAACACACTCCAGATGGTTACACTGGGATATCTAAAGTCCATGATGGCAGCCTTTTTACATTTCAACTACAGAACAGGAGCTGGCAAAAACAAAATTACGTGCCTGAGCTATTGCAGTGATGGAATGTCCCTGGGGATTCATTCAAGATGGGCATGGTGGTGAAGGGGAGGGGAGGGGAGAAGACCATCGGCACCTTTTCATAGTTTTGCAGTTACCCTTTTAAAAGCAGAATGCGCTTCAGACACCATGAAGAGTTTTGCAAGTCTACACAGAAGAGCAGCAACAAAACTAAAGCAACACTTGTGACAGCTTTCAAGCAGCAAATTGGTTAAATAAACCAGGCACTGTATTTAAAAATGTATATACAGTGGTACCTCGGGTTAAGTACTTAATTCGTTCCGGAAGTCCGTACTTAACCTGAAACTGTTCTTAACCTGAAGCACCACTTTAGCTAATGGGGCCTCCTGCTGCTGCCGCGCCGCCAGAGCACAATTTCTGTTCTCGTCCTGAAGCAAGGTTCTTAACCTGAAGCACTATTTCTGGGTTAGTGGAGTCTGTAACCTGAAGCGTATGTAACCCGAGGTACCACTGTATATAGATAGATAGAGATGGAAGCAAACAAACAAAAAAGAAGAGTGGATTAAAGGTAAGGACAAGGGGGAAGAAAGTAGAGATATGCATGCACTTTTCCTCTCCCAACCATGCTCTACAAAAGGAATGATGAGCTGGGCAATTGCTCAAAGTGCTAAGGAGACATTGATCAATCTGGATTGTACAATCGGACCTTATCTAGTTTAATTTAAATTGGTTTTGTTCTCAATGTCACACCAATTGCTAAGACAAGGAATGCCTGGACTTAGCATGATTGCCTCCCAAGGCTTCAATGTATCATGCATATCATCTTTTGTGTTGCAAAAGATGGTGCCAGATACAGAACATGGGGGGGGGAGAGAGAGAGAGAGAGAGAGAGAAGGCAGAGGGAGAGCAGCGGACGAGACTCTGGTTTGCTGCCTTTATCACCTTTTAGGCAGCATCTGGGGGGATGCTGCAGGGTCTTCTCGCTATAGGAAAACAGGTTAGTTACTTGAAGTTGCAGTGGGGGTTTACTATCCTCAAGAAGACAAAAAAGAAAGAAGTCCTTAGTATTTGACACTTGGACTACTGCAATGCGCTCTACGTGGGGCTACCTTTGAAGGTGACCCGGAAACTGCAATTAATCCAGAATGCGGCAGCTAGACTTGTGACTGGGAGCGGCCGCCGGGACCACATAACACCCGTCCTGAGAGATCTGCATTGGCTCCTAGTACGTTTCTGAGCACAATTCAAAGTGTTGGTGCTGACCTTTAAAGCCCTAAACGGCCTTGGTCCTGTATACCTGAAGGAGCGTCTCCACCCCCATCATTCAGCCCAGACACTGAGATCCAGCGCCGAGGGCCTTCTGGCAGTTTCCTCATTGCGAGAAGTGAGGTTACAGGGAACCAGACAGAGGGCCTTCTCGGTAGTGGCGGCCACCCGGTGGAACGCCCTCCCTTCAGATGTGAAGGAAATAAGCAGCTATCTTCTCTTTAAAAGGCATCTGAAGGCAGCCCTGTTTAGGGAAGTTTTCAATATTTAATGCTGTATTGTTTTTAACACTCGATTGGAAGCCGCCCAGAGTGGCTGGGGAAACTCAGCCAGATGGGCGGGGTATAAATAATAAATTACTATTATTATTATTATTACTTCCTTCTCTGTAATAAAGAACATCTTTCTTAAAAATATGAATGTACTTTCTCCAGATGGGTTGCATAAAACTCCATACACTGCTCATTTTCAGGAGAGAATTGTTCTTATTAATGGGAGGAGTGACAAGTCTGTATCTGAATCCCAGGCATACTGTTCTAATTGTAGTGCTGATGAATCTCTAGGGTAGGTTGTTGGAGGATCCTAATTTAGGGCGGGGAGGATTAAAAATGGATTAGTGAAATTTATGGAGGATGAAGCTGTCAGTGGCTACTGGTCATGATGGCTATATTTCTTCCATTGTTGGCAGCAGAGTGCTTCTGAATACCAGCTTCTGGGGATCTTGAGTGGGAGGGCTATAACACAGTGTTCGAAAATAGCCAGGCGCATTAAGAAATGAAATTAGACAGGCGCATGAACTATATCTAAGGTTCAAGTGCAGCTACCTCCAAGGTTTGTTCCTGTGCTTTCAAAAAACTGGATGCTTTTTAAAAACTATATTTTAGTTTACTTTTTAAAATCATATTCTATTTTAGATACGTAGCCCTACTTCAAAACAAAGTAGCTCAAGGCAAAACAATATTAATAAAGACTTGGGTTTAGAACATCACGCATAGTACTCTGTGCATGCACAGAGCAGTTTTCAGTTCTCTTCTCTGGAAACAGCCCCTGCATCCCCCAGAAGCCTCTCCTGAAGGTCGGGGAACTCTCCCGAGTCACAGCCCATGAAACATAAGGGGCTGCCTGCATATCTGGAAAATTATCAAGTGTTTTGCCTGCACATGTAGATCTCCTGGTTTCCAGCCGTCCTCTGCTGTAGATATGCTACAATATGACATCATGAGTAGTCTGTGAAATAATTTGTAGTACTAAAATGTTGACCGCATTGGCATTTTGATGATGGTTGAAGAACTAACTGATACTATGCACAGGAAAAGGGTGGTTTGTAACATCCAGGTACAAAAAAGAATTGAGTGACTTGCATGTACATTTTGAGGGCAGGAAGTACGCATTTATGACTGTGAGCAATGGACTTTGATTTCTCTGTTCCAGCACAGTTGATTCATTGTACCACCTCTACTCAGGCAATATCTGCAAAGTTTATGTGTCGCTTGCCTATGTTACAGACAATCTTAAAGGTATTAGTACACAGGTTTACAAATGTGAGATGATAGGTTTGAGGGTTTGCTGTTGACATGTTTAATAGAACATGTGGTCACTCACTTAATATATATATATATATATATATATATATATATATATATATACACACTCTGCTAGATCAGTTCACCATCTAGGTTAGTATCCCCGTAGCTGTCAGCAACCAAGAGTTGCTGCAAAACCCCCAAACCAATGTATGAAAGCAGTGATCCTTATCCTTTGCCCTCAGCAACCAGTATTCAGTGATGTGCTGGCTCTGAACCCAGACGTTGCATTGAACTGCTATGACTAATAGTATACCCCTCTCCTCCATGAATTTGTCTTAATCCCCTTTAAACGCCATCACCAGTAGCAGTCTGGTGACACCTTGGCCCACGAATTCTAATGACCATCCTCAATGGCTTCCTATAGATCAAGAGTTTCCCAAACTTGGGTCTCCAGCTCTTTTTGGACTACGATCCCCATCACCCCTGAACACTGGTCCTGGTAGCTAGGGGTGGTGGGAGTTGTAGTCCCAAAACAGCAGGAGTCCCAAGTTTGGGAAACCCTGATAGAGATATTGGTGGCAGGATAGCGCCCTACAGGACACCAAAAGTGCCCCCTTTTCCGGCCACTTCCGGTTCACTGCGGTGCACACATGCGCAGTCAAGCATCAATCGGATGCACGTCAATTGGGCGTTGCTTGTACTTTAAAATTGCAAACCACCTTGGGTACCTTGGCACAGAAAGGCAGTCCATTAATGCAATACATTAATTACGCAGGTGTTTGCAATCTCTTTGTGAATTGCAGGCCTGGGGAAAAATTGTCTGATGCTTCCACACATGCAAGATATTATGAAACGTATGTTTGTACATCTTTTAAAAATCAGATCTTAAAATTTTAGAGACTTGGCTGTTTTGCTGTTCCGGTAGCATGCAACTTATGCACATTTAACTTGTCTGCATTCAGTTTTACATGCTTGGCAAAAACAAACAAAAACCGTTTTTAAGAGGGCAGGAGTCTGGGAAATAAGAATTTGGCAGTCCTGCCCACCATTGAACCCAGTGTGTTTTTACTAGATGTGGTTTTGGCTGTATGCACTTATCCCTGGAACGTATACCCCGTGTAAGTTAAAGGTAAAGGGACCCCTGACCATTAGGTCCAGTCGTGACCGACTCTGGGGTTGTGGTGCTCATCTTGCTTTATTGGCTGAGGGAGCTTCTGGGTCATGTGGCCAGCATGAGTAAGCCGCTTCTGGCGAACCAGAGCAGCACACAGAAACACCGTTTACCTTCCCTCCGGAGCGGTACCTATTTATCTACTTGCACTTTGACGTGCTTTTGAACTGCTAGGTTGGCAAGAGCAGGGACCAAGCAATGGGAGCTCACTCCGTCGCAGTGATTCGAACCGCCGACCTTCTGATCGGCCAGTCCTAGGCTCTGTGGTTTAACCCACAGCGCCACCCACGTCCCACTATGTAAGTTTAGAATTGCCTATACTCCATTTCAGATACGCTTTAAGGAACAAACACGCACAAAAAATGGCCAGATTCCAGGTGGCTGTATGTGGTGCTTTTTGCACAAACATGAGCTTTTCTGACCCCTTTGCTGCTGCAGCTTTCTGTCCACCCATGCCCCTGCAAAAAAAAAACCCCAAACCAACCCAGTCCCCTCCGGGCAAGGTGTGATGCAGCCAGTGGGCAAGGGGGATTGACGACGCACATTATTGGTGCATGTGGCTTTCCATAGATATATTTTGCTTTTTAGAGCTCTAGCCTCCGTTACCTAGAGTGAACCTTTGTCAAACTTATTTCCCTTTGCGTGCGCACGTTTAAATGAAGTCAGCAGGAGGAAAGATTGAGAAATAAGTTGTTTGTGTAAAAGTTTCATTGAGGTCAAGGCCTTTGGTGGCAGAAGGGGTTTTTGTTTTGTTTTTTCAAAGGTCCCAGACCACGGTCTGAAGGTATGTGATAGATAACAGCAGGCTTGCTGCTGTTAAGTGGGTCTGATTTTGGTCAGTGCTTGCCTGGACATGAAACTGCCTGGCCAGTCTGTGTACCCTGCCTTGAGTCTCGTGACGAGAGGGAGGCTAGATATAAATGTAAAAATTATTGTCATTTATGTTACGTGTGGTGGTTTTTTAAAAAAAATAAAAAAGCATATGCTTGTATGCATATGTATGGAGACAATAGGTGCACTTAACAAGCATATTGTATAAAATTTGGTGTGTGTTGTGTGTATAGGTACACACACACACACACACACACAGCTGGTCAGTTGCATAACTAATGGCTATGGACTTTCCTCGGACGTGACCTGTTTTATATCCTGTACCATAAAACTTTTGTGTAAGGTCATGATTCAAGCTAATAATGCTCACACACAAATAAATGAGATAAAGTGTTTCTTCCTACCCTGTGCTATAATTAACTACCAAGACGGCAGTTGTTTTCCTGCTTTGCTGTACTGACCTGACCACTCCTTTTCATGCCCTTACTCCTAACCACCATCCCACAGCAGACCTGTTTTACCCCAGATGTGGGTACCATGCAAGAGGTGCTTTTTGGATTCCCCTAATGAGGCTAAATTTAATTATCACTGATTTGTGAGGTACCAGATGTTACTAAATGTTATGATCTGCGGTCCTTGAAGTTTGTGTGACTAGAACTGGCTGTGACTGCCACCGGCTTTTGACGGCAAGGTGTATAAGCAGTGTTCGAAATTAGCCGGGCACATTTTGCACCTGACTATTGGCCACTTGCGATCAAGTGAAGATGTCTGGGTGCCTGGATAGCACCTGACATTTCCACCATCTGGAGGTGCATGCCTGGGACCTGGACTGCTTTCACATACTAATACCTCGTCCTGTAGAATATGATCAGTTATATTTTATCTGCATAATCAGAATGAATTCAAGGAAGCAAAATGCTTCTTATGCGCAGCCTGAGCAGGAGCGGTGAACGTTATAGCTAATTGTTGTAGCTTTTCTTTACCTACCCTACCCCACCCCATTGCCCTGCTCACAGTTGTTCTTCTGTTTTGAATAGTAGGAATAGGCCAGTGTGTGTGTGTGTGTGTGTGTGTGTGTGGACCTGTCCCTGGATCAAGTGACTTTTCTTCTTTAAGTTCTCAAAGTTCTTAACGTAGCTGAATGTTGTCAACTGAACTAGCCAGATGTTTAACTTAGCATCAATCACAGTCAGTCCATCATTTGAAAAATAAGACTTTAGGGCCGTCTTGCCCCAAAATGGCAACTAGACATCCTGTTTTGGCGACTGTAATGTTGGCTTAAGGAGCCATTTTTCACCTAGGTTATATATCTGAGTTTCTAACACTGTGTGTAAGATATTTTAGATATTGCTGAGTGGATTGGTAATGGCCCCAAATGCAAGTCCAAATGAGTTTCTAATTCTCTCCTTCAGTGATTAGCCAAGAACTCTTAATCCCTTGCACACGGCCTACTTACAGTTAGTAGCATATGCGTGTTTAATACAGTCGTTTCACTCTCATTACTCTAGGTCAGGATGGCTGTCCAGTTGGCTACCTGCTTGGTGTCCTACATCACTGGTACATCTTAAGGATGCTGAAGAGAAAATATTGAAATGTAAGCACTTTGTGGTAAGAAACCTCAGGAATTACTACACGTGAGCACCGTGGAAAGAATGTGGGGTTTTCATCAGGCCTTGTTTAAAGCACAGTTGTCGATATCTTCTGCTAGGGATTGAGGGTTTTGTGAAATTTTCATTAGGCTGATTTTCTCCCCTCCCCGTAAAAGAAGAATGAGTGGGACCAAAGTTATGCTAGTTACACATCCAGACAGGCAGTTCTTGTGAGATCTGCTCCAGATAAATGCCATCAGTGAATAAATTTTTGAGGATGTAGGGCGGACTGCAATATGAGTTCCGCCTTTGAACTTTTCCCCCTTATTTTTCCTTTTGGTGTGATTGGTCCTGAGATACTGTTGCACTTTTTGACCATTGCCCTACCTTCTTTTTTCTTTATCTTTTCCTAAAATTAATTCATTTGTGCAATCTCTTATTTGAACACAAAAAAGGACTTACAAAAGATAAGCAAAGTATAGTACTATACAAATCCAATATGATATTATTATTATTTGTTGAATTTATATACCGCCCTATACCTGGGGGTATCAGGGCTGTTCACAGAATAAAAATATAAAACCACAAAATACATAATAAAAATAAAAACAGCAACCCAATAGCCCCCATCCCCAAAAAAACATGTTTTAAAAGGGTGTAGGATATCAATCAGATCAACCAAAGGCCTGGTTACAAAGGAACGTTTTTGCCTGGCGCCTAAAGGTGTATAATGAAGGAGCCAGGCGAACTTCCCTGGGGAGGGCATTCCACAGAAGGGGAGCCACTGCAGAGAAGGCCTGTTCTTGTGTTGCAACTAGACCTCTCAATGAGGCACACGAAGAAGGGCCTCAGAAGATGATCTCAGGGTTCAGGTACGTTCATATCGAAAGAGGAGGCTCTTGAGGTACCACACCTTTGTTTATCAGCAATTTTAAAAAATGACTCTGTAAACCTGATATCCTTCCAGATCTATCTGTGTTTAGTTCTTAACATTTGAGAATGTAGAGCATAAGGGATGGATGTTTGGCTTATACAGATTCTTGCCTTTATGAGGTCTTGTAAGTTGTGCAAAGACTACACAGTCCTCAAAAGGAGGAGAAATGTGAGCCTCATAACGTAACTCTGCCACCTTTATGGCTAGCACTAATCCCTGCCATTCTGATTTTGTTATAAATGCTATGATGAAAGTGGGAGTATCTGCCTGTGGACATGCTGTAATAAACGCCCTTATTTTTATAGGGCTGTTTAGGTATCGTTGTTTAATAAGATTTGCACTTCTCTTTCTTCAGGTATCACAAGTACATACAGTAAACAGTATGTCTTCATATCCAATGGAAACAAAATATGGACGCTAACGTTCTCCCACAGCCTCTCTCAGAAAACTCCCCTTGTCCTCCTCCATGGGTTCGGAGGAGGTGTTGGACTTTGGGCACTGAACTTTGAAGACCTTTGTGAAAACAGGACTGTGTATGCATTTGATCTCTTGGGATTTGGACGCAGCAGTAGACCGCAGTTTGACACAGACGCAGAAGTAGCAGAAAACCAGTTTGTAGAATCTATTGAAGAATGGAGGCGGAAAATGGGATTGGACAGAATGATTTTACTGGGGCACAACCTGGGAGGATTCCTGGCAGCTGCTTACTCACTGAAGTACCCATCAAGGTATCTGAAAATAATAGACGAGCGGAAGTTCTTCCGGCATTTCATTCGAAATTCAGTTATAGGTTTGACAGCATAACATTGTCAAACCTGTATGAGGCATTCTGGTTAGAAAACATTCTCTAATGAGGTTGAGATAGAGCATTGTTGAAAAACTAGTTTCATAACTTTAAACTTAAAATGCAAATTGTATTTAACTTGCATCATATGTTTTCCTCTGATTGCACTTGCATGCAATGTAGGGTGTTTTCTACTCTCAAATTTCTCAGCGTACCTTAGATTTTGTGTCCAGGGTGTAGCCGCAGAGTACTTGTAAGCTGTGGTGTAGCCAGACTACCCACTGTTTTTACACAGCCACATGTCACGTTACCAGCATGCAATCACACTGGCCAGAATTTTTTTAAAAAATCCTTTTAGGTGAAAGCATGTTTTAGTTACATATCAGAATAACAAGTGCAGGACAATAGTAACTATAGCATACTCATTTCTTTGTTAGCTGCTTGGATTATGAGCTGGGCTTGAGCACAACTACAGAACAGAACCTAAAGGAGGGTTTTTGATTTGGTTTGGTTTGGTTTATTTTGTGTTTTTATGTTGCAAACCACCCTGTGATCGACAGACGAAGGGTGGTATCCAGATAATAATAATAATAACAACAACAACAGGGCTGGCTAGCTGGTAGTCCTTCAGATGTTGTTGGACTTCAGCTCCCATCTGCCCCAGCCAGCATGACCAATGGTCAGGGGTGATGGGAATCAAGAGTCTCAACAGCCTCTGGATGGCCACAGGTTAGCACTAAAGGAACTGGGGGTGGAGTGGGGAGATGGCTTGTGATGGCAAAGGCAAGAAGCTATGGGTTAACCTAAAGCTGCAGTGTCTGAACAGAACTGAAACCCTGTCCAAGGCTGCCAAGTACCTAGAACTGGTCACATGCGAGTTAGCAAAACAATTCCGTCTTTCTTTGTAAATGCCTATTCTTGAATGACTTTCATAGTATTGTTGCTTATTTATTTGCATGTGTTTCCTAGCAGGATGGTCTCAGTGATAGGAGCCAATTCTGAGGGGCTCAAGTCCCTTTAGTCCCCCAAATAAAATATTTGAGGCGGCCAGCCCCCCCCAAAGTTGATGGGCATTGCCATTCAGATGGTGTGCATGTTCCGTGTTTTGTGGTCAGTTATGCAGGGCTTACCTGGGCATCCCTCCATTATTTTATTCAAGTTGACACCCCTGGGACTCTCAGTAGAATTTTTTGGGGTGCTGTAAAATCCACATAACATATCTGGTGGTAACATGAATGTCTGCTCATGCTTTTACGTAGGTCATATCTCGTTTTCCTTGGAGGCATCCGCTTTCATTTCTAGCCAGTGGCTATGGCAAATGGTCAATTGGTTCTCGTCATAGGCCCATATAGTTCAGTATTGCCTGCACTGACTGGTAACAGTTTCTCCAGGGTTTCTAAATGGAGTCTTTCCCAGGCTGACGTGGAGATAATCGGTACTGAACTTGGGATTTTTGTTTGCAAAGCATGTGCTCTTTTACAGAGCTACAGAAGCAATTGCTGGATTAAGCCACTACATTATAATGTGTAACTTATTGGAGCTGAATAAGTAGGCAGTTTTTGGAAATTAAAATAGAACGTGATGATTTGCTTTGGTTATCTCTGGAATGCCATATATTCTAAGGAAATTGATGTGTTTAACTGGGCAGATACCACTATCTCTCAAGAACTAGAATGCTGACAAACCCAAAGGATTGGAGTATAAAGGACAAATATTTGCAAAATGAGTTGAGCTTTACATTTAAAGGAAGTAAATACCATTCCTTATGCTGCAGGACAAGTCTGTTTAAGAGAAGTTTTCTATGTAAAGAAGGAAGGCTGACCTTTTCCTTAAATGCCACAGAATGCAAATCTTAAACAGGCAATTCCCAATGAAACTATCTGGAAACTAGTTGGGATATATTTCTGGCAGGCTTTTGAGAAATGAAATACAGATGCATGAAGTATGATTTGATAGTTGTGCATCCGTGATGAAAATGTGATGTTCAAGCTTATCAGCTATAAGTACCTTTCATACCAGGTGGCTGTAATAGTATTCAGGAAAAAGAGTTTTTTACCAGTAATGGTATAGTGCTGGAATCAAACATGCCAAGAATAGTTACAGGTGATCCACAATTTTTATTAAAAAAAAATAGGGTACTTCTGTTTGCAAACCAATTTGCAGCCCAATCCTAGCCTCTTTTCTTGGATGTAAGCTCCACAAATTAAATGCAAAATTACTAAGCTGTCTAGATGAATGCTGTTGCTCATCTTTATTTTTTTTTAAAAGAAAAAAGCTGGAAAGGCAGGCAGGCAAGAATACTTTAGTAGACGATCATGCAAATGCTTGTTGCTTTTCTGTACAAGTTTGGCAGAGGAAGAGAACACTAATGGAACATAAAAGACTAACACATCACTATGAAGATGGTGACTTTCCTTGCACAAATATCAGTTTTGTATCATGTGATAAAAACAGCTAGTTGGAGATGCACCCCTTTTCACTCTGAAGAAAAATTGAGCCTTGCTTGTCTCTTAGTGAATACATATCTTCATTCTTCATGCAGTTTATCACCTTTAGCCAATTCCAGATCGTATATGGCTGGACAATTACAAATGTTATTCTAGAGTATGCAAGTGGTAAGAGAGTGCTTGTATGGAGATCTGTTTAGTACTTAGCTGTATTGAGATCTTCTAATGACATATAGTGTTTGGCTAGTGTATCTCAAGAATATTCTGATGTGACATTTTAGTAGTTCAGCAAGGCTGCCATCTTACACACATGTACTTCCAAGAAAATCCCTTGCACATATATGATTATGTGTCACATAGAATCATAGCTAGCTATCTCTAACCACAAGTTAAAGCACAGATTTGCACAGACTGTAGGAAATACTCTGGGTTGCATAATACTACTAGCGGCTGCGCAGTAAATGTCCTTTGAATTTTGACCGCCCATAATCTCCTTTTGTTTCTTGAAATTGGGGTATTTATTCTATAGGGAGGGGAGGGTAATACTTAAAAGGAGTTGAGGCAGTAGCAGGTGGCAGAGCTTTGTTCTGTGTTAAGAGCAGGAGCAACCTAAAATCATTTCATCTGAAAGCTTAGGTGGGGTAGAAATACCCTTGGTGATGCTGGCTCTAAAATACCACGTGTACTATAATACATGTGCTCCTATTGACGAAACGTCCTAACTTTTATACCTGCAGAGCAAAACATCTCATATTAGTGGAGCCGTGGGGTTTCCCAGAGAGGCCTTCCAGTGCCGAACATGAGAGGCCCATTCCAATCTGGATCAAAGCACTTGGAGCAGTTTTGAGTCCATTTAATCCACTGGCTGGTCTCAGAATAGCAGGACCCTTTGGTGAGTGCTAGCTAACGGTTTGTGCTGGTGCCATTGCCTCCTTAACAAAGGGATTACCATCTGCCATCAGTACTGAAAATGTAATAGCTTAGACTTTAGGGCGGCTTTCAGTCCCCATCTGCCACACACCAGCAGTCTAGTGTGGTAGGCAGTGCAGTGTTTTTAGAACACATGATCCCAGTGGGCTCCCCCACTCACTATCCAAGCAGTCACATTCTGCACTAGCTGCAGCTTTTGGGCAGCCTCCAAGGGCAGCCCCACATAACAGTGCATTGCAGCAGTCCAGATGGCAGGTCAGAGAATGGACAGCCGAAGCCTGGCTGTCCCACTCCAAGAACAGCTGTAGCTGGTGCATTGGCCTAAGCTGAGCATAAGCACTCCTTCCCTAACTGCTTCTGCTTTCCAGCTAACTCACATGCTGTAACGATGTATTTATTCCATTATATGAGGAGGAGACTGCCACCTGCAGTGATGCTCAGTGTGTGCAGATACTACCATTCTGCCTAATTGCTCTGGCCTGTGCTTCTCTCACCAGAGTAAAGCAGAGATGGGGATCAGGATCAGCCATGTTTAATTCTCCTTAAGATGACAAAACTGTTGCGAGCTGCGTTCTCATTGCTGTTGAAGGCTGCGGGTAATCGGTGACGGGGGCACATACTGGAGGCCGGCAGCCCACCATTTGTCTTCTAGCTGCTGGGGGAGGGGGGGACAGATCACTCCAGATAGAGAGAGAGATGGAGATCTTCATTCTTGATGATCCACAGCTGTGAAGCACTGTTGCTGATCATTTTTAAAGCACCACCCTGCCAGGTTCTAATTCTTTTTCGCCTTGATTCACGACAGGATTGAGCCTTGTACAGCGCATTAGGCCCGACTTCAAGAGAAAGTACTCTTCCATGTTTGATGACGACACGGTCACTGAATATATCTACCACTGCAATGTGCAGTCACCAAGGTAAGCATACATTAGCAAGTTCTAGATGCTCACAGCAGTAGCAGCACATGGGGCATAGCAAGTGGCGTAACGTAGGTTGCCAGCTAGGATAACTTTGACTGTGATATCCTTGCCCAGCCAGGATGCATAAGAGGCATTCTTATGGGCTTCCCTTCATGTGCAAAACTCTCTTGGCCTAGCAGGCAAGCAAAGTCTACTTCCTGGAGAGGGTAGAATTTCCTGTTTAAAGATGGCAGGGACTGAAGTACAACTTTTTCTTTTACATGGCTTAATATAATACATGGGGCGTTCTGTTGTGATATTTAGTAAACTCTAGAATAATTTGCCTTTTTGCCATTAATTAATCCAGCTGATGGGTTACAAAATCCACTTTAATCATCTGGGGGCTGTTCAGCTCAGCAAACTTTTGGGATGAGAGGTCTTGAGGTTGCTTTGCCAGCCCTCTGACGCCATTTTGATTGAACATTTGCCGTACACTCTCCATGGTTTTACGATTTTAGCACCCCATCCCAAGGAAGCTGCTTCTTATCCATGGAAATAAAAAAATTCCTTCCAGTAGCACCTTAGAGACCAACTAAATTTGTTATTGGTATGAGCTTTCGTGTGCATGCACACTTCTTCAGATACACATGTTTCGACCATGGCAGACCAACACGGCTACCTACCTGTAACTTATCCATGCAGAGAGAGAGAGAGAGTTGGTGGTACTACCACCTAAGCATCAATATGTCTTTCTTTTTGCTGTGCTATACTTGCAAGGTTCCTGCATTATTGCTGTGCTTATTTAAAGCATTAAAGAGCAGTAGTCTCGTAATCTGGTGAACCGGGTTCGCTTCCCCGCTCCTCCACATGCAGCTGCTGGGTGACCTTGGGCCAGTCACACTTCTCTGAAGTCTCTCAGCCCCACTCACCTCACAGAGTCTTTGTTGTGGGGGAGGAAGGGAAAGGAGAATGTTAGCCGCTTTGAGACTCCTTCGGGTAGTGATAAAGTGGGATATCAAATCCAAACTCTTCTTCTTCTAACTTCCGGAAATGTGTTTTTGTATGGATGTTTGTGCTAATGGGAAGCTTCAAACCTTGATGTGTTTTCTCACTTTAAATATACTTCACGTAGGACAAAACTTGCTTTTTTAAAAAAACAAGAACTGCGGTGTTAGGGAGTAGCAGATTGATACAGGCCAGGTACTCTGTGCCCGAAAATTCAGCTTCGTTTTTCATTGATATCTTTTAAGTGGTGAAACGGCTTTCAGAAACATGACGGTTCCCTATGGATGGGCGAAAAGACCGATGCTGCAGCGGATTGCCCACATGCACCAGGACATTCCTATCACTGTGATTTATGGAGCACGATCGTGCATAGATGGCAATTCGGGGACCACCATCCAGTCTCTGCGACCAAATTCATATGTGAAAACGATAGTAAGTGGGACGTTCTAGACGCCGTGTTTGCTATTAGGAATTCGCCTGCTCCTCTTGTCTTTCAGTGACAGCTTTAGGATTGTAAGGTCACAGCGTAAAATTAAAACCCAAAATGAAAAGTGAAATTTCCCTTTACAACGCTTTGCCAGTACCACTGTAAGACTTCCCTACCTTTCATGCATAAATGCAAAATGTAATATGTGTCCACGTAGATTGATTCAGAACTTCGTTTGCCCTGCTGCAGAGAATCTGTGGTTACAGTAATGCTGGCTAAATTCCCCTTGCTGAACAGATAAGGGTGAAGAGGATTTCTGCCCTTGACCTGTTCCCTTTAACACTTGCAAATTTTTCAGGTTTGGGAAGAGCCACTTCTGCAAGTTAGGCTACTACACTTAGAATCATAGAATCATAGAGTTGGAAGAGACCACAAGGGCCATCAAGTCCAACCCCCTGCCAAGCAGGAAACACCATCAGAGCACTCCTGACATATGGTTGTCAAGCCTCTGCTTAAAGACCTCCAAAGAAGGAGACTCCACCACACTCCTTGGCAGCAAATTCCACTGTCGAACAGCTCTTACTGTCAGGAAGTTCTTCCTAATGTTTAGGTGGAATCTTCTTTCTTGTAGTTTGGATACATTGCTCCGTGTCCGCTTCTCTGGAGCAGCAGAAAACAACCTTTCTCCCTCCTCTATGTGACATCCTTTTATATATTTGAACATGGCTATCATATCACCCCTTAACCTCCTCTTCTCCAGGCTAAACATGCCCAGCTCCCTTAGCCGTTCCTCATAAGGCATCGTTTCCAGGCCTTTGACCATTTTGGTTGCCCTCCTTCCTTCCTTCCTTACTTACATAGATGCACCTTGCAACGGCCAGTGGCAAACATCAAAAATGTGAATTTCAGCAAAATGCTGCTTCAAGAATATTATTCTATCCAGCTTCAGCATGATTGCCATAGGAAAAAATCCAATAAATCTAAAACTAATTTCTCCTCTTCCCCTTCCCAATCTATTTTTTGCATAGTACGTGTAAGAAACACCCCTGAAGAGTAACACGACTTTTGCATTTCCTTTTTTAAAGTTATTTTTGCCTTCGTCAAATTACTCTTACAGCTTCAGTTGCTGTTTGGGGCAAACTAGTTTAAGGACTCGTGATTGTGGGGGGCAGGGGGAGGGAGATCATAAACAAGAATACCATCAATTTGTTTCTAAAATTTATTTAAATGAAGTTTGTTTATTTAAAAGTGTCTCCTATGTACTGAGTTTTGCACATAAATAGAGAGAACAGAGCCTTTGCCTGCAGCACCACAATCTAAAGAAAAAGGCGAGTCAGAGAGAAAAGAGAAAATTGGGGTGGAAGGAAGGAATTAAGCATTTTGCGTTTTAGTATTCCTGTCACAAATTCCTCCTACATCCTGTTTGGTTTTGTCAACTTTATCAGCTAGAGACAGAACTCAAGTTGAAATTAAAATTATGTGTGTGCGCAGTGACTTGGTTCTTTATCATTACGCTGGTGCAAATTTTCAGCAGTGTGCTGGTATCCCAAACTGGAAAAGGGGCATGATAGTGGCTTGCTTACCTTGGAACCTTAAAAAGTTATGGCTCTACAGAGCCACCTGTGTCAAAGCGAGCGTGAACTGGATAATAGTTGGATGTTTTACAGTGGGGCTGCAAGTAAAGGCAGAGACCCTTGACCTGAGTTTTTGCCCATGCTGTTGCAAAAATGTGGATTTGGGGAGAGGATATATTTTCGTAGGCGATAGCCAACGAAGCCGTTCTAAGAGTAAAGTCACTGATAGACGTAAGTAGCTTAAATCAATTTACTTCAGTGGTCTGTTCTGAGTACAGTCGTACCTCAGAAGTTGAACAGAATCCGTTCCGGAAGGCCGTTCGACTTCCAAAACGTTTAGAAACCAAAGTGCAGCTTCTTATTGGCTGCAGGAAGTTCCTGCAGCCAATCGGAAGCTGCAGAAGCCGCATTGGATGTTGGGGTTCCAAAGAACATTCACATACCGGAACACTCACTTCTGGGTTTGTGGCTTTTGGGAGCTGAAACGTCTTGAGCTCCGGGGTGTTCGGGATCCAAGGTACGACTGTATGACTTAGTTGACATCACCTAAAATTTAACCACTTCATTGGCTATGAAAAGCTCTTTTTCTTGCAAGTACCTTAAACTGATTCCCCTTCCCCTTCTCCTCTTCCATAGGCTATCCTTGGTGCTGGGCATTATGTGTATGCTGATCAACCTGAAGACTTCAACCAGAAAATAAAAGAGATCTGCAATTCTGTGGACTGACGGCATTCTCTTCTTTGCAAAAGCCAGACGCAATTAAAAGCAATACTTTGCAGCATATTATAAAAGATAAGGAATACAGAGGTTTAGCAAGCAAACACAGATTTTACTTGCACCACACCTTTCAAAACGTTTGCACAATTTAAACCATGCAGTGCCTTTTGCTGGGATGGGGAGAGAAAACTTTGTATATTTTAGTTGGATGCTGTTCTTTATATATTTAGATAAGGTGTTTGTCTCTATATACATATGTTAAACACATTTTAAAACTGGATTTTAAATTTTTTTTTTGAAGAATGTAGAGCTTTTAAAATGGTGTTCTATACATACAGCAAGCGTTTCAACATTCTTAATAATAATATACGTAGCAAAATTGCAGTTTGGCTACTTCAGCATTCAGAACCCATACGTTGTAGCTTCTCAGTTTTTCATTGTGATAGGAAGGATTTGCATAGGATATCTTCACATTTTATTGTACCTTACGAAGTGGACTTTGCCAAAATAATTAACAACGATGAACACCCAGGAAAAGAACAAACGTAGGAAAAGTTAGGGAAAGACTCAAGTAGTTATATTGGAACCTTTGTTCGCTGCAGTAACTGTTGTTCTTGGGTCTTTGGTTTCCCAGGGGAGCTGCATTTTGTGGGATGCTAATATTGCTAATGCTTATGCTTTTAAAGAGACAATGTAGAATCCAGTGGATCTGAAGACTAATTGCCTTCACACAACCTGTTCATTTGGTGATAAGATTATTGCAAGATCTACTTCGGAACTGATTCTCATGTTTGTACAAGTTGGGATAGAATTCCATGTTTAATTAGTCCTTGGATAAAGTGGTCTCAAAGTGTGAATATGCTTTTTCTTATAAACTATTGGAATTTTGAGCCAGTCTGACTGGAAAATGCCTAGCAGTCAAAACCCAGGTATCCTGTAAGAAGAAGGCATTTTAGATTAAATAAGACAGATGAATCAAGAAACCTAATCTTACCTCAAAATGTTTTTATTAAAATACTTGATTTTATGCAGTGTTTTTAATAAGAGCTTATTTAGGCTCTGGTTCTTTACAGAACTGTATGTTTTTAGGTACTTGGTTAATAATAAGATAAGCTGGGGGGTTTTGGTCAACTTTACAGCAATGGAATGCTTGTAAACCAAACTGTCTGCACAATAACTTATTGGTTAGCTTTTGAATGTTGGAATAACTACTGAATCTTCAATCTTTCTTACATAAAGTTTTTGAACCAGTCTGAAATGATGCTTGAAAATCAGTTATTTTGCTATCCCTTAAAGATATAATCTTGGGTTGTATTAGAGTAATGGACCGTGTTCCCTGGCCAAGAGATAACATACCGTATTTTTCGGTCTATAAGACGCACCTTTTCCCTCCTAAAAAGTAAGGGGAAATGTGTGTGCGTCTTATGGAGCGAATGCAGGCTGTGCAGCTATCCCAGAAGCCAAAACAGCAAGAGGGATCGCTGCTTTCACTGCACAGCGATCCCTCTTGCTGTTCTGGCTTCTGGGATTCAGAATATTTTTTTTCTTGATTTCCTCCTCCAAAAATTAGGTGTGTCTTATGGTCTGATAATACAGGACTTCCCTGTTGCTATGATAAACTCAGTCACCGCAACTCCTTGATCACAGTGTGAAATTGATGCTGAGTATTGTCACCATTGAACAGTCCAGTTTACTTAAATCAGTAATGCAGAACCTTGCTCTTATTTTAAGTGCATTTCTCAAGTTAAGGAGTTGCATAGTTAACGGAGAACTCTGACGACTCTGTGGCGATCAGCAGTTGTACATTTACAGCTGCTTCCCTAAATGCTGGCTAACCCAAAAATAGGCAGCATGTTTTTGAACAAATATCATTTATTATGTTACACAGGCACAATGTTTGACACTCCACATGACAGGTTATACAGTGGTACCTCTGGTTAAGAACTTAATTCGTTCCAGAGGTCCATTCTTAACCTGAAACTGTTCTTAACCTGAGGTACCACTTTAGCTAATGGGGCCTTCTGCTGCTGCCGCACCGCTGGAGCATGAGTTCTGTTCTCATCCTGAAGCAAAGTTCGTAACCCGAAGCACTATTTTTGGGTTAGCGGAATCTGTAACCTGAAGTGTATGTAACCTGAAGCATCTGTAACCTGAGGTACCACTATATCTAGTTGTGTTTCTCCACTGATGGAAGGCTCTTTGATTCAGTAAAGGCTTCCTTGTTTGGATAGGAGGAAGAGGTTTGTTGGGTTCCCCCCGAAAAAATTACCCTTCTCTTGCAAAACAACAACAACATGCACTATGGACACCTCTGTCCCCTTTAGCAATAGCTAAACAGCAGGTACACTATCCTAGCGCTGTAGTAGAAGCCATTGTGTCCATGGGAATTACTGTTTTAAACAAGGCAGACTGTCTGTGCTTTGTGGGACTGGGATCGAGGGAACCAAGGTTCAAATTATTTTTTTGCATACCACCCTCCATCCGTAGAGCTCAGAGCAGTTCGCAACATAAAATGGCAATATAAAACCCACAAAATAGATAATAAAATCAAGAACAGCAACAAACTGTTGCCCCCTGGCAACACATTTAAAAGGTCATTGGATGTCAAATCAGCCCAAGGCCTGGTTGAAGAGGAACGTTTTTGCCTGGCGCCTAAAAATGTATAATGGAGGCACCAGCCGAACCTCCCCGGGGAGAGCATTCCACAGATGGAGAGCCGCTACAGACAATCCCAGCACTTGGCTGTTAGGTGAGGCTGACTGACCCATGTCACAATGAGGTTGTGAGGATAACAGTAAAGAAGAGGAGGAGGGCCAGTGCTATTTTTTTTCTAGAAGAAGAGGTGCCAGAACTCACCATGTCCTCTTATAACGGCAATGATGCCCACCTGAGAGGTGCTGGAACTGAATTCCAGTGAGATCTGGCTGAAAGGAATCCCTGAAGAAAATCCATGTACGTCACCTTGAGTTCTGTGGAGGAAAGGTGGGATAGAAATGCTGTAAGCAAACAAAATTAGGATTGCTATCTGCTTATGGGCTGCATTTTATAGTCGTCATGACAATCGGCAGTGAATTCCACACCCACCGTCTGTAGTAGCCTCTTTCAGGGATGGTAGCAAGGGTGTAGCGGGGTAGCTGGAGCCATTCTTAGCCCTTCCCTTGGAAACTGATTGTCAGGTGCTGGTGTGGTTGATCGAGAGCAAACCGGCAAGACTCCGACCTGTCTTTTCCAGGCTTTATTATTAGTGCAAATTATTTACAGGGATGCGGGTGGTGCTATGGTCTAAACCACTGAGCCTAGGGCTTGCTGATCAGAAGGTCGGCAGTTCGAATCCCCGCGACGGGGTGAGCTCCCGTTGCTCGGTCCCTGCTCCTGCCCACCTAGCAGTTCGAAAGCACAAAGTGCAAGTAGATAAATAGGTACCGCTCCGGTGGGAAGGTAAATGGCATTTCTGTGCGCTGCTCTGGTTCGCCAGAAGTGGCTTAGTCATGCTAGCCACATGACCCGGAAGCTGTACGCCGGCTCCCTCGGCCAATAAAGCGAGATGAGCGCCACAACCCCAGAGTCGTCTGCGACTGGACCTAACGGTCAGGGGTCCCTTTACCTTTATTTACAGTGAAAAGCATTGCAAGTTCATGTCTGGCTCACTCGCTAGCAGAATCTGGGAGTGGGCGGTCCTTATACCTTCCCCAGCATAATAGTCGGGTGACCCCCAACCTTCTCCTCCCTTCCCTGCGCCTAAACCTACTGCACAGAATGGGCGCTGGTAAAGGGGTACTGTATTTTTCGCTCTATAAGATGCACCAGACCACAAGACGCACCTAGTTTTTGGAGGAGGAAAACAAGAAAAAAAATGTTCTGAATCTCAGAAGCCAGAACAGCAAGAGGGATCGCTGCGCAGTGAAAGCAGCAATCCCTCTTGCTATTCTGGCTTCTGGGATAGCTGCGCAGCCTGCATTCGCTCCATAAGACGCACACACATTTCCCCTTACTTTTTAGGAGGGAAAAAGTGAGTCTTATAGAGCAAAAAATACGGTAGTTCCCTCCCCTCCGGTTTTCTCAGGCTCGGTGTTGAGGCTCTCCCTAGCATCCCCTGCTCCCACCACTTCCTCTCCACTGGAGGTGGGGCTTCCCTCCTCGCCAGAGGAGGAACTGCTTCACAAGATTTTCGGAGGTTCCCTATAACACAACTGCCCTTCCACCTCTTGTCTCTGAGCTGATGGCAGTTCCCTGACACTGATCCTCCACTTCTGTTCATCTCCCAAGGCCATTTTGACCTAGCCAAACTTATTTTTTGTATCTGGAGAAAATGAGTGGAAAGGAAGAATTGCTTATAGGCTATAGTAGCGTTATGAGGCAAACAAAGCTTTGCAGTCCCATGTCGGCCTCCTTACAGGTCACTGTGCCAAAACAGGCCCTTTTCACAATAGTTGCTATGTTACAGCAATGGGTCCCAAACGTTAACATCATATCTGCACTTCCCAGAAGCAACTGGAGATAATTACTGTTCCGCCAGGCATTCCCAGCTGGATGAATCCATCTTTGCCACGAGTATGTTCTGTTTTAAATGTAACTGATGGCTTTTTGTATGTGTTAACTCTTTATTATAGGAGGAGATTAAATAAATATATGAACAACAACAAAATAAATAGGAATCCCCCCCCCATGAGCAACAGAAGGAATGAATTTATGAGAAAAGAGAGGGATATATACATATATATTTGTTGTTGTTGTTGTTTAGTCGTTTAGTCGTGTCCGACTCTTCGTGACCCCATGGACCAGAGCACGCCAGGCACTCCTGTCTTCCACTACCTCCCGCAGTTTGGTCAAATTCATGCTGGTAGCTTCGAGAACACTGTCCAACCATCTCGCCCTCTGTCGTCCCCTTCTCCTTGTGCCCTCCATCTTTCCCAACATCAGGGTCTTTTCCAGGGAGTCTTCTCTTCTCATGAGGTGGCCAAAGTATTGGAGTCTCAGCTTCACAATCTGTCCTTCCAGTGAGCACTCAGGGCTGATTTCCTTCAGAATGGAGAGGTTTGATCTTCTTGCAGTCCATGGGACTCTCAAGAGTCTCCTCCAGCACCATAATTCAAAAGCATCAATTCTTCGGCGATCAGCCTTCTTTATGGTCCAGCTCTCACTTCTCACTTCCACACATCACTAATCTCTCTCCTGCCCCACTAAATATAATGCACTTTGTATGTTATTTTCATGAATATACACATTTTTATGCACACATTACTCTCGTACATGTATTTTTATGCACACTCATTGACTAGAGAACTACACTGCAAGATTTGTGAAAATTGCAGATTTTTAAGAATGGCTATGTGTCAGTTCTCATTTTGTTTCAGATTAGGTAAATTCACCTTTAAGTGTTCTGCCACAGATTCATTCTCTCTCTCTCTCTCTCTCTCTCTCTCTCTCCCTCTCCCTGAATGAGGGAGGTTTTATTTCCACAGATTTATAGGTTTAGCTGGACATTGCAAGCCAGCTGTGCCATACTGTGTGCATCAGATTAAAAAGCTATGGCCTGACACAGGAAAGACTCCCCCTGCTGCTGCCACCAGCAACGTTCGGTGTAAACCAGTTTCCTTCCTCTAAAGTCACAGGAGACTCACCATGTTTCAAAGAGATGTGTGAACACTAATCTCCTCTTTCCCCTCCTCAGAGCATCTCTCCTCTCCACTTTTTCCGGCTAAAGCTGTGAACAAGAAATGACAGGGGAAGTTAATGTTTTTTTTCTGCCACTTGTGGGTGAATCTGAGAAACCTACACGTCTTGCCAGAGTAGTTACCGCTGAAGAAAAAAAGAAGGCATGGAGATCATCACTTCAGAGACACAGGGATGGTTTGGGGTTTTGTTTTTAAGAGGCAAAACACACACAAATGTTTTGCATTCTGCAGTTCTGCTTGCAGATTCTAGCTGCATTTCGAATACTTTTCAAAACAAAATGCCATAGGAATGTTTGGCACTAATAAATGGAACTGAATGTATTGTTGATGTTGATTTATTAATCTCCTTCAAAATGCATTGGCTGTCCTCTGATGAGCGTTTCACTGCTAATTCTGTGTGCTGCAGAGTACAGTATGCGCACTGAGTGAACAGCTTGGCTCTCCCAACTCCAAAAATAAATAAATAATTTTTTACTTTTTCTAACTTTATGGATTACTTGCCAAACAGTATTAGGTAGGGTTTCAATGATCTTGATGAGGGGGCAGGGGGCTGTCAGTTCCAAAACCGGAGTTACTTCCTCTCCCCTATTTGGCATGAATTGGCAATAATAATAGTAATAGTAGTAGTAGTAATAATAATAATAATAATAAATATCCTTATGACCTCACCAGCATTCTAGTGTGCATTTCTAGTGTACATTGGTATGTGCAGTTTTGCCTGATCTCCATATTTTTGCAAGCACTTTTTCCGAATGTAAGGCATTTCAATGTTATTTTCCATAATATAGGCAGTTATGCAGGTTTCCCCTGTTATATGTTTTGTGCTCCTTGTTTTTGTTGGAAAACTGCATTGCAACATTTGGAGAAGAGCAGATTTCAAAATGTAGCTGTGATTTTGGGTTTGCATATTGTTTTGGGAACCGCAGATTAGGAAGTCTCAAACTGAACTGATACTTGTTCCAAAAAAAAAGGGTGGTGGTGGTTTGAAACTCTATTGTATGATTCAATTTCCTAGTACTCAGTTAAATAAGTAAACTGGTTGCTACTTGTCCATTTTCCATATGAATATTAGGAGATATTATTATTATTATTATTTATAAAATTTGTATACCGCCCCTCATCTGTGGATCTCAGGGTGGCTCACAACATAAATTACACACACACACAAATACTGTGTGTGTAATTTTATATGTTTATATGTAAATTTTATGTGTAAATATTGTGTGTGTGTGTAATTATACACACACACCAAAAAAAGAATAAAAACAAACCAATATTGTCAAGCATTCATTTGGACACTCCTAATGGGGGACGCAGGTGGTGCTGTGGGTTAAACCACAGAGCCTAGGACTTGCCGATCAGAAGGTCAGCAGTTCGAATCCCCGCAACGGGGTGAGCTCCCGTTGCTCAGTCCCTGCTCCTGCCAGCCTAGCAGTTCGAAAGCACTTCTAAGTGCAAGTAGATAAATCGGTACTGCTCTGGCGGGAAGGTAAATGGCTTTTCCGTGCACTGCTCTGGTTCGCCAGAAGCGGCTTAGTCATGCTGGCCACATGACCTGGAAGCTGTACGCCGGCTCCCTCGGCCAATAAAGCGAGATGAGCGCCGCAACCCCAGAGTCGGCCACGACTGGACCTAATGGTCAGGGGTCCCTTTACATTTAATGGGGGACCATCTCTGGCCAAATTCATCTCAAAAGTGATTCAAAGGGAATGTGCATTTATTTCATTCTTTTACACTTAACCATTGAGCTTGGAATGGATTCATAAATCACATTCTCATGCTAATTTGTCAGCCACATCAGTTGTGTCAAGCCCAGCACAGAGTAGAGATTCTGAAGCACTTCGCAAATCCAAAGTATCAAGCAGTTCTGCTTATAAATGATTAGCGTATAGGAAGCTGGCTCAGTCAGTGCAGCGTGCAACTCTTAATCTCAGGGGTTGTGGGTTCTAGCCCCATGTTGGGCAAAAAGATTCCTGCATTGCGGGAGGGGGGACTTCCAGTTCTATGAATCTATTATAATAATAGATATTAATAATATTGTTTTCAGTGAAACTGTCATATCCCTGTTTGGTTTGAGGAAGATTCCACTGTGCATGTCAAGAGCAAGAGTTTTGTTCTGCAGCCGCTGCTTCCTGTGTTCTAAATGCAAATCTCAGAGGTGAGATAAGTATCCCTGCTATGAGCCAAACTTTATCTCAGTATTGAGATTATATATATATATTTTCTCTGCTTTTTAAATATCCTGCTGAGACCAGCCATGGTTGCATCTGTGCTGAGGATGCAGCTGCCAATCAACACAGTCTCCCCCCCCCCTTTTTTTTTTTGCAAAGAAAGCGACAAGGAGTACTATTCTTAGATGCCAAGCACTCTCTGCAACAGAACTGATGCCAATGAAAGAAGTCACTGCTGTACAGAAACATGTGTTTATAGATCATGCGTTGCCACCAGAGACTTTCCGTGCCTCTGACACAGAGCTGTGAGCCAAGAAACCCCTTTGAGTCCTGACCTCAGCCGTAACTCGCTGGTGAGTGATATAAATAATAATAATAATAATAATAATAATAATAATAATAATAATAATAATAATAATAATAATAATAATTTATTTATACCCCACTCATCTGGCTGGGTTTCCCCAGCCACTCTGGGCAGCTTCCAACAGAACCCTAAAATACAATAACCTATTAAACATTAAAAGCTTCCCTAAACAGGGCTGCCTTCAGATGTCTTCTAAAAGTTTGGTAGTTATTTTTCTCTTTGACATCTGGTGGGAAGGCGTTCCACAGGGCGGGTGCCACTACTGAGAAGGCCCTCTGCCTGGTTCCCTGTAACTTGGCTTCTCTAATATGGTCTATTTCACAGACTTGTTACAAGGATTGCTGAGTTCGCCTGCACGAAGTGCTTAGAGCACTTATGGATGGTGTTGTGCAAAACTCCTAAGATGGGATGTGGCCACATGGATGCTGTTGGACTCCAGTTCCCATCATCCCTGTTCACTGGCTAAGCTGGAGCTGATAGGACTTGGAGTCCACCAGTGTCTGGAAAGGCGCACGTTCTCCAACCCCATCAAGCTTCTGCAACTTCTTTCCTTCTTCCAAAAGGCATGCAGGACCCCCAGTGCTATTGGCTCCTGGCGAGATCTATAGACGAATAGAACCATGGTGGGGACATTAAAGACCACCAACCCTTTTATCAGTGCAGGAAGTGCACTTAAAAGTAGTCCTTGCACCTCTGTTTTAAAAACCTCTATGCTAACCGAGTGTCCCATGCAGTTGGGGAGGATTATAGCCAGGAGAAAAAGCAACATTTTAGTTTCCACCCAACACAAGTGCACTTATTCAGCCAGCTTCTATTCACGTTCCAAAATCTGTCCCGCTGCACCTCTTGTACAGCTGGAGAACCACCATCCGACCACCCTTAGTATAGCATCTTTTCATAGAATCATAGAACTGTAGTATTGGAAGGGACCCCAAGCGTCATCTAGCCTCCTACGACGCAGGAATCTTTTGCCCAACGTGGGACTTGAACCCACAACCTAGGAGACCATAGTGCTCATAGACACAGAACCAGTGGAGGGGACGCCCCTCTCTTGCAAGACTGCTTTTTGTCACTTTCTGTAGAGCTCTTCAGGTTTATGAATGACCTAGAATTCGTTACTCATTAGCTTTTTCACTTGTATAATCTGGGAGCTTAGAACCATAATTGTGGAGGGAGGGGTATAATAATAACTATTATCAGTGCGCTTTTCTGGGTGGATGCAGAGGTGCACATACCCCTAAACATTTTGTGAATCTTTGTACTTTTGTCTATTTACCGTATTTATTTCCCCCAATTTGAACTATATAATGGTAATTTTCTTGAGTCAAAATGAGAGTACCCCTAAAATTTTTTTAAAGAAAAAAACCACTATTGTTATTGTTATTGTTATTGACATCCCTATTTTCATCAGAGAAATGTTGAAGGGTATGCATCCCTGCTATTTTGCTCAGACATTTGCCTTCCTCTATTACCTCCACCCATGCCCCAAATCCTCATTGTCCTCTTCTCAAGCCCCTCGTTCATAGCCTCAGACAACATTCCTGGACTGGAGCTAGGAAACCAGTTTATGGTAACCTGGAAAAGAAGGTGACTGTCTGGCTGGAACCCTGAACAGGAGCACTCCTATGACAGATGAGCAACCATTTTGTTGCAGGCCTCGCTCCAGTGTTGATAAAGGACAGCTTCTTCCATACTAATGATTACTTATTGGTTGTTGAGTATCAATATGCTACGTACGTGGAGGTACTTAGATTTTCATTTGGATAGACCTGAAACTGTGCACACGCCACACACTTAAAGCACCTTGCTTCCTTCAAAGTTTCCTGGGAACTGTAGTTCATTATGGGTGCTGGGAACTGCAGCCCTGCGATGGGGTAAACTACAGTTCCCAGGATTCTTGAGGGGGGTGCACTTTAAATGTATGGTGTTTATGTAGCTTGATTCTCATTCACCTTGTACATGCAAAAGACCTGTGATGTAGAAGCATTCTAGCAAAATCACTTACAGTTATTGCAGTATTAATATTATTTCTCTAATGAACACATGGGAAGATCTGTGAAAGGAACCTATAGATGAAATTATAGGCGATTTTGTTTCTTCTAATACCCCCCCTTTTTTTTAAGGGGAAAAAACCCTTTCTTTTAACATTCTAATTGTGTGCCATGGAGAGAGTCAAGAGAATATACAGAAGCTATTTTAAATCAGGAACGTTTCATTTCCTGCTCACTTCCAGCCCGTCTTAACAAAGATTTCAAATGCACTTGTGGAGTAGATGGGAATGTTAAGAGACACTTGGAGGCTGACAGGAATATATATGAGGCAAACAGCGGAATTTAAGACAAGTTAGTGCAAATAGGTGGCAAACAGATGCAGTGCTTCAGAATCGGTGCTCATTTTCCAGACAGGATACTGGAATAATTTATTGCCTACATGCAGTAATCCAGATTTCCACCTTCATTGATATCGCTTTTTAGCAACTGCCAAAAAACCACAGCGTCAGGCAAGATCAGTTCAAGGCTGCCATGATGATGTTATCCTCCAAACTTTGCCACTTTCAAGGAGCATGAGTCAGACCAGACGCCATCCGTAAAAAAAAGCAGAATATTACCTATGAACTCTAGGTGGCTTTTGG